ATTTCCAGCAAAAAATGGTCTTGGCTGCAAAATTTGTATTGAACCCCCCACTGCAGTAGCACCAAGTTTACAACAAAGCAGTGAAAGAAATGAGATCCCCCGGATTTTATGGATAATACTATGGACTTTACTACACGCCTTCCCTTTCTGGCAATGGTTGAACTGAAACACCTACTGGATAGCTTGTCCTCCACTTCAGGCAGGCATACTTGGATATCCTATCAGGGAGATGGAAAAGTTGAAGTTGGATTAGAAAAATGGAGATAAAAAATTGGCGGAAGAAGTTGGAGACAGTCTGTCATAACCTAGTTGTTGCAAATAGACTATAATAAAAAGATTCATCATCATCATCATCATCTGATCAGTCATCTGATCTTTCCAGATCATTCCAGCTCCTTCCAGCTCCTTCTAGCTGCTTCCAGTTCCTTCTGGTTCCTTCCGGTTGATTCCAGTTGCTTCCGGTCCCTTCTAGCTGTTTCCAGTTGCTTCTGGTTGCACCCAATAGTATCCTTAGGGTTTCAGTTCCCACCAAGGAAACCCTTGATCCTGCTGCATAATGGAACACTATTTTCAACAGACCAGTGCCAACATGGGTCTTCTGAAGATATTTGATGAGTGCAGAAAGACCTCTGTTTGTCCAAAGAATGTGATCGAGCGTGCATTCGGCTATAGGGATATCTTCAAAGGCATTCTTCCGTTCCTCTGTGTGCTTGGAACAAGAAAGAAGCACATGCTCAACTGACTGCAGTGAGTCTCCACACCAACAGTCTGGAGAGGGACGAGGCTCCCTGCCATGTCTTGCAAAATAGCTGTTGAAGAAGCCATGTCCAGTCCGGAAGCTCACAATACAACTGGCAATTCTGCGGGAGATATTCACAAGCGGCTTGTCAATGGAGAGTCGAGGCTTGCCTTCATATTGATAATATTCTGATCGAGGTGCGGCTTGAAACCTGACATTCCATTCTTCAAAAGCGAGGTCATCGACAAGCTTATAAAGAAAGCGTAAGGAACAATCATGATTGACACGGTCTGGCGACAAAAATTAGTTGGAGTCATTGATACAAGATTGAAACATGGCACATATACTCGACATAGTCTGCTGCAGAAGGAAAACTGTGTAGAAAAACGAGAACATGTCAGGGCATAAAAAAATACTACTGCAAAACGATTCGAGATGCCAGATGTACAGAAAGGCCGGTGTTTGCCAAGAAATAGAGCAGTAGAGCTGAAATAGATATGAAAACATCAAGCTGATCACAGATCACATTAGGGTTCAGTTTTAGCATCACAATAAATGATAGTTAATTCGAATAGATAGTTAGAGCTGGTGGTGACGCGCAGCTCTATCATTTACAAACCCAAACCATCAACACCCGTTGGATGATTTCAAAAACGACCCATAAAAACAGATGCAATCGAAAATTGCAGGTGTTCAATATTAGACCAAAATACAGAAAAACCTTCCAAGTGGGAATCGAACTGTGGAGCTAAAAGGAGCAGTGCAGCGACCATGCCGCAGGGCTATATCACTGCTCGCGCGGTAGCAAGTCTAAGAGGATGGAACATAATGAAGCACTCATTAAGAAGATGCAGAAATGCCTACTATATAATATTTCGAATAGTTTTAGTTGATTCAACTTGCTGCAGTTGTGAAATTATGCCTTCCCTAGAAAGATGTGGATCAAACAGGGTCGCTCCAAGGGTTGGACAGATACTAGGGAGTTGTTGAGCTTACCAGAAAATGAAGAAGACTCAGATAAAATCAACAAGACATCAAAATTTACTAGGGTGTTTAGGGTATTTATAGGGTATTAGGGTTTGTAGAGTTTAAGTAAACCCTACATTAACTACATCTTCTTAACCTGGGTATTGATCTCAATTTACTGACCTTAGTCTTTCTCTGGTTGATAAACAAATATAGTTGCTGAAAGGCAACATAGATACGCTCTGAGTAGGGTTTGTGGACATGCCATTGGCCAATATTTGAGGCATTGCGAAATTGTATTCAAATGGCAATATGCAACAGGGCTATGACAGATTTAGAATGGTTCATCTTTAAATACTGGTTGAAAAAAAGATTTGAACTGATAATAGTCAAATAAATAATCTTTGGTAAGAATTTTGTGACTGGACCTTCTTAGGAGACAGACTTCAGGCTCATACCCCATGCAGAGTGCTCGAATTTTGAGCAGTGATTTGGTCCAATGGTATGGCTGCTGCATTGCTTCCTTCAGAATTCAAAGTTGAAACCATACATTGGTGCTTTGTATCAAGACTACCGCTACTACCAATATCAAGAAGGAACAGGCCTTTCTGCTCCATAAATGCCTCGATAGTGAAGGTCTCATAGCTTTATAGCTTTCAGTATTCAGTACCGAATAAGCTGCAAAAGTATTTTTTCAAAAGTATTTCTATATACCTACTGAAAGCATCCTAAATTTATGAGAGAGCAGTGATAAGGCCCAGCAGCATGGCCGCTCACTTTAAATCCATGGTTCGAGCCCCGCTTGAGAGCTTTTCCTGGAGTTTGGCCTAATATTCAATATCCCCAATTCTCACCTTAATAATTTCCAATGAAAATGGTCTTGGTTGCAAAATTTATATTGAACCCTCCACTGCATAGCACCAAGTATACAACAAAGCAGTGAAAGATATTATGCATTATACTATGGACTTTACTAGACACCTTCCCTTTGTGGTAGTGATTGACCTGAAGCACCTACTGGATAGCTTGTCCTCCACTTCAGGCAGACATACTTGGATATCCTATCTGGAAGATGGAAAATTAAAGTTGGATTAGATAATGGAGTTAAAAAATTGATGGTAGAGTTGGAGACAGTCTGTCATAACCTAGTTGTTGCATATAGACTATAACAGAAAGATTGATCATCATTATCATCACAACAAAGCAGTGAAAGAAATGGGTTCCCCCGGAATTTATGGATTATACTATGGAGTTTTCTACATGCCTTCCCTTTGTGGGAATGGTTGAATAGATGCACCTACTAAATATCCCATCCTCCAATTCAGGCAGACATACTTGCATATCTTATCAAGGAGGGGGAGATTTGAGGTTGGATTAAGAAATGGGGATGAAAAATTGGTGATAATAAATTTATTTGAAAGTCCGTATGCAACAATATTAGGCTGTGACTGACTAACTTCGTGAGGATATTGGTAGTAGTAGTGAGGACCCTGATTGAATTGATAATAAAGCAAAAATAGTCATACAACAAGTAGTAGCAATATTGACAGGGGCTTCAAGGAGAGCATAGAGTAAATGTGAAATTTAGCTCATCACCAGAGTCAGAGACAGAAGAAGAAAAAAACAAAAAAATAAAAAGAAAAAAGCGGAGAATAGGCAGCTCAGAAAAAGACAGCTGAAGAGTTTTGGAAGATAGATTAGGTGATGAGGACAGCAAAGCAGTGACAGTAAGGCTCCAGGGGAATATTGATAAGGCGGAACCGAATTAAATTGACAGGAATAGCATTAAAGTTGAAATCCTTAGGAACATTAAAAGCCGGAGGCGTCAAGCAAGGAGCATCCAGAAAGGCAAAGGCTGAATTCGAAGAAGCAAACTTGATAATAATCGCGATCCGGTTGCTGCGGAGAGAAATGGCAATAAGCTCTCTAATTGAGCTTCTGGTCCATCAAAAAGAGCGCATGCACCAGTTCGTATAGAGGCGAGATTTGGATGAGAGATGTGGAAAAGGTCGGAAGTAAATGGAGTTGAACGAGATGGCATGAGACGGCTGACTTATCAAGAAGCGGAAGTAGCTTTGGAGAAGATGCACTGGAACGTGGCCGCCCGGATAAAAGGAGCCACGGAAGTAGTGAACTCGATAGAAGAAGGTATTTCAATCGACGTTGACGCGCAAGCGGCAAACCCATAAATAAGCGCGACCGCGACCGTTGTTACATCAGAAAAGGGAGAATCGCGGTGCAAGGTGTCTTATACCTAATCAGGTAAACCCATGAGATAGAGAGTAGTAGATATCCTTTGAATATTCGATAAAAAACAGACAAATCGGAATTATCAACGATAACAGCAATCAAAGTCTGGGAAAGAAGATGATATACTCATCGATGGAAGCAGGGAGAGTCAAGACGCTGCGACGAGCATTCTTGAATCATGGGTATCTTAATAAAAATTCTAGGGATGAATGACGCCAGGAGAACTCCGGGCATCAGGAGCCGTAATGCAATCCGCAAACAGATCGCAACACGCACCAAGACTCAAAATAAGACCCATAAAAGGAGTCACTGGGAACGGCAACAAGACAATGTTTGGATGACAGCAAAAAGCCGCTGGAGAGCGGCGTGCATGTTCCGATCATGGACCATGAAGATGGCTGTAAAATATTGCTTCGGATCACGCGAGACGATACAATGCCAACTACTAATCTGCAAAATTAGAGCTTGGCTGATGGCGAGATGAGAGAGATGGGCACTGACTCTAATATAGGCTCGCAGCCAGTTTGTCAAGTACGTGCTGCCTTTTCAGTAGTATTTTTGGCGCAGGTGATCGATAGTGCGGCAATGCTATCATCCATGGCATTCATGATGGTGTATTAAGCAATATATTATTGAGACTCCTCGGAACCAGAGACAAGATAGAAAAGCTGAAGGGCCGAAGAGCAGGAACAGCCTTTATTAAGTACAGAATCATAGTGCGAGAACCTTAATAAGAGCTCATAATTCCACGCTCAACAGCATCATCTAAAATAATATACAAAGTATACACAAAATTGCAGCCGCAATTTACGTCACCAAACCGACGGCAATGAACTCCAGATCGTTTCCAACCTAACCTGACCGTTCTGTGATCGTTGCTAATAAGAGATCAAAGATATAGCAGAAGCCTACAGGCGACTTCTGCCCGCAGTAACCTATGTCGCCATTCCTTCACCCCAAAACTCCCTTATGATACTGTATCTTTCCAAACCGAATCTTAGAAATTGAAGGGATTTTATCGATGTACATGTTGAGATTTCGCTGATCAAAGCTTCATGGTCAAGTCTTCGAGGATGATCACTGGTCGGTAGCTCGGCATATTGTCATATTTGCCATAGAGCACGGGGTTGTTGCTCAGCATTTGCACGGCGCATTTGAGGGCGGCCCTCTTATATTCGCTAGCAGAGATAGTAATGCAATGAAGCCTAGACTTCTGATGCCCGATGTCTTGAATGATGATGAGATCGGTGCCGTGATGACTCTGCCGGTCGCGAATTTGATGACTCTGCCGGTCGCGAACTCGAGTGGTGGCTTTGACGCTGGTGCTTGTGTTCACTCGACTGGTGATGGCGATGACGATGATGATGCCTATGGGACTGATGGTGCTGGTCGCGACTATGAAATTGCTTTCCTTGAGATAGTTGAGAAATTCCATCGCTCTGTGGTAAATTTGACTGTTCGATAGTCCCCGAGCGTTGTCCGGGATGTCCAGTTTCTTCTTGTACAGAAGACTTGACGAACTGAACTGAGCCACCGGGCACAGCCATCTGAACTTCAAGTTCTTCGCTCGCATCCTGCATTTTTGATAAAACTTTTCGCAAATCCCATATCTCGTCGCCTAAATTAGATCCATACTCGTCTAGAGAATTCTCAACAAAGCAGCCTTTCCTCAAGTCCTGCAACCGTCGAACGGGGTCGAGGGAGCTGTTTTTGATGATTTCCAAAGACGACGAACCACGAGCGAGTTTGTAGTTGATGTGGCAAAGAGCAGGATCTTCAAAGCCTGATTTCCCAGTCTTTCTGTCGAGCAGAGAGGTAAGATGTGCCTCAATCGATGCTTTTGCCGAGTTTTTGGCCCTTTGAGCTAACTGTGGATCTGGAGTGCCGATATTGAACGCGTCAGGAATCTGCGTTGGAACAGTAACATCACGGAGCAGTAATCGAGAGGTTTCGTAACTTTGCGGATCTGGCTCGCTTGCGTGAAGGCCTTGATTTGGTTGAGGAAGAACCGACATGATCCAATGAGATGAATGAATGAACAAAGATCAGAGCGAGCGGCGGAGAAGTCATGACGATGAGCTGAGAAAATGTCCCAAGCAGACAAACTTTATTCGCTCTGTTGATGTTTCCGTTCCTTGAATCATGCGCCATAAACCACAACGAAGTCATAATCAATCTGCTGCACTACTCCCAATCATACAAACTCAACTATAGTAGTAGTAGTATAGGTTACGAAGTCAACATACACACCATGCATTCAAGATATACACACTATAAGGCCCCGTTAAGAAGTTTCGATCCATCTACTTTGATTTCATTAATTGTAACCACCTACATCCTACTTGAGTGATGGATTTGTCTATTGGTTTCTAGTGTCTATAGAGCGGGTCAGTTGGTATAACTGATTGGCCTGAAAACAAATGGGGTTTTCGAATTTTGCTTTGTATAAATAATTATCAGGCGGATGGTTTCAACAGTTTATTATTCTTAGTAGTCTAACAGAGATTTTGCATTCACATGTATCCGATCCCAAGTAACTTCAATCCAAGAAAGAACATCTCCATCAGACTTAATCGCTGATCGACTGTAATGTTCAGACTTATTTCGAGAAGCGGTTGAACCACTGGACAGCCTGGTAGAACGCAGCCTCGTGTGCCCACATAGTAACCGGGTCGCTGGGGTCGCCGCGAACAGCGAATCCGTGCTCGACAGACGACAGAGTCAGAAGGTAAGTCGCGCCGATTTCCTTGAGCACCTTCTCAGTCAGATGGCGCTCCTCCTCCGTCAGGAGGTAGTCGGTCTCTGTTTATTCACAATTCGTGGTTAGTCTTGTTCTTGTAGACACTTCACTATCAATTGAGCGATCTTTTTGTGATCTTCACTTACCGGCAGCCGCGATGGAAAGAGGTCCCTTAATAGCACGGAGCTCAGGATCGGTAACGTACGACGGGTGGGCAATGAAACCACCATCAAGCTTTCCCTCGTCGAGCAGACGAACAACGTACTTTCCTCCAAAGCAGTAACCAACGGAGAAAAACTGGGTCACAGAAGGGAACGCCTTCTTTGTGTACTCAAACGCCTTCTCGATAATCGGCTCGGTGTACTCGATGTTGTGGACCGCTATCCAGCTGGGGAAGTCATACTCCGGAGTAATGGGGAACGGAACCGGGTCATCGCCAACGAGGTTGGGCAAGATCGCAAGATATCCCTGCTTGGCAAAGTTATCCGGGATGATCTTGTGGTTCAAGAACGGCATGCCAAAGATATCGGAGAGATAGATCACGGCTCTGGTGGGTGCCTCAGCGGTGGGCTTAGCGACGTAGATATCAACGTCCTCGAAGGTGACAATTTCACTAGAGGGGGTGCCGCTGTGCTTGTATCCCTTGGTGCAGCAGGATGACGATTCATCGGAGGCCATATTTGATCAGCAATTGAGCCAATTGGAAGATTGAGAGAATGGTGACAAGCAGGATACGATAGCATGTCAACTTGGATTCTCGGACCCTCTTATGATCTCGAGCGACCGCGCTAGCCCTACATCAGATTAGGTAGGCGTCTCTGGGCACGCAATGTGCTGACATTATGGAAGAACGAAGAACCAGAATGGGCCGTAGTGGTTTCGATAGGCGTTCGCGCAGACCTCAGGTATCCGAAGCTCCTCGTATCAGAGCAGCACTGGACGCCTCGACCAAAAATCCTACAACGCAACACTCAGTCAGATCTCGTCACATAAATACAGTCTTTGAGTGTTTGCTTACCAAGGGCTATAAGCGCTCCACCGTCAAGCGCGCGTATTGATGCTCGACCGCCCGGGATATGGTCAGCCCGTTTGGACCAGTAGGCGTGCAGTGCGGCAAGCAGCTCCTGCAAAATGATAGTCATTAGCCAAAGCTTTGCGCAAGTGCGAGTTGAACAAGCAGGTCCACATACGCTAGAAGGAAGATCTCGCTCTGAAACAGCTCCGTATTCTTTGCTTAAAGCTCGCTGAAGTCCAGAGACACGGGATGCCAAAATTTCGTCGGCCGTTGCCCGTGATAATCTAACTGCATCGTACACTGTAGTATGTCGCCTTTTCATCAACCTTTCTTGACTGCTAGTCCTGCTGTTGTTTGACCCAGCACGATCTTTGCTGATCCCCCGGCTATCAATATCGGGCGATAACCTAGTACCAGCATGGATGTTATAGCCGTGATTGATGTCGAGGAGTACCTGGTTCAGTTGATGCTGGGGAGGTTTGCGAGCTGCTCGTCTTCGTTTGGGGCGGCGCACTTCAGACTCGTCAGACGAGTCCTCGACTTCCTCCTCCAAGTCCGATTCCGCATTGGAAGACTCTGGATTCTCTGCATTTGCCCGGTCATCCAAGTCGGCTTCTGACATTGCAAACTGCCGCCTGATACATGAAAGAAGTTGAAGAGGCTTCAGACTGCTCAGAAACTTTCTGTGATAGACTCTTTACGAGCCGCACCATCATATAGCTAATACCCTAATAAATCCATTTCAAAACACAACTAACTTATAGTAATTCCTTCTAATGCTACCTAAAGTACACCTCTCATTTCATAAACCCGAAAATATTATAAAAGTCCACATATCTGCGACCGCAATCACTCAAATACTTCCCAGTCACAGCACGCACAGTCTCAAAAGAGCTCCGATTGAACTCTGCGAGTGCATCTACCTCCTGGTCTCCTTTTCCCTTCGCCGCTTCCACATTGAACAGATAATCGATATACCGCAGTTGCGTGTATAGAGTCTTGTCTGAATATTCGTACGCCATCACTCCTCTGCATGATTTCGCGCAGCCGTCCTTGCCAATGCATCGCTTTCCGTACACGCTGATCTGCCTTGTACGATTGCCACATGAACTGTCATTGCACTTCACCCAGCCCTCGTAGTACCTCGAGATCTCCAGGCGGATCATACGCTCGACAGAAGTCACAATAGAAAACAAAGGCAAACCCTTGCTACATGACGAGCAAACCAAGCCCGCCGGTGTGCAGACGGTCTTTGACTTGGTCATCCCTTCGAAAATGAAATCAGAGCTGCACCACGGGCACGACAAGGTGAGCTTCTTTGCGTCCGCGTAGCGCTCCTCGTCCGAGATAGAGCTCTCCAGAGGCTGCCAGTTTTCATAGATGTTCCCACTGCTGTGATCTCCTGAGGATATCATATACTTCCGAGTATCCAGTCCAAGGCAGTTAGCCAAATGCATAGCGTCCGTACCGCTGATCGCGCCACAAAGTCGTTCAATTGGAGGCAAGATCTGCTTCGCAAGGTAAAAGTCTGCATCAGGTTCCTTCTTGACCACAGCGTCTGCAGCCGGCTCAGCCTCGCGCTTGGGTTTCTCCATAAAGTCCTGGTAAGGAAACGCGCGATCAGCCGGTGAACCATCACCCGCGGCTATGATATAGGCAATAACATCATTGGCGGCTACTCTTTCACCTCGGGCCTTGCGCCGAAGAGCGGCCTGAACCTGTGGCATAGCTTTGCCTCCTGGATACTGTTCCGGATCCTTGCTCAATTTGGTGTGAATGATGAACTTTGCGGTCGGAATCTTTCCACCGCGAACCTGTTCACCCAGCTCTCGAAGATACTCGTGGATATTCTCGACAACATTCTCAGTGGCCGCTCCAGAAAGAATTTCGTTCAAGACCTTCGTGGAAGCCTCCTTCGACAGAGCACAAAATTCACGGCGTCTCATATCAAGACCCTTGACTTCCATCTTTGTCTCGATCTTGCCATTCAGCTCGATACAGTTCAGCGCGGCATATTTCTTTTTCGCGTGCATAAGGAGTCGTCGGAAGACATTGTCGATATCGATTTCAAGTAACCTGTATCTCTCGTTGACTGCCACTTTGAATTCCTGCCCAGTTCTCAGCGCGTCGGCGTACGACTCGGAACCAGTGTTGATCATGACAGAGTCAGTATCACCATATATGACCTTCAAGTCCATCGACTCTGCCAACTCTTTGGTATTTGTGAGAATTTCACGTCCCTTGTATGTAGTCAACATAGCCAATGGACGTGCATAGAACCGAGATTTGTCATATCCAAGACAACCGTACATCGAGTTGGCCGTCAGCTTGAGTGCTTGCTGTTTGATATCCCACTACACAGAGAGGTCAGTAAAAAGTTACATGTCAAAATAAAAATGTCAATTAACGTACTTGAGCCTTCTGTGCAGCTGTTGCTTTTGGATCCTTCATGAGACTCTTGACTTGACGACGTCGATTGACGAGAGTTGCGATCAAGCGGGGAAGCACGCCCTGAGGCACGTCAGATGAAGGCGGGTCAGGAACCTTGTCTTCGGCGTCGTTCTGAAGAAGTGTTAGCTATTTTTGTCATCGAGAATGAATCAAGTCCATATACGTACACATTGAGATCGATCCACAGTGGTGAAGCAGATATTGTACTCCTGAATTATACTTGGGTACAAACTGTTGAAGTCCATAACCAAAACAAACTTGTCGTAGAGTCCCTTCTCCGGTTCAAAGACAAGACCACCCTTGTACTTGTCTTTTTTCTTGTTGGCCTCCATAACAACCTCGTCATCTTTGTTGTCTTCGTTATTCTCCTCATCTTCCATAGCTGCTGCTCGCTTTCTCTTGGTAGCGTTGCCATTCTTCGCATACGAATTCTGCTTGTCGGGAACGATGTACTTGTTTTTGACAAATTCATGCATCAGAATGTACTCGTTACGCTCTGATCGTGTGCCACTCAGAGTCCGCGCCCAACTGTTTCCGGCCAAGTTGGTCAGCTGCTTGGTCAACGGAAGCAATTGAGTCTTTATAGCCAGCGACGCAATAAAGTGCGTATCAAGCTCGCAATGTGAGAAGTAGTCAAAAAGTCCGTTTGCTGAATCTGTGTAATTGTTTGCCTTGCGCGTATCTATCTCAGCTGGCTCATATCGCTTTACGCCGAGCAGCAAATCACACATTTCCGTCAAACTCCAGGACTGACATTTGAGCATCACCGATTTTCCCATGTCGTTTGCCAGGTCGCACAGCAAACGTCCTGTCACCACTTTCCGATCGGCAAAAGTGGAGATGGTACCGGTAGGCCATCTGTTTAGACTGATGCGGCCGATTTGACTCCAACCTTGGGTTTTGCGCTCGCGCATACGATGGAGCAGGATGTTGAGATCGCCGGCTTCCAGGTTATGGCCGATGAAGCAGTCTGGATCATGCTGTCGCACTCTTTCGAGGAACCTGCTGAGAACGGTTTGTTCGGTCTTTTCAAGGATGAAAGTTCCTCGTCCTTTGCGTCTGACCTCTGCCTCAAAGCCTGCTGGAAACACGCCACCCGTAATTGGTCGGACAATAGTAAAGACATACGGACGAAGACTGTCGGGAGACTCGTTGGTATCATGGGGGACTTTGGAAACATTAGTATCAAGCAAATATACATAAGACCAAAAGAACACTCACTGTTTTCGTAAACACGACCACTGATCGCAACAATTTCTTGCTTGTTGGTGTGACTGTTGAGGATGGATCGAACCGCAACACTCATCAGGTTGAGAGGTGGCGCGTCGGCCTCAGGAAGGACGCTCACATCTGCCGGATTTCTAACTCCGACTTCACATCTGGTCCACGACATATTGCGAACGTCTTTGCTGGTCGGGTTTTTGATCTCAATCCAGCAAGGTCCCATAATTCGTCGCATGAGCACAAACTGCTCAAAGATGCCAGTGCCAGATCCAAAGACATGAGAATAAGTTGCTCCCTGAAAATAGCGCGCATCCAGAGGCCTGTTTCGGTAGGGGTAAAGAAGCTCTAGATACTCGGCTTCCGGAGGCACGTCTTGCAGATCAAAAGCATATTTGCGTCGAGTAGTTTTGAACCGCATCTCTATCTTTTCGCGAGCAAATATAGGCTCAATCTCATCGCAGACGTCATCTGTAGTTACTTTCTCGTCGGTCTCGACACCAGTCGCCATGTCGACTTTGTGGGTGCGAGGCAAGAAGTAGAGCTTGCGCATGATGTTGTGGACTTGTACCATGCAGCTGAGATATTTGTCCGAGTTATTGAGCTTGGTCTTGAACGAAGTTGTTAGTTGTTAGTTTAAGGTGAGGTCTATATAACTTGGTAATGTGTTGATGCTTACCTTTCCAATCAAAATTAAGCGATCATCAACTTCCATGAAATCAGTCCAGAACATTCGCACGCTGCCGTCAGGTTCCGCAACTTGATCAATTTCCACCTTTTCTATAGAAGACGACCCGCCACGCTGGATAGACGGCGGCTGAATAACCCCAATGTTATTGTTCATCTGTGTCCACGTTTGTGAGCCTTCGGGTGAAACTGGCGCTTCGATCTTTGGGGTTGGCTGAGGCTTCACAATCTTGGAAATGGTAGGAGCAGCCTTGGATGCGGAGATATTCACGCGCTTGACATCCGTGGCTGCGGCAGCGATCGGTCGCTCAATTTCCATCGCCTCGTCGTCATCAGGTTCCTCAGCATCTTCATCCTTGACATCACCATTGTCGACCTCCATCAATGCCTCGTCCCATGCGTCATCGTCTGACTCATACGCAGCATCGTTGACTTTGCCTGCCGCCGACGTTTCCATAGGAGCGTTGTTTAGATCACGGCCGGAGTCGTCATACGAGGGCTCAGGCTTAACCAATAAAGACGGAGTAGGTGAAGATGGAAGACCATTATGGAGTGATGTCATGTTCTCGGGGGAGTAGTCACGAACTGGAGAACGCGCGCGACGGCTCTCCGGTCTCTTGCGAGTTGAGGACGCGAAGTTCGACATCAGCTTTGAAAATGAGGACGGCTTTGGTTTTTTGGCTTTGCTAGAACTCTCAACTTCACCCAAGATGTCCTCCAAAAAGTTCTCTTCTTCCTTGTCGTCCATGATTTTCTGATAGGCCGGTGTTAGAGAAATGATTCAAGTATATATAATGAGAACGAGGTCGATAGCATACCGGTGCGGAGCTCCGCTTCGTCGACGCTGAGCTAGCTGTGGTGGAAAACAGCTTGCCTGAGCTACTCTTCTGTTTTTTGGTAGTCTCTTTCAAAGATTTCTGCTTTTTGCCTGTGACGTGGACTCACGGTTAGTCCATCGTTGCTACCAAAAGATAGTTAAGGGCACATACCTGGCTTCCCAGGAGCCTCCTCTACTTCGTCGCTGTAGTAAGTCTCTTCAGGCTCCCAGTCGTATGTGCCGTTGTCGGCATACCCAAGACCGTTGTCGTCGACGACGAAATCATCGCCCATCAGGCGATCCTGGACGAGCTTCTTGAAGGAAGCATCGTCTACCTCGTCGTAGATTGCGTGTTCGGCGTCGTCTTCGAGCAGGGCGGTGACCGATTGACCTTGGGCTTTCAGCCGGCGGGCTTCCCTAAGCTTCTGCAGCCTGCTCATCAGGTCGTGGTTGTTTGAATGAACGTAGATAAGGGTGACGGTGGTAGTTGTGGTGAGGAAGTCGGGATAGAAAGAAGGGGAGGAGGCAGAGGCGCGTCTGAATCAGAGAACTTAGTTCAAGTGAACTCTAAAGTTGGACGCGAAAGAGACGCGTTTGGGCGCTGTGCGCGAACTGTTGCTGAGTTATGCCAAATAGAGTTTATTCTTAGTAAATGATGACTAATCAGCCAAGGTCTGTTGAGCTCCACGCTGCGTGGCTTCTTTGCTGGTCTTTTCTCTCTTCTTCTCTTCCGCCCAGCGTCCTCTTCCAGACCTCGTCCTTCTCTTTTCACGCTTTGATCGTTCTCTGCCAATGGCGAACGACATAGTCGAGTATGTCTCTTTGTTTGCGAGTATAATGTGAATCTGCGCTAACTCGACGTTCAGGTTTTTAAAGACTGTCCCTCCGGTCACCAGAGTGTTCCTGTTGGGCACAATCGGGACAACTTTTGGGGCACTGCTGAACATCACTCCAGTGAGTCTGATAATAAACTACTGGCCTCTGGCTATCTACAAGCTTCAAATATGGCGACCAGGTACTTGATTGTTCTCTGTGGCATTTACAAATGGACTTTTATCTGACCTGTACCTTGCTTAGTGACTGCTTTTTTCGTTGTGATGGGTGCTGATCCAATGTCGACTCTCATGGAGATTTATATGAGTATGTCCTTCTTTCTCCATCAAAACTGCATCTTATAAATGAAGACCGCTAACACTTTGTTTATCTAGTGTACACTTATGGCAAAGACCTCGAAATGGAAAAGTTTCGTGGATTCACTTCCGACTACATTTACTACGTCCTACTTAACGGGCTAGTTATACTTGTAAGTAAACCTTCATTCATTCACATCCTCTGTCCCTCTCTGTTTCTGTCTCTCTCTCGCTTTGATTTGCTTTTGCAATTTGTTCTATACATTCGTAGACGCCCTCCTGTTTCTGCCTCAGAATCTTATACACCATAGATTTCTGGGTTCTGGTTATGGAGAAGATTAAGCCCCGTGCGCAACCCTCGAGTCAATCATTCGCAAATATTTAAGAGGTGTTTGCGTGCGGGGATCGTGGACGCTGTTTTGAGACCGGCTAGCAGTTCCTATTGCTATCCGAATGTGGTCGTGGCTTCCTACATTTTTTTCTTTCTTTTTTTCGTAGAACTCTGTTGCTTTTTGTTTATCTTCTGTCTCAACAATGGTTTAGTGACAAGCGTGCTAACATCACTTGATACAGATCCTTGATCTGATTGCCGGGGGAATGGCTTATGTCGCTCCTTTGCTCGTTGGATTCGCATATACCTGGTCACAGCATTATCCCGACCGGATAGTCAGTTTCTATTTCGGAATCACCTTCAAAGCCAAATATCTTCCAGGTTTCATTCTTGCCTTTAAGCTTCTGATAGAGGGTCAGCCGTCGTTCTTTATATCCCTCACCGGATTCGCTGCCGCTTACCTGTATCAATATCTCGAGAATGCGAATGGCCCAGGCCGGCCAAGCCCGTATCTGCAGACTCCTAGATGGTTGAAGAAACTGATTCCAGGAGCGTGGTCTGCTACAACGGGTATTACTACCGACGCGCGAAATGTGCATCGATCATTCGGTAGTGCATACTACCCTGCCGCCGATGTTGCGTCCACTGGTCGCCCTAGTGCGCGCGCTACAGGCGCCAATTCCTCTGCCGGAGAAACCAATACCTCTTTCAGATGGGGAAGAGGACATCGTCTTGGTGATTAGAGGCAAGATCCGGATGTTTATATTGTTTGTGTACTTCTATTAGATATTGTTATGTTTGGAAAGCTGGTGTTATGGGTATCTGCAGGATTGTAATGAAAAGTGCATGTATATGATGTATCGTCGTGGATGCGCCTTATTAGACATGTGAGACATCGGACTGTTTATAGTTTGTCTTCTTTTACATATTGTGAGCTTTGTTGTCACCTTTGATGGTGATTGGCGTTTTATTTGAGGGTGCTTTGGATGAGACGGCTTATTATAAAATAAAATCCTCATCAATTACGAATCGCGTTTATAAATCACATGTAGTATTCTCTCTTTCTTCACTTGCTGTCAGCAGTTTGATGAGCTTGACAAACTGCGAACAAAGCACCATAGTCAAACAGGGTAAGAAAGAAAAAGAAGAAAAGCAGAAACTTGTGATGCCAAATTATCGTACATTGCACGTCACGTAACTCAACACTCAGCAGAGAACAAGAGAGGTAAAAATATCAAGAAATAAGGGGAAACAGCAAAACAAGAGAAGAGTCTCTCATAGTTAGATTGATCATATAGAAACGGCGCTCTCCCTGCCCAACTCCAAAAAAAAGATAAAATAAACATAAAGATACAACGGACTTTCATATCCTGTACAATAAGTGAGAGGTCGCCGGCTGGGTTCTCAATTGAGTAGACCGGTTGAGATCTCAAATATGCACCACACAGACAAACTCAGAACTCGCTGAGATACAGTGGAACTAGCAAATGGATTTTTTCGCACAAGGGGAAAATATGGGATGGCTCTCAGGGCTATATGTCGGTGCGCTTCTTTACGAAATCCCAGAGCATCTTCAGTAGATTTTCTGGCATTGTGTAAAGATCGAGGTGGAATTCTCCTTCTAAACGGGATTGAGGTATAATTAGCAGGAGTTGAGTTATAAGAGCATCACTAGAATAGAATAGTACCTTCTACGTCGTTCTTGATATACATCTCCGGGGTTCGGTTGTCGGTCACCATCTGCACGACCTGCAGTAAATCATCCTCGCCAAGTTTTTCGAGAGACTCTGCTAATCGATCCATATCGATCTGCAAACATGAATTAGAAATCAATATAATGATCAGCATCAGAGATCAGAAAGACATACCGAAGGCTTGTCATGTTTGGTTTTCTTTTTTGAGGAATCGCCGCTCTCGTGCTTTCTCTTCTTGGACTCGTCAATGGCCGGGCTCCCGCTCGACACGACAGACTCAGGCACGGGGCCGGACTCTGCCAGCACCTTTGCAAGAGCGGGACGGTTGGTGGGGAATGACTAAACGAAACGCGTGCAAAGGTCAATAAATGAGTTCTCGCGCAGGGAAGAGTTGAGAGCTCGACGTACCAGCTTATGAAGGACTTCGTATTTTTCTTCCAAGAAGTTCAAGTCATGGACAACTGTGTGTTCACCACCTTTATCCATGACGTGCAAAGCCACAGTCATGTCGAATTCACCCCATCCCTGTTCTTCGAGCTTGAACGGTGGTTTTTTGAGAGCTGTTTCGTACCCACAGGTTAGCATATATGCCAGCGATCACGCCCGCGCCCGGGTAGGATCATAGAAATAACATACTTCTGTTGGGATTGTTGAATGTAGGATGCAGCCTGTATGTGACTTTATCAAATATGTTTGCGGGCACTTCCTCGCCCGAAGGTCCGACCAAGCAGACTCTGACGGACCATTTTCGCATAGGAAAGCCCTCGGCCGCGGGTTCGAGATCAGTGAGGATCTCACTTGTGGTCGTTATTTTGACCGTCCGAACAACCTGGAGGATCGATGGTGTGAGTTAACGCTGGCTGAATGGCACGAGATGTATCAACACGACCCCTGCTAAAAGTCTTGTTCCTGTCGAGCCGAGCTATCGCCGGATGCGCGCTTTTGAGGATTGCGTCCAGGATCACGACAGAAGACTAGTCGAAGGCTAAGAATAGGATGAGAAGCAATAAAACGCGTCGATATTGGAAAGAGCGCGCCGGGAGACAGACGAGGGAAGCAGGGGCATGGTGGCTCCACAGGCAAGAAAATGCAGAAGGAGGGATGATCGGAAGAGTCAGGAAAGCAGAGACATACCTCTTGTGTCATTATTGCAAGACAGCAGTTACTGACAAGAACCGGATACCAAAATGAATTGAAAAGAAGCTGATTGAGACGCGATCTTGTTCTTGGAATCAGGAATTGCCTCGAAAAGCAAATGCCGCCTTCGTCAGCGCTGTCACGGCGGCTTTGGACTCTCGCGCCCTTGCCCTATTTTGCCTACTCGGTGTCCACCCAGATAGATCCTTTTGACAATACAATGAATGAATACATGTTCAAAATACTTTGATATCTTGCAGAAGACATTGAAATGATAAGCTGAATTAGAGGCTCGTTGTATTTGCTACCGCTTAGGCGCTCTGCATCATGATCTACGAGATCTACCGCAACTTCTTCATCAACTCCGTCTCCCACCCTCAGCCACTTGTATATCTTTCATAGCAACTCAATAGACTGTTTATTCGTATACTATGTAACACTCCACACCTTGCACCTCTGTCTGATAATATATCTACTTGGCGAAAGCCTTCTCGTTGAGCTCCTGGGCTTCTGTGAACTTCTCCTTGAACAAGTTGGCATCTAAAACAAGTTGAGATATATGTTAGCAAGACTGGAGCACAACTCGTCAAAACTCTCCCACAGCATCTTTCTTACTTTCTGAGTTGCCAAATCGGATGGCGAGAGTCATCGCCTCGGGGGCGCCTTCACTGATATCAGCAGAGACATTGTAGACCCAGCTTCGATCGCTACCGACATTAGGCGAGAGCTTCATGGCGGGAAGGACTAAAAAACACATAGATGGTTAAATAACGACCTACTCAATCTACTCATCAGAGAGCATGACTTACTGTAGTGGTTGGCGCAGGTCTTCAAGGTCTTATCTCGTCGCATCACTAATCTGACCTTTCGGCTCTCTCGGTGCTGCAAGAATCGAACATCACCAGTTCCTCGCTCTTTCCACTCGCCGGGCTCGTTCGTGGTATCAAAACGGAAAAGCTTCGCGCGACTAGATTCCAATCACAACAGTCAGCTCTGTCTTGTTTGTCTCCTTTTCCTACTCCTGAGGCCAAAAGCCGCATGTAGGATGATCGTAGACTTACATCTTGAAAATGGCCTCTTCCTCCTCTTCGTTAGTCTTAACCTCGACCTTCTCGAGCTTGACGACGGGCTCGAAGTGAACATCGGGGGAAGCAGGGGCTTCGTCGTCGTTCTGTAGCTGCGTTAGTACGCCATCTATGATTACAGAACGAGCTTGATCCGGCCCAACTCCTCCAATCAAGCCCAGACCAAACCAACACAATAATAAAACGTAAACACACCTGCTCAGCGGCAGCATCCTCAGCAGCGGGCTTGGTCTCCTTCTCCTTCTTGTCGAGCGAGAAGGCAGAGGTGGTGGACGGGGCTCCACCAAACATGCTAAACACATTGGTCGCGGGAGCAGCGGCAGGGGTCTCCGTCTTGGTCTCGACAGCGGGCTCCTCCTTCTTGGTATCTTCGGCAGCCATTTCAGATTTGTATGTGATCTTTCGTTTATAGAAGAGGAATAGAACAACGAGAATCAGGAAGTTGGATAGGAGGAGTAGTCAGACTTGATCTGGGCTCAAAAAAAAAATAGATATTCCATGATCTCCCACGCCTATGAACTTTATTTAGGAGGGTAAGGGCTGAAGTATTAGGCAACATCTAAACTTTCCGTCTCCATTGTTTCTACGCATTAAGTGGAATTGTTGTGAAGTAATAAATTGATGACAATCATACAAAAGCATGACCAAACAAGAATATGCCAGTCAAGATGTTAGTCTCAACAAAACATATCCTCAATTCAACCTGGTCCGAACGCAATATCCGGCTCCAAACCAAGCACGAGCAGAACCCAGTCTTCCGCAAAAATAGATACACAATAAGAAAAGACAAGATAAATATCAAGAGTATATGAAGCAAATCATCATACAAGTCAGTACCACATAAACAGACAGCTTCAATGCAACCCGCCCCAAAACACCCGCTATATAAACACCCTTCATCTGCAATCCCACAGCCTCCTACCACAAAAGTAAAATAAAATATGCACCCCATATAAAAAAGAAAAGAAATATTATAACAAGTAGGAAGTGTCTACTCAAAACTCCAGTCATAACAGTCCTGGCAGTTTTGAGGCACAACGCAGGTCGGTGTAGTGTTATACGACATCATCATGTCGATGATAGGCCGTATACGATGGTTCGAGATTGAAATATGCCACCGTCGCTCACCGACTGTGTCATATGTGCACTCCAAGCCAGCGTGGCAGGAGGTTTCCATCGCATACCCACCGAGCCAGCAAACCGAGGTTGGACCATTGCAGACACCCATGTAAATGGGATCAGCAGTGTTGCCGATATGCCAGACAGTGCTCTGCTCTGGAGGTATGGGAGGAAACGGCAGGTGAAGACGCTCTGCGGCGAGCTTCTCGCCGGGTGCCTCAAAGGCGATTGTGGGTAAGCCATATGTGCGGCCAAGCAGAGCCGACATAGCGCCACCGAGCGAATGGCCAGCGACCCAAATATTGGCAGTCGGGTACAGCGAAGTGACGTTTCTGTAAATGTCCAGCGCTGCACGGTAGTACTTGTCTTCGGCATAAAGCGACTTTTCCAGGCAGGACTGGTTGCAAGTGTAGGACTTTGAGTAGCAGTCACATACTGTGCTCCACATGTAGCTTATACGAGCGCAGCAGCACGAGAACAGCAGATTGTCCTATGATCTGTCGTTAATACACGTTTTAATCACAAATCAGAAAAAGGAAACTCACGTTAACTTTGTCGCTAGAAACAGTATCACCGTCGCTGTGGAAAAGGGCGGCGCTGGTGCCCTTGATTGCGATGATCACCGTCGAGTTGGACTCGTCGACAAAGATGTGGCCGCGCAGCCCGTTCGAGTCCCATCCAAATCCACCAGACTGTAAAAGTGTTAGAAAATAGCTCGACACCTAAGCGTGGCTGATGTATAGGCCTTACCTCATTGAACGGAATACCCAAATCAATCCAGTCGTTGCCCTCCGGACCGTCGACGTAAGCGTCGGCAGTCAGCTTTGCAAACTCGATAAGAGTGTCGCGGTCAGTGACATCGGGCACCATGATATCATCATCACCCCAGTCGAAATCAACCGCGACAGCGCCGTGGGTGCGGGTGTAGTGCAGATACGACTCCATCGTATCTGGGTCACGCTGCTTCATCCGGGTGACGGTGCGCGGGACCGAGGCCACCTGAAACGCCGCCGGCCCGTCCTCTGGCCGGTACTGTGCTGAGAAGTCGCGACGACGATGGAGCTGCGGGTGGGACTCGGTGCCGTGGTTGAAGATGTGGCGGAGGGTGAACCCAGGGGCGTAGCGATCAGACTCGTGGCGGCTTATCGGGAGCCGACCGATGAAGGGCAACTCGAGGGCGGCTGCTGCGGACGCGCAGAGGAGCGTCACGATAAAGACTGCAAGAAGCAGCGGTACTCGACCGGAAGATGCCATTGCGGATGAACTGTGTGCGGCCAGACAGGGCCCTCTCGACTTTGCTCGTTGTGCTGCTGCTTCTGGCGGGAGTCCGGACCTGCTTATCTGACGATGGCGGTGGGAGCTCGACCGTCGGCGTGACCGCGGTGCTGCGGCGTGGCTGAGTTGTGGCGTATCTGCAACTTACACTGTGCATTTGTGCATCACGTGAAATAGCGTGGATGACTAATCCATCTGAGCCTCATGACGTAGCTACGAGAACTTGTCAAATAGACCACCAGAGTACATCTTCAGCAGCAGATAATGGCCTCCCGCACAATGCTGCTCTTCGCAGGCCGATCGCTGCGGTGCTGCTCGAGCAGGGTTGTTCCGAGATTAATAATAGAGCCACAGCGATGCCTGTTCTCTACAACGTCAGCATGTACGAAGAAGGGGACGCCGATGCCTCCGCGGCCGAAAATGAACGAGGACGAGATCGAGGAGGTGTTTATCAAAGGCGGTGGAAAAGGCGGACAGAAGATAAACAAGACAAACAGCAAAGTGCAGCTTCGACACATACCAACAGGCCTGATAGTCTCCTCACAAGCGACCCGCTCGCGTGAGCAGAACCGAAAGATAGCGCGACGGAAGATGGCTGAAGAGCTGCAGTTCCAGAACGATCCAGAAAACAGCAGACGCGGGAAGTTGATTGAGAAGAAACAAAAGTCGAAGCGGAATCAGAGGAAAAAGGCTCTGAAACGAGCAAGGCAGAGAGAGGCGGACAAGTTGGGTCTTGCTGGGCCGCCAAACTCGCCTCAGATCGAGGGAGATGTACAGTCTGATGCGATCGATCATGAAGAGCCACTTCCAATCGAAGCAATCGAGGCAAAAACCACAGAACATGAGGTTGAGGACGATGGAGAGCCAGATCAGGAAGAGATCGAGAACGACTTACGAATCCTACGGGAGATCGAAGAAGAAGAGCGACAAGAGGCTGCTGCTGCCGCTGCCGAGATTGTCGACGAAGAATACGAGACTGAGCAGCTCGATTTTGAACCTGTTGTTGATCTTCTCTCGTCTCGCAAGAAAAACAAAAAAAAAAAATGAATGAAACAAATTGTATATATATATCACGACAATACAAGCGCGCATACAACTAAATCTTCAAAGAAGTATCTCCTCCCCTCTTACAAGTGCACAGCATCTCGCGGTGACTTCTTCTCCACATTCGGAGTTGAAGGAGTGCTAGCCGGCACGGGCTCCAGAGGCGGTATTCCACTTACCAGCTGCAAAACCTTCTTAATCAGTCCACTCTCGACCGATCCGCTCGATCGGTCATACAGAGACATTATCACTGCAAAACTGCCGGCAAATACCAAAACGTCGCCGTTACTGTAAGCAGTCACATATGTTAGCACTTCTGTGTCAATGCTGTAGATATGATATCAAAAGACTATACTTACGGAATCGTGCGCACCTTGTTGTGCTTAACAAGAGATTTCCAGTACGATTCAGTAGCCATTCTGGCAACAGAAATGTACTGCTGCTTCCCGCCAGAGTTATAGATATAAGCCCAAAGTCCAGCCACGAAACCAATGACTTTCATTCGAGATGTCGGCAGCACATTGTTCGAGATCAGGAATTGCGACGAGCACAGTCCTGACCAGATTGTGGATGACACCATCGTCAAAAACAAGTTTAGTTTAGTCGCACTTCGTGCCATCTCCATCAATTTCAACTTTGTACTGAGTTGAGAAAAAGTGAGTTAGCTTAGTAGTAGTAAAAAAAATTGCGGACGACTCACAGATTCATATCAGCATGACGAACAGATAGAAGAGTCTTGGCTGTAAAGAATGGGAGAATATATCTGGCAAACTGCAGATACTGGCGTGAAAGACTCTTGACATAGCTTGCACTGCACGATTGTTCCATCGGATGCATCAAAGCACATGACAGATTTTTGATGCCAGGGTGTGCCTGCGACACAATCGGATCAATCGAGCTGTAGGCCTTGGGCAAAACATACGAGTCGGGGTACAGAATCGGTGAGTTGAATGGCCTTTCAAGTATCAGTATCAACCCTTGAAAATGCCTCACAAACGGAGAAGTTCTTACGGATATTTATCGAGAGTCACCTGGCTTAAACTATTAACCACGACTTCCGGGCTAGGCCAAGGTAAAGTTTCAGGATACGCCAGAGGTTTGGCTGGGATATAATTCTCGACAGTCTTGCTCATGAACAATTGGAAAGGCTAGAGTTGTGTCAGTATTTGGCTCAAACAGCAAGATATACGAAATAAAGTACCTTGGAGACGCAATCCCGATCATAGTGATACGCATACAACAGCTGAGCAATTGAAAACGGAAAGAGAATCCAGGAGTTGGCTTGCTGACCCAACCAGGCGAATTGTTTCTGAGCAGTCACATAGTTGAATCCATACTCAGCAGCCAAAGTCGCTGTATAGAAAGCACCGTAGGATCGCAGGGGCCCTTTTGGGAGAAGGCCGTAAGCCAAACCAGCCGTCGCAGCCGAGGTAAAGGCAGGGAAGAACTGTGATCGCAGGATTTTAGTGATCTGCCGATGCTTTCGACGAAACTTGCGCGCCTGGCTGCTAAACACCCCCGCATGCAGAGAGGAAGTCACTCGGTAGATGAGGCGGTAGAGAGATAGGAGCAGAGCTAGAGAGAGGGATGCTTTGATCCGCGTGCGATCCAGCAACCGCGGTCTGGGACTATAGAGAAGGTCAGAAACACGTTACTGCAGCAAGAACAAGAAGACAAGCACATACAGAGTCCCCTTTGCTCTCAGATAAGCAATATAACGGCCGGCAAAGGCGAGAAGATAGGTGGCAGAGTAGAGTCGTGAAGAAGTCCGCCAGACGCTGTGTTGAGATGTTAGCATTCTACCCCGCATTGTCCCCACGAATACACCTCTGATCCTGCGATTAGGCTGAGGAAGGGTCAATCGACAAGAGCGGACTTACAGAAGAGAAAACTCGTTGAGCTCAGTGGCCTGCAGTCGAATCTCGTCCGCCGAGAGCAAGTTCCCGAGCCGCGACTTTGCAACAGCGACCGGCCGCAGTTTCGAGGGCTTCTGCAGCTGCGACGGATGCCGTTCTTCAGCAGCGCGCTCGGGCTTTGCGAGCAGTCGCAGAAGAAACTCGTACTCATCTGCAGAGACCACAAAGTTCGCGAGATAGGCAGCGGTCTCTTTGCTGAACACGGTCGAGGGCATTGTTAACTGACGATGTTCTGGCGACTGTGGACGAGCGCTGAGCTGAGATCATCGACCGGCTCATCGGCGAAATCAGGGTTGGGGCCCAATTTTCACAACGCGCGCGCCGCGAGGAGGAACAAGAAAACAAACCAACTCTGCGCAGTTTCTGAGCAGCTGCTGTTTGTTGTCGTGTGCTGGTGTGCGTGCTGGAGATTGAGAGAGTATTATTGCGAGAGTATCTGATATCAGGGCTGCAGAGACCTTTGTCTGGTTACCAGATCGCATAGCAGTCGACCGTCGGCCAGAACTTCGATCTTTGTTTACAGTCACTTATTCGCCTCTTCTTCATCTTCTATCCTCTCCTCGACACAACTGCTGGATGCTGAGCGTGCTTGCTGGTGTATGCGATGGCAAAGCCTGAAGAGAATGGAGCCGTAGACTACTACGCGCTTCTCAATCTGACTTCAGATACCTGCTCGTCTGAGGAAATCAGAAAAGCATACAGAAAACTAGGTATGACCACTTCACTCACTTATACTCAGTCTGCCTTCATTTCTTCTGTTTCGTTTAGTCTCTAACTCCTCTTTTTCTAGCTCTGCTTTATCACCCAGACAAGAACGGCAATCTACCGGAATACGTCGAGAAATTCAAAGAAATCAATCAGGCATCAGATATTCTTCTTGATTCAAACAAGCGCGAAATTTACGACCGAGCACGAGCTGCCCTGCGACCGAAACAAAGACCTGCCTCCAACTTCTCTCCCTGGACTCCGTCAAAGTTTACCTATGCCGGTCAGAGTTACAACAGATACCACGACAGCTCGCCGTCAAAGAAAAATTATACGCAGCGTGAGAGTTTTACAAGAGAGTCGTATGCGCAGAGTAAACCATACTTTGCCGGACGCACGCCATTCAAAGCTCAAAATTCTACAAACGGGACAAACCCTACCAACGGTACATCGCCACGCAAAGGTCCAAGTGCATTCTCATACACCTCTGCCAGCGCAACACCAAAGCAGAGTCCTCGAAAAGCGCCGACTGCTGCAAAGTCAACCGCTCAGACCCCTCGACGGACTGCAAAGACTGAGCAGGCAAAGCAGCCGGTAGACCCCGCTCCAGAGCGCGGATGGGGCAGGACAAAAACAACCTACTCATATCGCAGTGGGGAAAAGACATTCACCGGTGACCTCCCAGAGGTCCATCACATGTCTCGTTCAAACTCCCAGTCCTCCTCGACGGCCGAACCGGCTCCAAAGCATAGAAAAAGCTCTGCTGCTGCTAACGCTTCTACTACCGAAGATGGTTCGTCTAATACAACTTCACCACAAACCGGCTCCGGCAAGACCTCTCGAAATGGCTCAACAACACCGCCAAAGTCCAACAGAACAAATAATCAGTCAAATGGCACTTCGAATCAAAAGACGTCCTCGGAGCAGGGTACTCCTCATTTCAAGTTCAATATCCCGTAAGTTACATCAAGCACTTTTCATTTTGACGTCTTCAGGATCTGAACTAACTCATTGTCCATACAGTGGCAACCGAAATGCCCAACCAAAAGCGCGAGAATTCAAAACTCCCGACAGCTTCGACTTTGGCCCTATGGGATCAAATAAATCAGGATTCATGTTTGGCTCTCCAACGCCTAATCCCGGCTCGCGGCCAACGACCACCAAGATCGACCTTGATGAAGGTAGCGAAAGTGACCCGGTGGAAATCAAAGAAGAAAGCCCGCGTAAAGAGCGAAGGCGCAACAGTGTTTTTCCGAATCCGTTTACCGAAAAGGTTGTCGATCTAACCAACGAAGATGACGAAGCCGTCCATGAACAGACTTCTGCGGACTCTGCCAACAAGTCTGGAAACTTCGACAAGAAGAAAGACTTCTCGAAGGATGCCTGGTCAGAGTTTTGGGATACCAATCCGCTGTATCCTACTGACTTCCCGACATCGGCGACGAAGCAGAAAGGTCGCAGACCACGAGCCTCTCCCACCCCCAAAAAGCCGACTGGAGCCAGAGTTGGTACGAGCTATGAGCGTTCGGCATCCAAAGATCGCGATAGAAATCCTACGCTTGAGGAAGTTGACGACAACTCGGACGAGGAGTACGAGGCTGGGTGGGAGTCTCCGGATAGCAGTCCTGATGAGCAGCGCTGGATGCCTAATGATCGGCCAAAATCAAATCCTGAAGACCGCAAGATCAAGACTCCTTCTCCGAAAAAAACAGGTTCTAAAGCTGATCCGACCGCAGCCTCCAACGGGCACTTCAAAATGGACGATCTGAAGCATACAATTCCCAATGAGTTCACTACCGAAACACACGATGTGACTATGGATTCTCCCATAAATCCGCCTCTTTCGCCGGGAGAGCGATCTGAGCCAACGACTCCGGTCGACGTACAAGACACCGATCTTGTGTCTGATATTCCGTTTGACCGCAACGCTCCGGTGGATCCCAACTTCCGCTCAACTCCGGTGCAACCCCCGCCTACTGTTATCGACTACCATAATTCAGCGGCGATTTTCAACATCACGTCGCCTGTGCCGCCGATTGTCCCTTCGATCAGTGCCGGGGATGTAGAGCTTGCGAATTACTGGCAGGACGTGCTCCGCTACCAGTCTCAGTGGAATGACTATCAGCTCAAGATGACGCTTTATTTCAGTGAGCGCCAGCAGGCGGATCAGCTAAACTCTTTAGACATTATCTCGCAGTCTGGAAATCTGAATGATTACGTAGCTGTTTTGCAGCAAGATGAGCGCGTGCGCGCTTCCTGGAATCTGGCTTTGCAGATCCACAAGCAGGTAATGGTGAATTTGCTTGGTGTCCGTCGGTTGAAGGAAGGATGGTGATTAGTTGTATATATAGCTCGAGTTTGTGATAAGGATCTGAGATTTAATGTTATATTATATGGAGGATGTATATTAAGGATCAACAATCTATTTATTAAACAAAACTCCGTTACTCTTACAGAATAGAGGATACTTGTACAAATAGAGATCAGGCGTAGGTAGCGGCAAGCGTCTCTGCCATTTTCTCGAGCAAGACATCGTTCTCCTCTTTTGTACCGACGGTTATTCTCAGCGCACCAACACAACCGGGCTCCTTTCCTCTAAATCTAATAACAACTCCCTTGTTTTGCGCCAGTGTTTCGTAGACCTTATTAGCGACAGCCGAAGACGGCTCGCCGCCGGGCTTGTCGAGGATCTGGACGAGCAAGAAATTCGAGTCGTTGCCGCCAATGAATTTCCCGACGCCGGGGATCTTGGGCAGTTCGGTCAAAAGTCTATCGCGCTGCTCGATGATTGCGGCAAGCTTTACTCGCATGTTTGCGATGCTTTCGGGGGATAGAGCGAGGAGAGCTAGTTCGCTGGTGACGGAGGAGATGTTGTAAGGCGCCTTGACGGCGTTGAGTATTCTCGCAATCGGAGCAGAGGTATAGGAAACTCCGAGACTATCGTAATGCAAGCAAGTTAGTGTCAGAGTCGGTTGGAGAAATAACATGATCAGAGCGGATCTTACCGAATACCCGCCATGCCGAACGCTTTCGAAACGGTCTGCATGACAATGAGGTTGTCGTATTTCGTCACCCAGGGAGCCAAAGAGCTTCCGGGAGCGGAGAAATCAATGTACGCCTCGTCGACGACGACGATTCCGTTCCATGACGGCAGCTCGAGGATTTTCTTGACGGCAGCGGGGTCAACTAGCGAGGCCGTAGGATTTCCAGGCGAGCACAGGTACACGACGTGGATTGAAGGGTCGTTGGTAAGCGCTTCGCAGACGGCATCTGTGCGGACAGGGAAGCCGGGGGTCGCGAGGTCAAGGTCGACTTTGACGACTTCGACGTCGTTGACGTTTGCGGAGACACCGTACATGCCGTAGGTAGGTGGGCATGTGAGCATTTTCTCGCGGCCGGGGGCACAGAAGCAGCGGATGACGGTGTCAATGCACTCGTCTGAGCCGACGCCAACGTACAGGTTCTCAGGAGTCAAGGGCACGACTGACGGGTCATCTTTCGAGGGCTCGTTTCGCAGATTGCAGAGAAGCTGCTTGACGTCTTCTTGGTGGGGGTCGGGATATCTGTTGAGGCCGGCGAGCAGTTTTGCGGAAAGAACGGCGTTGTCGTCGAGGTTCATCTCCTCAATTTTGAGCGACGGTCCGTAGGCATTCTCGTTTGCGTCGAGAAGAACACCGGTTTTGTAGTCACTGTGAGAGTCAATATCAGTCGAAGGCTCATGTATCGAGGTATGATGGGGAAGGGTAGACGTACTCTCGCGCGCAACGGTAAGGCTCGAGGGAGTAGATGTTTGGCCTGGTGATGGCCTTGAGGTCAAAAGCCGGCGAGGTCAGGTTCGCGACGGTCATTGCTTGGAAGAAGAGTAATTGAGCAGTGAAGAGGAGCAGAACCGGGAAGCAGGACTATATCGGCCCTGAAATCTCACGATGAGTCTTAGAGCAGCGCCGCCGCACGGATTAGTGAGGACTGAGAAATACGCATCACGTGCTGAGAATTACTTATGACGCGTTATTGTGGGCAAGGGGTCGAAAAAAATTCGACTACGCGCTTCCACGCGAATCGGCAACGCAGAAAGCTGAAGCAACAAGACTCGCAATCACTCGCAAACACCAGCTTCGGATATCAACTATCGAATCTGAAGAAAGATGCAGGCTCCTGTAGTTGTTATGAGTACGTTGGAGTTTGGGAATTACGACGGAATTGAACGCTGACTGACGACTTTTCTGATAGATGCCGGCGGAGAGCGCCAAACGGGAAGGCGTGCGCAGATTTCCAACATCACTGCTGCAAAGACGTATGTGGTTTGATCGGATTGGTTGTTGATGATGTTGTATTGACTGATTGATTTTGATTGTAGTGTGGCTGATATTATCCGGACATGTCTGGGCCCCAAGGCTATGCTCAAGATGCTGTTAGATCCTATGGGAGGTATGTTTAGCAATCTGTGATTGACGCACCAGACAATGTACTGACGATATGGCTGGCAGGAATTGTTCTCACTAATGACGGACATGCTATATTACGCGAGATCGAGGTTTCGCATCCTGCCGCTAAGAGTATGATTGAGCTCAGCAGAACACAGGTGCGTAGTCTCATCATGATAGAGATGCAGAGAAATGCGAGGCTGACTGTTTTATTCTAGGATGAGGAGGTTGGCGACGGCACCACGACTGTTATCATTCTTGGTATGGATACTTAATAGTTTTAGTGTTTTTGTTTGATGGCTTGCGCTAACAATGTGTAGCTGGTGAGATTCTCGCGTTTGCGTATCCTCATATCGAGCGCAACATCCACCCCGTCGTGATCATTTCCGCCTTCAAGCAAGCTCTTGCTGATGCTCTTGAGATCATCAATGAGATTTCCGTGCCTGTGGATGTGGATGATGAGGAGCAGATGCTCAGTCTGATCTCTTCGTCTATCGGCACCAAGTTCGTTTCTCGTTGGAGTCCGCTTATGTGCCGATTGGCATTGCAGGCTGTGCGGACTGTGGCTATTGAGACGAACGGTAGACGGGAGGTTGATATCAAGCGATATGCGCGTGTTGAGAAGATTCCCGGTGGAGAGATCGAGGACTGCAAGGTTCTTGATGGAGTGATGATCAACAAGGACGTTACTCATCCCAAGATGAGACGGAGAATAGAGAACCCGCGAATCATCCTGCTTGATTGCCCGTTGGAGTACAAGAAGGGAGAGTCGCAGACGAACATTGAGATCACAAAGGAGGAGGACTGGGCCCGTATTCTGGAGATTGAGGAGGAGCAGGTGAAGCTTTTGTGTGAAACCATTCTCTCGTTCAAGCCTGATTTGGTCATCACCGAGAAGGGAGTTTCTGATCTTGCCCAGCACTACTTGTTGAAGGGTAACGTGACTGCGCTTCGTCGTGTGCGCAAGACCGACAACAACAGAATTGCGCGCGCGACCGGTGCGACTATTGTTAACCGGGTCGATGACTTGCGCGAGACTGATGTCGGCACAAAGTGTGGTTTGTTCAATGTTGAGCTGATTGGAGACGAGTACTTTACGTTTATCACCGAGTGCAAGGAGCCGACTGCGTGCACGATTATGCTTCGCGGACCCAGCAAGGATATCTTGAACGAGATTGACCGTAACTTGCAGGATGCTATGTCGGTTGCTCGCAACGTCTACTTTGAGCCCCGGTTGTCGCCAGGAGGAGGAGCGACTGAGATGGCGGTCAGTGTTTTGCTCGCAGAGAAGGCAAAGAGCATCGAGGGAATCACTCAATGGCCTTACCGATCTGTGGCCGAAGCCATGGAGGTCATCCCGCGCACGCTTGCTCAGAACTGCGGCGCCAACCCGATCAAGGTTCTCGCCGAGCTGCGCGCGAAGCATGCTGAGGGCAATCATACGTGGGGTATCAACGGTGACACAGGCAAGATTGTGGACATGAAGGAGTACGGTGTCTGGGAGCCGGAGGCGATCAAGCTGCAGAGTATCAAGACTGCTATTGAGAGTGCGTGCCTGCTTCTCCGAGTGGACGATATTGTCAGTGGAGTGAGAAAGCAGGAGAGTGGTGCCGCGGCCCCGCAAGGCGGACCCCAGGGCGGACCTCCTGGACCTGAGTAGTTACGTGGTTTGAGAATTTAAAGGACAGCGGTTCCAGTATATAGTCAACTCAAGTTCGAATGTGTATTTATTATTAGTTTTGTATTGCCTACGGAAAATGTATTATCGTCAAAAATATTGTCAAAAAACCCTGAACGCCATTAAATGAACCCCAACGTAAACTAAGAGAGAATGTTGTACATCGTCTGAGAGATTGTCTTTACAGATCAAGCGCCCGCAGTAGGTGGAGGTGGTGCTGGATGCAGGTACTTTTGGATCAGTTCGAGCATGTGATTTCCCTGCTCCTCCGTAAACCGCTGCTCATACTCTTCAATCAGACAGTAGAGAGTTACAAGAGATGTAGGAGCGATGTTGATAATCTGCAGTTTCTCTGCCTTTTCGAGGTCGTAGACTGAGATCTCTTGCATGAAGGTCTTGATATCTGCCGGGTTCTGCTTTGCTGCTGCGGAGTGCGCTTTTTCGCCGAGATAGGTATGTAGCTGTGCACGAGCTGTTAGTCAAAAGCTGATGTATTTTTGACAACAAATTGCCTACTTCGAGGAGGATTGTCTCGAGGTTCTCGGTCTTGAGAGCTGAGCGGTGCCGGGAAGCAGAGGACTGTTTCTGCCGACGCTTGATGTCGTTGATGTGTTGCAGGACCTCGAAGTTCGAGAGGAGTTTGTCTCTTGCTACTTCGGCCTAAATAACAGTTAGCAGAAGAAACTATTGTAGCTGTAGAATAGTAAATACCTTCATCGTTGTTTGTGATGATGATTAAAATGGTTTTAATCGATTTAAATTTTTATTTTCGCTGGCACCCAAAAGTTTCGCGTTGCGAACAAAAAACTAAAAAAGCGCGAACGAAACAAATATTTTTATTCGCGTCTTCCTGCTGTTCTGGATCCGCTCGTCTTCCTGTTCCCTTCCAGTTCTCGACTGTTTGATTCTTTCATTCCTTGCTTCTTATCATACATAGAATTCATACAACTCACATCTCTTGCTGACCGCAAGAGCAAAAAGCAAACATGGAGAACCAGAACTCAAAGCGCCGAGGCTCCCTTGTCTCGCCGCCTCCCGAGAGCCGAGCAGCGAAGCGTGCGCATTCAGAGATGGGCGAGTCCGAAATGGTGTTTGAGGACGAGACCACGAACGTGTTTGAGGAACCGTTGGCGTCGACAATCCCGGCAGACAATTGCGAAGACGTCGAAGACCAAGATATGGAGGACTACGAAGAAGGCGGCGAAAACAAAGGCGAAGAGACCCCCTCAGATCTATCGGTCAGGAATTCGCCCTCTGCCGCTGCCGGCAGGAAATCCTCGCTCAACAACGGCGTCGGTGGCGAGAACACAAAGCTCACCGTTCCGCTCGGAGATTCGGTGGAGTGGCAACGGACAATCGAGAAGGTCGTCAAAAGCGTCGTCTCGATTCGGTTTGCGCAGATTGCGAACTTTGACTGCGAGTCCGCTCTCGTTAGTGAGGCTACTGGATTCGTGGTCGATGCCGAACGGGGACTCATAATGACTAACCGGTGAGCATTCCTGTCTCTCTATTGTTGACTTGTGTGAGTCTAGTGAACTAACTGCGGGTTTTAGACATGTCGTCGGAGCTGGCCCTTTCACCGGATTTGCAGTCTTTGACAATCACGAGGAGGTAAGTTCGATTCTCACATGCTTGTATTATGAGTTAGGCTGCTAACTCCAAGACAGTGCGATGTTCATCCACTCTACCGCGACCCCGTTCACGATTTCGGCATTCTGCGATTTGATCCCAAAGCCGTAAAGTACATGGAAGTCAGTGCGCTCGAACTGCGTCCCGACCTTGCCCGAGTCGGATCAGAGATTCGGGTTATCGGTAACGACGCGGGAGAAAAGCTCTCGATCCTTTCCGGCTTCATCTCGCGACTCGATCGAAATGCTCCGGACTACGGTGACCTGACCTACAACGATTTCAACACGGAGTATATCCAGGCAGCTGCGAGCGCTAGTGGTGGGTCTAGTGGCAGTCCTGTTGTCAACATCGATGGATATGCCGTCGCGATACAGGCAGGTGGAAGCAGCGAGTCGTCGACAGATTACTTCTTGCCGCTCTATAGAGGACTCCGAGCTCTAAAGTGCGTCCAGAGCAATGAACCAATCACTAGAGGTACAATCCAAGTCCAGTGGTACTTGAAACCTTTTGACGAGTGCCGAAGGCTGGGACTTGTTCCAGAGACCGAATCTCTCATCAGAAAGAAATTCCCCGACAGCATTGGCATGTTGGTTGCCGAGACAGTCTTACCAGAAGGCCCAGCAGACTCACTGATCGAGGAAGGAGACTGCCTTGTGAGCGTGAACGGTGAGCTTCTGACCAAATTCGTTCGACTTGATGAGATTCTCGATGCATCCGTCGGCGAGAAGATTCAGATCGTGATCCAGCGAGGCGGCGTGGACTTTGAGATCGAGGTCAAGGTGGGCGATTTGCACGCAATCACCCCGGATCGATACGTCGAAGTCGCGGGCTCTACTTTCCACAACCTCAGCTACCAAATGGCGCGGCAGTACGCGATCCCCGTGCGAGGAGTATACGTCGCCGACCCTTCGGGCTCGTTCAGACTCGACCGCGACCGGGGCTGGGTCTTGGAGAGTATCGACAATAAGCCTACACCGGATCTGGATACGTTCATTGAGGTCATGCGGACAATCAGAGATTGTCAGTGGGTGGCGGTTACGTGCCGCAATATCCAGGACATGCATACGAGCAGTACGTCGATTACGTTTATAGACAGACATTGGACGGGCCAGTTCAGGCTCGTGACTAGAAACGACAAGACCGGGTTATGGGACTACACACCTCTTGGAGACCCGCTCCCCCCACTCCCGCTCAAGCCACAGTCTGCGAACTTTACCGAACTCAACAACCGAAACATTGGAAAGGCTGCGGATCTGATCCGGTGCTTTGTGAAGGTGACTTGCCTGATTCCAATCAAGATCGACGGATTCCCGCGGTCGGTGAAGTACGGCCAAGGTCTTGTCGTCGACGCGGAGAAGGGTTTAGTGGTCGTCGCGCGCAGCATCGTACCTTACGATCTCTGCGATATCATCATCACCGTCGCGGATTCGGTCATGGTCCCAGGAAAAGTTGTCTTCTTGCATCCCTCACAGGGTTGGGCGGTGGTTTCGTACGACTCGAGCCTTGTCGAGGCGCCGGTCGAGTCTGCGGTCCTGAGCAAAGAACCCGTCCAGAGAAACACGTCGACGATCTTTATGGGATTCAGCGCCAACAGCCGGATGCTGGTAGCGCAAACTACAATTACGGACGTGTCGACGATGTCGGTACCGGCAAACAGCCAGACCCCGCGGTACCATGCCATTCTGATTGATGGCGTGACGGTGGACACAGTTTTGGGCGGACAGTGCGGATCAGGTGTGCTGGTGAACACAGACGGCGTGGTGAACGCTCTATGGCTCACGTTTTTGGGCGAGCGGAATGCAAACAGTGGTCGCGACGTCGAGTATCGAGTTGGAATAGTGACTTCGGCGATGTACGACATTCTGGAGAAGCTGAAGTTAGGCGAGCAGCCTAAACTGCGGATTTTGGACGTCGAGCTGAGTACTATCCAAATGAACCAGGCGCGGATCCGGGGGGTGTCTGACGAATGGATCCAAAAGGTCGAGGAAGTGAACAGTGAACATCATCAGCTTTTCGCCGTGAAGAAGATTGTTTGTCCGGCTGCGGATAGCCCCCCGCAGACACTGATGGAGAGCGATGTGATTTTGAGCGTGAACGGACAGCCGCTGACGCGAGTCTCCGAGCTCGACGTGGCGTACTACAACGAATACTTGGACATGACAGTCGTGCGGAAAGGGCAAGAAGTACAGTTAAAGGTGCCGACGGTGTCGACCGACAACCTCGACACGGACCGGATCGTGGTCTGGTGTGGCGCGATTCTTCACGAACCCCACCACGCCGTGCGCCAGCAGATCCGCAAGTTACACTCCGGTGTGTATGTCTCCGCGCAGATGGCGGGTAGCCCGGCGTACCAGTACTGCATGGCGCCGACCTCCTTCATCACGCACGTGGACGGCAAGCCTACGCCTGACCTCTCGAGCTTTTTGGAAATCGTCGCAAAGATCCCTGATAACACGTACACGCGTCTACGAATCGTTTCATTCGAGAGCGTGCCGTTTGCGAGCTCGGTCAAGTCGAACATGCACTACTTTCCTACCTTGGAGCTCGTGAAGGATAAACAGGTCGCGGGCAGTTGGAAGCGGTTCACGTACGAGAACGGCGTGAGACAAGAGCATGGGCATGCGCCGAATGGGGAAGCGATAGAGGAGAAGGTTGGTGGACAGGGTGGAGAGGATGAGGGTTTAGATGAGTAGGATTTTTTGTTATGACCAGGAGGATGATCGAGGACCAAAAAGCATTAAAATTTAGTTTACTGTAAATAATATCCCGCGGGCTCTTGTTCAATAACAGTGAAAAAAGAAGAGTTATATTTTAAACTATTAATGTACCATCAAACCGACCCAACAGCTTATTTGACCCAGTCAACCAACTGCTTTCCGAGGTCGTAAATAGTCTGCTCCAGAGGGATATACTCCAGCCCAAGCTCCTTGATCGACTTTGAGTTATCCGAAGTAAACAACTCGTCCGCCGTCGGCTCAGGCTCGGTAGCCTCGGTTGGCACCTTCCCCTTGAGCTCGGGGAAGCTCTTGAGCAACAAGTCCGCGATCGTCTTGAACGAGAAGCTACCGCCCGAGACAAAGTATCGCTGGTTCTTCGCCGCCTCTTTCTCGATGCAGAGAACGTGCGCGAGCGCGACGTTGCGGACGTCGACCCAGAGCGGGACACGCAGCGGCGGAATCGTCTTGAGCGAGCCGTTCATCAGCGTCCAGATCGAGTCGTTCGAGGTGTTGATCGTCTCGGGAGTCACTTTGTGGATCATAGGGCCCCAGACTAGCGGCGGGTTCACGGTCGAGATTGTGAAGTTGGGCTTCTCCTTCTCGAGGAAATCCCAGGCGGCTTTCTCGGCAAAGGTCTTGCTCGCGCGGTAGGTCGTCGTCGCGGGACCCGTCACGGCTTCTTCCCAGGTAACCTGCAAGAATGAAACAGTTGTCAGCTTTTTCCTGCCTCAACGTTAAACTCCGAAGTTCACACATACAGGGTTAAAGTCCTTCTCCGAGTACGCATATCCCGGGCGATTACCCTTCGACGCGTCGATAATCGCCGCAAACGATGAGGTGATTACAATCTGCTTGACCTGCGGAGCATAAGCCTTAGTCGCCTTGAGCACGCTCTCGGTGCCCTTCATCGCAGGATCAAGCAAGTCCTTAACCGGATCGGTGACGCGGAAATGGAACGGCGACGCAGTGTGGATGATGTACTCGATCCCGGGCGTCTTGATTGCTTCGTCAAACGCGTTCGGCGCGGCAATGTCCGGCACAATCACAAACGAGAGCTTCGAGGTAGCTGGGTAGAGCGACTTTAGGTACTCGGCTTTATCATCCGAGCGAACGGTCGCGACAACCTCGTAGTCTTTCTCGAGAAGGTACTTGAGCACCCAGCCCGCGATGAAGCCAGAGGCTCCGGTAAGCAAAACTTTCGTCATTGTGAGTAGAGATGAGGAAGTGGAAGGGGAATTGAGCTTCTGCTGTGGGTGTGGGAAGAGAAGACAGGATGGGGAAGAGAGGGAAGGAAGAGGAGCTAGGACAGAAGCGATAAGAAGCAGACGAGCGAGGGCGCCGCCGCACCCCGCAGGGCCATCCCGCGTTTGCTTCCGCGCCCCCACTGCGGAAGATGCATTTGACTTTGATAGTTGGTGATATTACTATTAACATATAGACACAGACAAATAAACAAACGGTAATCAAAAAGGTTTCATAAATGGCGTCAATAGCAGATGTAGATAGATAAACGACCCATGTAACTCCTTTACACTAGAAAACTAGACACTAAACACTAGACATAAAAGATTTCCTTCTTCAAAACAAAACACATCCCAGATAAGGTACACGCAATAGACAATAGATATAGCAAAATAACGAGGTTTCCTTTCGCCAACAGTACGGGACGTGAGTCTCCCAAAAATACATACAGAAGGTTGATAAATGCTCAGAGCGGTATGACAAGAGCGTCCAAAAAAATGATCCCAAAAAGCATTGAAAGACAAAAATTGTACAAGAAGCTGTCAAAAGTCAGATGATACAAAATTTACATATGTGTCTCGAGCAGATCGCTCGCCATGCGTCCGAAACCCACGTCAGCATTCGCAGATGCTGCCATGGATCCGTCGATCACTGGCAGATACTGGAACCTTTCCTCGCTGTCTTCCCGGAACTGCAGCCAGTCCCACGAGAGTTCGTCAGCAAAGAAAGAGGAGCCGTTGTCGCCGCTCGCGCCCGCGTGCGCCGGCGCGACTCCTCCGCCTCCGGTCATATCGATTTCCCGCATCGCGTTCACTTCTCGCCCTTCATCGGCATGATCCAGCATGCTGAATTCTGGAACACTGGTGGCGTGAGACGAAGACGAGACACCGCTTGCGCTGTCGCCTGTGCTGTCGCCTGTGCTGTCGCCTGTGCTGTTGTCCATCGTAAGTGGAGACACTGAATTCACTTGCGAGGTAGGCGACGCCTGGGCTTTGATGTTGAGCTGCGCGTTGTTGAGCTGGTTTCCGCCCCCTTGTCGGAAAAACTCGTCAAATTTGAGCTGGATGTCGTCAATCTGTTTGAGTTGGCGTTGGACAACCGGGTCTGACGGCATTCGCTGCAAAGGCTGCTGCTGTTGCACTGGCATCTGATGGAGTGGCTGTTGATGCTGCTGCTGTTGTTGTTGAATCTGCTGCTGCTGCTTTTGCTGCTCAGCCAAAGCTCTTGCTTTCTGATCCATCATCCGCGACGAGCTCTCGTAGGTTTTGATAATCCCATTAAGCTCCTCGCGAATAGCAAAGCTAAGATTCTTCAGCATCTTGTAAGACTGCATCGCCATCGCGTTATTCTTCTTCAACTCCCTGAACCACTTGACGTTGCGCTCTAACGCTTTGCAGCAATCAATCGCGCCCACGGGCCCCGCAATCTGGTCTTCAAGAAACGAGACGTCGTTCTCCTGCAGATCGACGGCGAGGTTGTACCCGCGCTCAGCCAGGCCTGGTCGGGCCTTGAACTCCCTCATCAGGCTCCGGCAGAGCAACACGCTCGTCTCGAGGATCGAGTAGGCCATCAAGAAGTCGCGGTGCATATACGGCTCGCAATCACGAAGCGACTGGTCGCACACGTTCAGCAGTTCGAGACAAACGGCCTGGGCATTGCGCAGCGGCGCGCCGCGGCGGTAGAAAGTGATGCAGAACGAATAGACCGTCTTTGCGAGCATGTACCGATGACTGGCCAAATACGGGAACTGCTGGTCGAGACTGGTGTCCGGGTTCTTGACGCGGAAGTGAGGGGGCAACGACTCTGCAAACTTTGTGAGCTTGCGGACGCACAGCGCCGGATCGTCGTCCATGTCAGAGGCAATCTCAGCCAGCTTTGCGACGTAGATACATTTCGTCAGCGGCGTGATTGTGTGCTCGCCGACCCGGGGAGCACTATCTGGCCTCACGGTCGGGAAGTAGCCGTCGTCTGGAAGATCGAGCGGGAAAGGTGTCTTGCACGACGAGTTTGAAATCATAAACGGCCGCGACAGCGCGATCGACATGCACCGGTCCCAGTAATAGATGGCCATCCAGATGCGACGCTTTCGCTCGCGGGTGTAAGAAGGCGGAGTGTTTGGCTCTTCGGCATGGAGCTTGAGCTGCTGCGCGATGCGAATCGTGGTGGAGATCGTGTACCAGCCGTCTTTGAGACGTCCTTCGTACTTGAAAAACGCACTGCGAAGGAGATGCTCGACAACCTTAGTCATACAGTCCGGCAGCATGTCTGAGAGATTCGTGGCAGAGGTGTCGAAATCGCGGATGAGCTGCGGGGTGTCGCTTCTGTACTGACGGACGACCTCGCGAGTTTGATCCGGCATGAAGTAGAGCGAGATGCTCATAAGCCTGAAGATGACGGTGGCGATCTCGACCGCGCGCACGCTCGTGCGATCGGTGATTCTCGTAGACCACTCTTCATACGCATTCTCGAGAGCGTTGCGATTGACGATATTGTAAAAATCGCACTTGTCAAAGAAATTGCGGAGAAGGGTCTCGACAATCGGACGGGGAGGCATGCACTGCAGCGAGTACATTGCAATCTGCCTGTCCTTCTGGTTGCGGATGACCGGCCCATCGGGACCAGAGGGTTCGTCGCTCGTGAACTCGTTCTCGCGGCTGTTTGTGTACAGGAGCAGTTCCGAGAGATCTTTGCGGAGCCCGGAGTCGTCGTCGTCGTCGATCAGACCGAGACGGTCTGCGATTTCAAAGCGCTCGTGTTCAGCTTCGTCATCGTCGTCGTCGTCGCTGTCGTCGTCGCTCTGCTCCGGGCTGCTGCCAATGCCTGAGCTGCTACTGCTCGACACACCACCGGCGTAGTAGGGCGAGTTGTCGCCCGCGCATCTGCGCTTGCTAGAACGAGAAGAGACGGAGCCCGATCGCTGGATCCCTGAAGGCGGGTCGAGAGAGGAGGGCTGTGGCAAAGGGTAGATCTGCTCGGTGGCGGAGGGGGCAGGGACGATGGGGTGCTGAGCGAGAGGCTGATGGAGCTGGGGCGTGATGGATGAGGGTGTGGTGATTGCAGTCGGGGCGGCGACAGACCTGGGTGCGCTAGCGGCGGCAAAGTAGAAGGGGGTGATAGAGTCGGAGGAGTAGAACGGGCTGATAGAGGGAGCGTACGGCACGGGAGAGGACGAGCCGCCGGAGAGGAGCTGCGGGTCGGCGAGAGGCGGCTGGGTGTGATGGTGGAGGTGCGGGTACGTGGGCGTCGAGGATGAGGGGGAGCTGGACGAGGAGGCGGCCGCGGTGGGGATCTGGTAGAACTGCCGAGGCTGCTGGTGGTAGGGATCATGCGACTGAGACTGCGAAGAGGAGTCGAAGGTGCGGGCGGGTTTGGAGGCGGGCGTGGCTTTTTTCCGCGAAGGGTTGGAGTACTGGCAGAGAGGTTGGACTTTGCGGGCGATGCACTGGTTACAAGGAAGCTGGCGATCGCACTAGAGTAGGGAAGAGAACGAGTGTCAGCCATTTACTGCAGAAGAAGCAAGAGAGAAAGAAGAAACACAAGACAATGAAATGAAAAGAACGCACTTTCTGCTTGCGTCGGTGGCACTCGGTGCAGGAGACGACGCGGGTTTTGCGGTTGTGCTGGGGTGCTGCGCCGTTTGGAGGCGGAAGGGAGGATGGGTTGGGTGCCGAGGGACTTATTTGCGGTGGCCCGTTTGCGTAGGTCGGAGCAGGCCACATGGCTCAACGAAGGCAGCGAGAATGGGATGTGGGATCGGGATCAGGGCGGCGAAGAGGCGGACGAGGAGGAGGAGCGGAGGACGGCGAGCGGGAAGGAAGAAAGGAAGGAAGACAGATTGAAAACGGAGTCGCTTGCAGTACCACCGGCAGAGGAAGTCTAATGACTAATCGCTTAGTAGCAAGACTTAAGCTTTTAAGCTTTAAGCTCAGAGCCTGGAACGGTCCGAAAGTCCGAAAAAGGGTGCGCCACCGACGGACGAAGGGGACGGGCGAGAGAGTGAGGATCTGAGAGGGCGGAAGAGGTGGTGAAGACAGGCAGCAGGACGGGATGGAGAGCGGAGGCACAGCGCGAGGGTCCTCGAAGGGTTATATACCGGCGACGACGGCAGCGACGGCACGAGCAGAAGATCATCCAGATTAGGTCATAGTCGCGCCCACCACGGCCAGGAGCTGCGTGTACACTGGACACCCTGCGCACACGCACCCACGCCGGCCTCGAGATATCGACAATACACACAAAGGACGTGACTAGATTTAATCAAGCACAGGGAGCACAGGTCCGTCTGACGCCACTGCCGGCAGTGCTGCGCTAGCGCTGCTGCTGACTACCAACACTCCTTCTCGCCCGTATCTGTCCAAACACGGACACGAAACAATATGATGATCTACGCAGCAGCAGCTGAAACGAACGCCATCTACACGGAAGCGAGCCCCGGAAGCCGGCGTCGGAGCGCGAGGGTTCCTGGATCTCCCGCCCCCGGAAGCCGGAAGTCGCGATCGCGGAGAGCGCGCAAGGCGCAAGGCACAAGGTCGAAGATTTGACATTTATTGTTATTACAGTAAATTAGCGGATCCGGATCGAGCGCGGGCAAGAAGATGGTGGCGCTGCAGCGTAAAACGCACGAGAACGAGAACCGGAGCTTGTTCCCGGTTCTCGGATCATCGGGTATTCATTTTTCCGTGTACGACCCGCCGCACTCTACTTCCTCTTTAAGCAAGCACCGACCACTCGACCGAGCGCACTTGCGCTTACACGATGCAGGTCGCCGACCTCTTTCCTCTCCTCCACCGCTCTTTCCTAACGGCTCCAAACGAATGGTGCTCTCGGGCAGCCGTGCCTAATTAATAGTCTTTACTTTGCGCCGCGCCGCGCGCTGCACGGCCTTCATACGTCTCGCTCGGTTTCATCTTACTGCATGCATCCAGAAAGCCTGCCGGTTTTCGTTCATCGCCCTGTTCCTTGTTTGTTGTGTAGACGATGCCCTGAGACATGTGTGAGACAATCCGCGTAGATAGAGATTCGCTGTGTAAAGAACAGCTCTCGCCCGAGAGGCCGTGGTCGAGCGTTAATTAGGATACAGAAAACATGATTCGACGGTACGTGTGCTGCGCGCGAGCAATTTCTTTCTCTTTACTTTTTCTTTTTTTCTTCTTTTCTTTTTTTCTCTTTCTCTTGTTCTTGTGGTTGGTTTGCGCGCGTTGCGTTTGTGTTGCTGCTGCTGCTTTCGTCTGCCGCTGCTGGAAATTAACTTGCTGCCCAATGCGCGCTCTCAACCCACCTTCGTCATAGACGCACAGTGGCTCCCCGGTACCGTTCATTCATTCCTCTCAACAGCCAGCGCATATGTCGTCGCTTGCACTGACCAACTAGCAAAAGGAAGGCGAAAGAAGATGTAATAAATATAATTCCAACATTACAGCAACACAGCAACACAACAGCACTACACAACAACAGCAACAAAAGCGAGCAGCAACTTCCACTTCCAACCATCCCACCCATATCTTTCCGCCCGTCTCCCCCGGCTTGGCCGTTTTCCTATTCTTCAAATTCACGTCCAACTTCACTTTCATATCTATAAAATCTTCCGAGGCAACACCCATCACGCCACAGAATACAAAGACAGCAACCAATGCGGATATTCAACAATACAACGGTCTTGTCACCCATCCTCGTATCCTTCGTATTTAATAAACGTCATCCCCTCGCTCTCTTCCTCCTCTTCTAACCCTCCCAGATAACAATATCTGTCACGAAGATGACTAATTAAGGTTTATCTTCTGGTTCGAACTCGCGAACCTTACCGACTTCTATCGCCAGACAGCCAGACGGCCCCACAAGGCCTCGGCCGGATAGATAGGAAGTTGGAAGTAGCTACAAATCATACAATGCCAGGATCAGACCATTCGCCGGATCTGGCAATCCTTCCGAGTAGGAGCAGGGGAAAGAGATAAGAAGTAGATATAAAAGGAAGCCGGAGTAGCCAGCTTCCTTGAACCCATCTTTAACCTAATCAACCTATTACGCTTCCACTGCAAACCTTATTCAACTATCGCTCAATGTCTTCCACCAACAACCCCAGCCCTCTCGACCAAGCTACTTCGTCACACTTTCCAGCCTCCTAAATCTGCTATTTAACACAAGTGATACCCGTCAACCTAATCTTCCTTCCTTCCGCTACTCAATAACATCTTATAAAGGCCAGTAAAACTTTTTTTAATGTTAGGAAACTGGCTTAGGTAAAGCCATTTGAGTTTGCTGACTTTGCCATCTTTAAACTATATTCTTGGCTTTTCTTGAATTTTCTATGTTCTTTGTCTTATGACCTTCCTGGTGACCTTTCTTGCTTGGATATGCTATTCTACGTGTATCTTTGATATTCTCTTGTCTTCTTGATGTTTCTTTTGTATTCTTTGGACTTGTCTTGTGACGTGGCCTCTTGGCTGTTTGCCACAATGTGACGAACATAAATAGCCGGCCTTGTCTTCCTCTTGTCTAGTTTGTTAGTTCTTCAGTTAGCAGTTAGCCTCAGTTATTCAGTTAGCTCCTGGATCAGTCATGAACCAGTCAACGAATTAGTCTAGAACTCTCGGAACCTCTCGAATCTCGGAACCTCTCGATCTCTTGGAACCTCTTGGATCCCGGCCTCGAACTCTCGGATAACTGCGCATGGTCTATGAGCCCCTGTGCCCAGTTATTATTGGAATATCTCGACTTGACTCGTTTCTTTACGAATCCCTCGACCTCCCGGCTTCGATCTTGATCCCGTGACTTTGATCTTGATCTCGTGACTTTATATCTGGACTGATTCGTAGCATTTAATGTTAGGAATCTGCCCTAGACAAGGCCATTTGAGTTTGCAGCTTTAAACTATATTCTATGTTATTCGATATTTCTTTGCTAAGTCTATCTTGTGATCTTTGCCACTTTGATATTCTATTCTATATGTTTCTTTGATATTCTCTTGTATTCCGAGGCTTCCTTTTGTATTCTTTCTACTTGTCTTGTGACCATGTTCTTATGATCATTTGCCACAGTTTGTTGAACATAAATAGCCGGCCTTGTCTACCTTTTATTGTACCTTTTAATACATCAGTTTTCCTCTTGAATATCTTGACTCCAGTATCTTGAATCAGCCTCCCGAATTACCAATCTCGGCTTTATCTTGGATCATTTCTTAACAATTTGAAAAAAATCAGGGCATGTAGTGTAGTTGGTTATCGCGCTCGCTTCGCATGCGAGAGGTCTCCGGTTCGATTCCGGACTTGTCCATTTTTTTTCTCTTTTTTTTGCTCTTCTTATATTCTTACTTTTTTTGCTCTTCTTATATTCTTATATTCTTATTCTCTTTATTTATTATATATAGACAATGATATCAGTATTAATCTAGCAAACTTCTCAATGATATTAAAAACACAGTATCAACAGTCTGTCATAACCTAGTTGTTGCAACGGACTTAAAACAGAGATTTATCATCATCATCATTGAACATCCCGCTTCGTCGTCGTCGACCGCGGACTCCCAACCGAACTCTTCATCAACGCACTCTCAAGCCAACTAGATGTCTTTGCATGTCCACTTCCTCCTCCATACTTCTTCCCCGCTCCCGCACCTCCCGCCGGTGACCGTGATCCCGATCGCGAAAGCAATGTCGCAGTCCTACTAGGTGACGCCCGTGCTGGCATCACCTTCGCTGCACTCTCCTCGCCTTCGACCCCCGTATTCTCCTTCTCCGCTGACGGCGTCGAATTACTAACTCTCCTCACCGGCTGCGAATTGTTCAACGCTCCAAGCACAACCCCGCCCGGACTTCTCGGCAACCCTCGTCTCTTCGCACTGCTGCCGTCTTCGTCCTCGCAATCTGCCAAAGACTGATACGTCTTTGACGGCTTGAAATTCGATTCGCTGTACTCCGACACCGCAGTACTGTTCCGGCTGTCCTCGTCATGACGCGCAACCAAATCGAGATCTCGCGCCCGGAACCGATCCGTCGCAGACCTCGTCATTGACAGGCTGCTCGGCGTCCTATGAAGACTAGGGCTCGCACGCATACGCATCGCAGCCGACGGCGACTCGCGGCTAGGACTCATTCTCATTCCATTATTGATCGGAGAAGTAGGTGCCGACCGAGGCGATCCTGGACTCATTACCGCAGCAGGTCTCATTGAGTATCTCAACGATCGACTCGGCGTTACCTTTTCCTCGACAGCTTGCTCGACAGCTTGCTCAGCAGCTTCCTCGGTCTCCTCCTCGACAATCTGCTCCGGGATCATCCTCTCGTCTGATACCCTAGGCGATGAAATACTCGTTACAATCTCTCCCTCAATGCTCTCCTCTCCATATTCTTTCGCCGGCGTGTTCGGTGATCCCAGCACAACCGGCGCAGGCCGCAAATTAGCCATCGATAGCCGCTTAGAAATTGGAGTGCTTCCGCCATCGCGCCTCATCATCGCGCTTTGCACGAATCCACCTTTGGTAGGGCTCTTGGGTCTTGAGGGCGAAGGCGACCGCGGACTGCCATAAACCGATCCATTAGAAGAAGGTGGCTCGTTGATGCTATCAATCGATATTTGCGATGAGTTGGAGAGTATAGAGTCACTTCGTTTCGGTCTCGTAGCTTGCACGACGTAACTCCCGCTTTCCAACTCTGCGGGCGATGGGCCTGAGCCACTGTAAAAGTCTGAAGAGGCAAACGTGCCTATTCCAGACAATCGGCTAGACCTGAACTGTGAGCTTCGATCGGGGGAAGTTGATGGTGACCGCGAGAGAGCAGTGGCCTAAACTTGACGTCAGCGTGTGCAAAATTGTTAACGAATCACTATATCTACATACCACCGAAGGGGAGGGAAAAATTGGAGCGTAGTTGCCGGTCACTCTTCCTCTCGGAGTACCACTGGTAGGCGTGCTAGGCTGCGACAGAGGCTGCTGCTGCGCCGGCGGTTGCGGTTGCTGTTGACGAGTGCTAGGAGATCTCAAAAACTTGGAGAGACGCTCTTCCTCCCGTTCATCGGTCTGAGCAGCGTCGCCGTCATTTCCACCGTCAGCTGGTCTGCCGATTGCATAGCGAGATGGCGAAGACGGTGCCGACTCTACTGATCTTGCTCTTGCTAGTCGCTCTTTTAGGTTGCTTGATCGCTCAGCAAACCCTCTTGGTGACAGCACCGGGGAGGAATTCTTTGCATTGTCAGATCCAGTCAGCGACTGCTTGGGGGAGTCATCGACGGTCTTTTCGAGCTCGGAGAGATTGCGTCGGGTGGGTGACTCCGGCGCTGGCTGAGTTTTAACCCCTAAAGGAGATGCTGGTGAATCGAGCTTTTGCAAACGCTTCGAGAAGTTCTCGACGGGCGAGGACTTTGGAGAAGCCGTCTGGTCGTACGACAGATTAGGTGCCAGACTGAGGGAGTTCTGAGCCCGTGCACGACGAGGCGAAGGAGAGGGCGAGAGGGTCTGCTGATTGAACGCGGTAGGCGATCTGAGAGCGGTAGCAGCCGAGAGCGAGGAAGGGGACGGTGCGGTTGGCTGTGTCTGGCAACTGCGGATGGTGGAGATCATTGTGGAGAGTTTATCGGGAGATGTCGATCCTGAGCGGGCTGAGAGGAAGGATGTTAGTGCTGCGTTAATGATTATGTTAATCGTAGTCCGGAACAGACCTGTTCTTCGAGCCAATCTTTGTCGTTTTGACTCCTCGATCTCCTCCTCGAGCTTCTTTGACCGCTCACGCTCGACATCGTCGCTAAAGACAAACAAGAGTCAACCAATAGAACCTTCTAAAACGCAACTGAAACAAAAACACAGTACACGCACGATTGTAATTTAAGATCCTCCAATCGCTTCAGGAAATCCGTGATATTTGTATCGCCTACGACCTCCTCAGAAGTAGTCGACACCATGGCTTTGAATTCTGGTCTGGGGAGCGTTAGTTGCGGCCGCAGGATGCAAAACAAACCGACAGGAGTGAGTTACCCCTAGTGATTGCAATCAAAAGTCAAGAAACCAAAATCAGACCAGAGCTAAACCACAACAAAAGCTGCTTCCAAAAATGTATCCAAAAAGCCAGATACTGGGGTATTATAGAGAGTCGACAGGGTCTTACACTGCAGCGAGCGATAGGCAGAAGCAGAGACAGGAGAGCAAAGCCAGGCCGCAGCGCAAAATGTAAACAAAGTTAGCCGAGAGCCACGGCAGAACAGTAAGGGCCTAGCAACGGCGCTAACCCGGTTTGAGCCCAGAAAAACATTTAAGAGTATAATCACGTGACATTTATTTTTGGACGGATTGGGAGGTCAGCGCGTGATTTTGTGGGCCAACGCGCGTCTTTTGCGGATTCTGTCGAGTTTGATACAGTAGGGCATTCCAGTGTGGATGGGATGTGAGGACGCGTGGATGTGGTGATGAAGAGGTGAGAGGAAGATAGCAGAGTAAAGAACTGTGCGAGATGCATTCGAGCTGTAGCTAAAGAAACGTGCAAGATGGAATAATGGAACAAAAACCGACTCCCCAACGCAATAATAGATCAAAACAAAAACAGACAAGATATATACAGGATTTTAGATAAATATACAAAACATAATGCAGCAGATCACGCCTCTGCACCGGTTGCCTCCTCGGTCTCGGCATCACAAAACTCTGCGTCGAGATCATCGGGGCCCAGAGAAGGCGACGGAAGAGAGTCGTCAGGAATCTTGGGCACGATGATCTCAAGCACACCATCCTTGCATTTTGCTCTGGCGTCATTTGCAGCGACACGGACGTCTTTGATCAAGCGGATGGAGCGCTCGAAGCGGCCGACTTCGCGCTGCGAGACGAGGCGGGCGCGCGTGGCGAGTGGCGAGCAGAGGTTGAAGCTCGGGGATATGGCGGAGCGGTGGACGGCGCCAGCGATGGTGAGGATGGAGGAGCGGTTGTCAAAATCGACGAGGATGTCAGAGACTTGCACGCCGGGGATGGAGGCCTGGACGAGGTAGCAGTTGGGGAAGTCGTAGACGTCGACGAGGGGATTGAAGGTGTGGGGGTGGGAGGAGGAGTCGACGGAGACGCCGGGAGGGGCGGTGTGGGTTTTCAGTAGCTGCTCGACGGAGGGCAGAGGCTGATCTGAGGGAGAGGAGGGAGATGCTGGAGCGGAGGCGGGAGTGGGTCGGGCGCCGGTGTCGAGGGCGGCGAGGGCAGCTTTGCGCTGAGCATACTGCAGACGGAGGTGGGAGCGACTGGAGAGGTCTGAGGTGAGGGAGTCGAGGACGGCCCAGGGGTGGGGGTAGGTGTAGATGTCCGGCATGAGGGCGGTGGTGAGGAAGAGGGAGAGGAGGAGGAGGAAGAGGAAGAAGAAGAGAAGGGAAGAGTGAGTAATCTTATAAACCGGGAAGCAGCGCGGCAGGTTATGAACACGCGGCGCAGGGCAGAAGATGACGTTAGCGAGCCGCTTGCTGAGCCACTCTGAGGTCTCTTCCAGGCTGTGCTCGGGTGAGAGAGGTCTTGTGACGAAGCCGTGCAGTCAACAGAAGAAGAGAGGAGGGAAGAGAAGAGAGGAAGATATGTTGAGGATCAGCAGGTTTATAAGGAATAAGTATTCGAACAGTCACTGCAGACGATGACTGGTGTTATTATAGTAAAAGTAGTAGTCAGCAACTAGTCATCAGTACTTCCACGCTAGAAACAGTCCCTGTCCGGCTGAGCCTTCCCTTCGCCTCCAAACATCGACCAGCAAACAGTAACATCAACATCAACCACAAACAGTAAACAACATCTTTCTCACCGCCGCTCAACTGCCCTCCAACGGCCCAGCAAGCAGCGGCAGCAACAGCCAAAATGACTCTCTCTTTCGCTGTTTAATTCCAGTCGACATCGGTTACGTAAGCACCCTTCTCGCTTCTGACTTAGAGTTTTTCCTGATGTCACTTCGCAGCGCCCATCTCGCATCGCATCGCATTGATGTGCGCTTCCCCGTCTTTTCCCTGCCTCTCCTCTGCTCCTGCTCTTTGATTGACATTACTACTACCTTCTTGCACATTTTGGTCTTGATTACTGCCTCTCACTCACCATGGACCCCCCGCTGCTGCTCGCCCAGTCCGCCTCTCTGCGCGACAGCATTGGCCCCACCTCGCTCTTCGCCGGCGCAAGACCTCTCTCGCCTGGCGTACACATCGTCCCGCCGCTGAACCCGGACAGTCTCAAACGCAAAACCCGTACGCTGACTACCTTACGAGACCTCAACAACGGCAATGATGCTGACGATGACGACGACGACGACGACGACGACGATGGTGATGGGGATGGTGATGACGATGATGACGATGAGGATATCCAGAATGAGGTCTACTACAAACCCAAGCTCGACACCAATGGCGATGAGGACGATGACTACGACGATGACGACGGCTACATCGTCGACAACATCAGCTCGTCCGTCGTCAACACTCAGACTGACTCCTGGCCGATCAACACCGGTCACCAATCACGCTGGCCCCGGATCCTCAAAGCCCTTGCTGGAAAGAACGATGAAATAACCCCCGACACAGACATGAGCCGGCACAAAAAGTCTTCAAAGCACTCAACCCACCCCGACTCTGCTGACCACCCCAAACGCCGCCGCTCGTCGAGCTGCATGCCCAGCAACCACCGGTCAGAAATCCTGCTCACCATCCCCGCCAAGCAAAAGTCTACTTCGCCCTCATTCCCCCCCGCCTCTGGTTTTTTCTCGACTCATTCGCCCACCGCTCTAAACCCGTGCTCGCCAAAGCAAAGGGCTGCACGCAGCAGACGCGCTGAACCCACCCGGCTCAGACGTAGCGGTTACCCCGGCGGATGGCCGTCGATGGCTGACGGCGAACCCGCAGACGGCAAGCTGACTGCCCGGACACTGGGTGACGATGAAGACATTGACATGATGCTTTCCTCTGAGCTAGAGCTTGACGCGCAGGTAATCGCGCCGTCGGGGTCGGAGTACTTTGTGCTGGAGAGGGAAGAGTCAGAGCGGCGGCGCAGTAGGATGACTGATTCAGACTCGCGGCGAGGGAGTGCAAATGATGACGAGGAGGAGGCTGAGGACGAGGATGATGAGCAGGAGGATGCTGACGACGATTCCGAGTACTTCCAGGATTTTGGGTCGCTACTAAAAAGCCTGAGCGAAGACTCTGAAGACCTCAAGCAGTCAGAGCGGTCGTCCCCAAAGTTCTTTGCTGATACCAAACAGTGTGACGAAGAGCCTATCCGAGTCATTGAGCGCACTTTTCAGGACGACGCACCGGTCGAATACGACTACTGCTCGCTGGACGGTGATAACGGGGAAGGATATCAGCTGGTCAAAGAAGTCATTAGCTGAGACTTGGTTTCTTTATCTCTGCGATTGTACAAAAGTAGGAAGGCGTTTGGTTGCTGGCGTTATGGTCTACATTCATTTTTATCCGTCGTTATAGAGCAACAGTAAAAGCAATAGCTACTCATTAGTCTAAAGTAATATTCTGTAATAAAGTCATCTCTAAAACCACTGACTCAAACCCCTTATTTACCTGTGCGTCCAAACTTTGAACTCTGCGTCCCTTCCTCTCTCTCACTCAACCAGTACAGAGAAAAACACCTCCCTTCCTCTTTCCTTCATCTTTTTCGATTCGGAAATCTAGAGGAAAGAAAAGAAAACAGGTGCTGCATAGAAAAGGACTAGATTGGTTGCTGTTTCTTGTTTAATATCCATCTGTTTTTGCTCTCTGCGGTTTTTTATTTTGTTTGTTTTGTTTTTTTGCATCGGGAGGAGCAGATCAAGCAAGCGTCTTCTTTTATCCAAAGCATACCTACATCTTCACACACAACATAATGTTCGGGGCGGCATCTACTCCTCAGCAGCCTACATTCGGCGGCTTCGGCGGCCTGAGCAACAACACGAATACCACCACGAACGCGCCAGGCACGCCGTCACTCACCCTCTCGCTCAACAACACCGGATCGACGACAACCACTCCGTTCGGCGCCGGCACGCCAAACTCACTAGCAGTCCCCCCGTCGACGCCGCAACTTGGCGCAGCAGCAGCGCAGAGCAACGGGACGCCGCAGCAGGGCGGGTTGTTTGGTGGATCTTCTACGGACGGTAGTCTGTTTGGCCAGCCGCCGAGCGCGAAGAGGCCTGCGTCGAGCGGCGCCGCGTTTGGCGGGTCGTCGACGAATAACACTACGCCGGGGTCGTTTGCGCTCGGATCTACGAACCCGACTGCGTCGACGGCGACGTTTGGTGGGTCGACGACATTTGGCGCGAGTGGGCAGCAGGCGTCGATCTTTGGTGGCCAGCAGCAGCAGCAGCAGCAGCAGCAGCCGCAACAACTACAGCCACAGCAGCAGCAGATGCAGTCGCCGTTCGGGGGTGGTTCTCGGATGAGTCTGTCGCATTCGCAGTCGGTGTTTGATCTACGAGGAACAGCTACAACGCCGTCGCAGCAGCTTCAATCGTATCAGCTGCAGCAACTCCAGCTGCAACAGCAACAGCAGCAGCAGCAGCAACAGCAGCAAAAGTCGAATCTGCCGCAGTCGACGGTGGACTATCTTACCTCGTCACCCTCGCGCTCCATTCCAGCCTCGCCATCGTGGATGTCTGGCGCAGACTCGTCCGGGCGGAGGTTCGTGCCGAGCCACATCGCGCACATGAGGCAGAAGAACGCGCAGCAGATGCACGCGAGCCAGTCGAGCTATTTCTCGCCCTCGGGCGCAACAACGCCGTACGGGTCCCCGCTGACGACAGCTGCATCCACACCGCCTGTCCCGCCGCCGACGCCGCTGATGTCGTCCGGGCTAGGCCAGTCGTCGAGCCGGCTGAATTCGCCGCTGAACTCTGCGTTGCGGCATGCGTCGAGCAGTAAGAAGTTTGGCGGGCAGTCGTTTGGCACGCCGAAGCCGCATCATCTGCGATCGAGCGTGGCCGCGGGGTCGGGCGCGGGTGGAGCAGGCGCGGGGGTGGTGCGGGAGGAAGCGAGGTTGTGGATGATTTGCCTCCGGTGGAGTCGATTTACGATTCCGGGTCTGCGTCGTCGTTTGCGTTCCAGATGCCGCTGAATACGACTAATAGTCTGAGTTTCAGCGGTAGTAATAACAACAACACGAGCAGCAGCGCAAACAGTTCAGATTATTCGATGGAGATCAGCACGTCGCCGAGCAAGAGCACAATGTCACTCTCTTCCAATGAGCAGCAGCAGCAGCAGCAGCAGCCGTCGAGCGTGATGATTTTCGGGTTCCCGCCAGAACTGACGCACGTCGTGGTCGACCACTTTTCGAAATTCGGCACGATTCTGGAACACCTATCGACGAGTTCATCAACGACGAGCGCGTCAGGCGAGGCAGCGCGGCCGCCGGCGCCGGTGGAGACGGGCAAGAACTGGATCAAGATCACGTACACGACGGCGATGGCCGCGAACCGCGCGCTGATGGAGAACGGGCAGATGCTAGGCGGGCGGGCGGATTACGTGCTTGGATGCGTTGCAGTGCCGAGCGCAGGTGGTGCGCCGTCTTCAAATTCTTCTTCGTCTAGTAGTGGGGTCTCGGGAATTAAGCGCAGCGGGGCGCGGTCGGGGTTGAATGTGTTGGCGGGGGGCGGGGGCGAGGGCGCGGGGCCAAGCACGCCGATGAACTACGCGGGAACGATATCCAGACGGCGCGGGGGCTACGGGACGAGCACTTGTTTACGCCGGAGATGACGCAGGTGAAGGGAGGAAGTGGGGAGATGGGGATGTCGCGGACGACGTCGATGCCGGCGGGATTATCCGCAGGAGGAGTAGGGGCAGGGGCAGGGGCAGGCGGAGCGGGGGGACGAAAGTTGGAGGTGAAAGGAGGGGAAGGGATATTCAAGGAGAAGGAGCGGAAGCCGTTGATGAATATGACGCACTCGGTGACGTTGCGGGGGATTGCGAGCCGGTTTATGGGTGGCGAGGCCGGGGTTGCGGAGAAGCGGGCGAGCGAGGAGGAGCAGCGTGGAAGCAAGCGGGTGAAGATTCAAGCGAAGAGCAGCGCGGGCGGCGGGAGTGGGCGGTCGTGGGTTGGCGCGTTGGGGAAGCGGGCGTCGGAGATGATATTTGGGTGGGATGAGCTGTAGGTAGCTGTTGAGTGAGTCGAATGTATATTGAAAAACAGTATTGAGAATGAAGAGGGAACCCGGGGGCGCGGATAGTCGAGGGTTGCGAACAGGGAATAGCGGGGTGTCTGAGGGTAGACGGTAGACGGTTGATCGACGGCAGATCGATGAGATGAGATGAGATGAGATTGTCTCTAGATGTTCTCCAACTAGAGATATCAACATAGGAGACATAGAAGACACAGCATACAGTAATTACAGACACAAAACTACAGACTACATATCAACATCAAGTAACAATGTAATACAAACAGCCTACTTTGAAATCGCACGAATGATGTCATTGTCGTACATGCATGCGCGCCGCCCACAAGCGAGCACGACCGTTTGAGATAAGTGGAGATGAATAAATAAAATATTTAAATATTTAAATAAGTTACTAAATAAAATAATGAAATAAAGTGGAGTTGAAACAGGTTTGCGGGTAGCCGAGTTCGAGGAGAAAAAGAAGAAGAAAATAAATAAAAATAAATAAAAAGATGGAAGAGGAAAGGCGGAGGTGAGCGACTTTGTATGAAGAATACTCCGTGGAGAGTAGTAAGCAGGTGTTGTTGATACTGCGGTGGTAAACAGCACACTGCTGTTAACTACATTACTATCACAGCTTAGTTGGTCTAGATTATTGCATAGTTAAGTGATATGTAATTATATAGTATACACTGTTCATACACGCAAGCAAGAAAGTCAACCTCCGCAGACATAGATCGAAAAAAAAATCATCAAAACACACACGGGCGCCTGAACACAAAACACAAAGAAATAGAAATACTATAAACAAAACTCCGATGCATAGAAAAACTTGCTCGATAAAATCATCAACGTAAATAAGAAAGATCTGTTGAAGTATTGTTACATGGCATGGCAGCCGCGCTCGTGCCGCTTCATGTTTGACCGCACCGAGAACGCCTTGCCGCAGCCGTTGTGGCCGCACACGAACGGCTTCTCGCCCGTGTGCGAATGCGAGTGGATCCGCAACGACGACGGCCGCGAGAACGCGCGCGCGCAGACGGGGCAGACGTACCGGTCTGCGGACGAGCTGGTGGAGGTGGTCGAGGTCGAGGACGGGGAAGGTGCGGTCGAGGGCGCGGAGGACGCGTAGGAAGAGGAGGAGCAGGTCGATGCGGAGGAGGAAGTGTGGATGGCGTGACTGGTGTGCACGAGCGACGGCGGCGAGGGCATGGATGCCGGCATGGATGCCGGCATTGAGCTGGGCGCGGCTATTGGGGGGACGGCGACGGCGTAGGAGGAGGACGAGACATGGCTTTGGCTCGAGCACGGGGAGGCAGGCGACGAGGGAGATGCTGTAGATGCAGATGCGGAGGTGGAGGTGGAAGTCGAGGAGGAGGTGAACGATTGGCGGAAGGAGAGGATTGGAAGGTCGGCGGAGGAGGCAAAGGACGGGGTTGGCGCAGGCGAAGGCGCAGACCAGGAGGTCGCGCGCGCACGCGGGTCGAGGGAGTAGTATGGGTCGAGGAGGGCGGCGATGGGCGGGAGGGTATTTACAGAGATGGCGGAGGGAGAGGAGGAGGGGGTGGTGAGGGAGGAGGAGGAGGCGGAGGAGATGGAGGAGGACGAGGAGTAGGACGAGGACGAGGAGGGACGGGGCGGCGAGGCGAGGTGGTATGCCTCGAGGGAAGCCGGGGAGGGCCGCGAAGAGATGGCCGAGTCGGAGAAGTGGCGGGCGACCAGGAGCCTTTCCATTGAGATATAACAGAGAAGAAGCAGCAACGAAGAAGAAGAAGCAGCAACGACGAAGAAGAAGAAGAAGAGAGGAGGAAGAGAAGAAGAGATAAGAGCAGGTATAAAAAGACACGAGAAGAACCACCGGCAGGACGAGAGAGAGCACAATTCGACTCAAACTGTCGACTCTGTGTCGAGACGCTGTCAGGGGAATCCACTCGACACGACCCACACGTGTAAATGACGTAATTGTGCGTCCAACCGAGAACGCGCCTGCCGATCACCGCGGATAGTTAACCGCCTGCTTATGTAAGACGGGGGAGTTGAACTGAAGAGATCCGCTGATCTCCGGCTGTGTTTATTGTGACTATTTACTGTTTATAAGATGTGTATTTGTATATACACAATCAGTAAATACTACAATAAATGTATTCTTCATCCCCAATCCACTCTCCACTCGAAGGCGCCCTGAACCCCTGTGCGTGCGTCCGGCTGAGTTCTGTCGACAAAGCGAGCGCACCGAGATTCCCAAAACCAGAAATAGATCAAAACTAAACCCCTCGACTCGCTTAGAGATAGATTAGGTAATGGAACTTTACTGCAACCTCCAAGGTGTCTGTCATAGATTATGTCAGTGCTTAGTAATCAAGAAGTTCTGAACTTGACCTGAGTAGAGTAGAGCAGAGTGAATCAAAAACACTCTTTATCTGCACAGCACTCACCACCACAATGTCCTCAACAGACCCGCCAAAGAGCAACTCCTCTCGGAAACGGCATCTGGACAATGACTCTACTTCCTCCCGCGCAAAGGCATTCAAGACCGCAAACGCGCGCACAATCATCTCCGAGAACATCAACAACCGTACATCCTCCCTTCATCTTCACCACCCCACCGCGCATACTCACTCTCATCCTAGATCTCGTCAATGGAAGACTCAACGTCGTTAACTTTGTAGAGTCGCGGCAGTACGAAATCAATCAACTAACATCCGCAATCGCCAAATCAAAGTACATCTCCCCTCTTCATCTTTCTTCACACTCCCACTAACAAACCCAGGAAACAACAAAAACAGCAGGCCTTCCAATCCGTGCCCAACTTCCTCCGCCGCCGCGCCGCCTCCCACCACGTCAAACGTCTGCCCAAACGCCTCCACGCCCGTGCCCGCGCAGAACTCGAGTCCGCGTCCGAACCACAGAAACCAAAATCCCGCCGACACCCAAGCAAGTTCTACATCCGCCGCGCGACCGCGCTCAAGCTCGCGCGGATCTACAAATCAACCCGCAAACCAGTCCGGATCCGTCGTCGCCGCGACCGTGCATCAGTCGGGACAAACACGTTCGCGAGCACTAGGCCGGTTGCGGATCTCAAGTTCAAGCGCCGGCAGAAGAACAAGACATGGCTGCCCACCCATCTCTGGCACGCCAAACGCGCGCACATGGTGACAAAGTACGGGTTTTCGATTCCGGCGCATCCGAACGACAAGTGCTTCCGCACAATCTACCGCAAAGCCGAGTCCAGCACGGCCGGCGGCGGCGTCGTCTTTGACTCGAGCTACTATTCGACGCTCGTGCTGGCTGGCGGCACCGACTCTATCCAAAAGCTCCTGTATTTTCTGACCGGAGACAATACGACTTGTCATAGGTTAGGCTACACATACGAAGGACCGATCTATGCACAAGCGCCCACCGAGGACGATAAGTTTGAGAATTTTAAGCATGATACATCTCTGGCGGCAGACCACCTGCTCGGATACGCACACATGACTAGCTACAGTCTGGTCGAGGACAGGCTTCAGTCGAGTTTCGCCGTCTTGCGCGTGCACCCAGCCATATTCACCAGGGTCTGGACGTTTCTGCTCGCGTGCGTGCACGACCACGACAAGTGGGTGCCGAAAAAGAATGCCTCCAAGACCTATCCCGGAAAAAAGCCAGAGAAGATTGAACTGCGCGATTACAGGTTCGCCGTCGGCTCGATCGATTTGTTTGGCCGGGACAGTCTGCAGCTGCTAAAGTACGTCCTGCGCACCCCGCACGACTACAACAAAGATGTCGTGAAAGCGGTTGAGGCCATGATCCGCACAGGCGATCCCCGCCGTCTGCCGTTCCGCAGCTACATCGCCTTCGACGTCCTCGACCCGCGCACGTGGTTCACGCCCGCAAGTGTCGCGAAAGGCAGCCACAGCGACCCAGCACAAGGCAGCGAAGAAAAGTACGAGTATGCGGCGGAGTACATGGAACAACTGCCGCTTGATCTTTTCACAGATGTATTCCGTATCGATGTTGTCTCGGATACGGCCAGCAAGCTGTTTAATTTTGCCGATGGCAAGCGGTTTCTGCATGCGCCGGTCGAGCACAGGCGAGTTGCGCGGGCGCGCGCGTTTGAGCAGGACAGGCGGGATAAACATCCTGATTCGGAATTAGAGGTGATTGCGAAATATAGCCGAAAGCCCGTGATCTATGTCCAGAGCTATAACGACCGCGGCGACGTTCACAAGTGGGAGCAGAAGAAGGCGAAGACAGCTGGTGAGCCAGGGAAAGAGCAAGTGCCGGAAGAGCAGGCCACGATCCCGCTTCTTCTGCACAGCCGCGCCGACGGCGGGGTGACGCTGCTGATGCCGTGGAACTGGGTCGATGTGTTTTTCAAAGAGCTCGTGCGGCCTGCGCAGACGATGTTTGGCGGGCTGGATCAGATGAAGCAGATCATGCACGAGCGAGGGCGGCCGTTCTTCCCTGATGATTTCCCGGGCACGCCAGAAGGTCGCGCGGCGGAGGCCGAGTACGCTGCGGAGCGCGAGCGCGTGTGGAAGGCGAAGCCGAGGAGTAAGAGGATCAAGTACAGCAGTTTGAAGTTGAAGAACGGGGACAAGAAGGGCGAGATTGGCAACCCGTTTGCGTGCGACTGGGGATATCTGATGAACATGTGCGCTACGAGCTCGGAAGATATACCGTGGAGGATGGTCGAGCCGGTGCTAATGAGGAAGCTGATAAGGAAAGGCGAGGCGCCTGAAGATAAGTTTTCGCGCGCGCTGCTTACGGTGAGGGTGGTGATGGTCGGGCGCGGGACGCCGGGGGCGACGGCGCGGGTGTATGCGATTCCACCGCACGAGCGGGAGAAGTGGATGCGGTTTAAGATTGATAGGAAGTATCAGCCAAAGGCGGAGGATGTGAGTATGCTGTTGTTTAAGATATGTCTACAGATGCTAATTGTTGCTGAAGTACCCTCCATGCCCGCGACATCAGTTTCTACTCGGGTTCTTGACGAGCGGCGGGTTTGATCTAAAGCAAGGCAAGGGCACGGGGATAGGCAGTTTCTCGTTTGCGCACACCGAGCGCTATTTCGAAATCAACAAAAAAAATGGCTTGTACCGAGACCGGTACTGTCTCGTGCGCGAAGTCGGCGAGCGACAGGCGCGGCTGGCGGTGTGGAGCGTGGCATCCGACCAACGGCTGGCGCGTCCGCCCGATGGTAGACTCGGTGCTTGGGATGACTGATGATGATGATTAGAGAGAGAGAGAGAGAGAGAGAGAGAGAGAGAGGCAGGAAAAAGAAAGAGGAAGATCCCCCTTATGTCGCTTAAGATTAGCATTCATCTCTCTCTGAGATTCCCGTTCCCGTTAGCTTCGTACACCGGTGCAGATTCGCTAAAAACTATAAATCACACACTCGTCTTTCTTCCCCACTTAATCAATCACAGACGTTCTTCTTCCTTCGCGTAGCCCCGCCACTTTGCCGTTGTCTTTTGTCTTTTGTCTTTTGTCTTTTGCTCTTTGTCTTTTTGTGTTTCTTCGTTTCATTTCGCATTCCACGAGTCACATCCGCTCACGGCGTTGCTTTGTCTTTCTTTTTTGTTTTGTTTCGCATATTATTTCCGTTGATTTGCGGCCGCTGTGTTGGTGCTGTTGATGCAGTAGTGCCGAAGTGCCGAAGTGCTGTATTTGAGTGAAGTATTGACTGAATGCTGACGTAGAGTAGAGTAGAGTAGAGTAGAGTAGAATGTAGCTGGCTGCTCGACTAGTCAGACGTCGCTCTTCTCTCCTCGCGTTTCAATTTCGTCTTACGACATAAGATCTCCAGCCTCCACACCTCCTCAGCCTCACAGACTTGCTTCTGTTCTTTCTTCTTCTTACTAGAAGTTGCTGTGGAAGTGAGACAGGTTGATAAAGGTCAGGGTATTTTTTTTTAAAAAAAAAGGGACCGTTAGTGTAGTGGTTATCATACTTGCCTTCCAAGCAGGTGACAGGGGTTCGATTCTCCTACGGTTCAGACCGTATATTGCCCTTTATTTTTGCTGTTTTTTTTACTCTTTATTCTGCAGTTTTTTTGTTATTTATTGCTGTTTAGTTATAAATTCTTGATTAGAAGGTGGAGGTCTTTGAGGGTGGTGGAGAGAGAGAGAAGAGAGATGGTATTATATCTGGATCAGCGATGGAGTTCATGTATAACCACGAGCACGAACCGGGGATCTGATAGCAAATCGTTAGATATTAGAAACAGCAATAGATGACAATGCCATCGTTAGATGAAAACAAAATGAAGTGTAATTACCTGGAATGATTATCAACTCGTGCTGCACGGTCCTTAACCGTAGTAACTTCAACCCATCCTACATCAAGTCAGCTCGTTCACATCCTCAACAATCAGCAAAGGAAGTAGTAAATCTCACCTCCTGCTCAAAGAATTGATCGCTCAGTTCAGTAGCTGCGCCAACGAACTTCACACACATCTCCGCATACCGCTCTACCAACTCCTCCGCACTCTCCCCCTCCCCCTCTCCCTCCACACCACCACCCCTCCCCGCCCGCCGTCCAAACAAAACCCTCCCGTCCGACCCAACCATCTGACTACGCACCACGCTCCGGTCCACCAGATCGACAATCAAGTACCCCGCGATCGCATGCCGAGCGCCGATCCGCGCGATTATCGCATCGATCTCGTGGTCTGCTGCTGCTGCTGCTGCTGCTGCTGCTGTTTCTGTGCCGTTGCTGTTGTTGGCGTGTGTGGTGGAGAAGGAGGTGGTGGAGAGAAGACCGGCGGCTGCGAGGGCGGCTTCGCTTGTTGTGGGGGGATGGCTGTGGTGGGTGGTGGTGGTGGTGGTGGGTAAGCGGGGGTGGGGTGTTTCGTCGTCGTTGCTATTTGACGCGATCGCAGCCGTAGTCATAAACGCCATTTGTACTCCTGTCGTTGCTGTTCTGCTGTTCTGCTCTTCAATAGATAGTATCTTCTCCTTTTCAATATAAAAACAATCAACTCGTGGAAATGAAACGGAGGAATAGAACGGAGGAAAGAGAGATCGCGGTGGGAGTTGGAAGAGATGACGCGACGGGTTGTTTATTCTATGCTCGGTTGATAAGAGTTTGATCACTTCTTACGTTTACTGTAGTAGGAGTTAATGAGAATTGTAGTTACTGATATATGTTTGTTGTGTGGATTATTGTCTACTGATGTAAATGGAATTTTATGGACTGTCGTGTTGGTATGGTTTGCGCAGATGGACGTGTAGCCAGTCAGAGGTCATTCAAAGGTCATTTGCATAGCATGTAACAGTTGCACTTTTGATCTTAATTTTACTATCTTCCATTGTATATATACATTTCCGATAGCAACCGCATTCCCTACTCTCCCAACTCACTCAGTAACTGTCATAAGCCACCAATCTAATAGCATGTTCTTCCGTCCAATATCCCTCCTGCTAAGCAGATCAGATAATCAAATGAAGATGTAAATGTGAAGGTCGAATAAGATAGAGAATAGCAGGTTGCAAGAGAGTGAAAGAAGGATCGCTTAGGCGGTGGTGGGAGCGGGGTTCATTCTCCGCTTGCCACCGGTGAGGGTGACGTTGACGAACCGTCCTGCGAGGTGTTAGTCTATGTCTCTGATATTGACGATGTTTTGTTAAAAGGAGAAGGACGTACTGTTGTAGAGAATGCGCTTCTTAGCACGGCCCTTGGGGACCTTCTTCTTCTCCTGCTTGTCGACTGTATGAATGTCAGTTTATGGTCTGTATTATCGCCGATGCCATCTGTCCAGTCCAGTCCAGTGTTTTCTTCACGCAAGATCCATATCTTATATTCACATCTTATATCTCCCCTGTCTTCTATCCCGACTAACTGCATCGACTACACCGGACCAGACGACACTCTGAATAAGCAAGGAGGAATATATACCCTTAGGAGTCTGCGATTTGACCTTACCGGCACGAGCGAGGGATCCGTGAACTTTGCCCTGTAGACAGCGTGTTAGAAACAGTAAAACAGAGATATAGCAGACAATAACTGCATATCAACAGCTCTTTCTCTTAATAACGACTTACCATTGTGAATGTTGTTGATGTTGATGAGGGTGAACGTGGAAGTTTTCGACAGAAACAAGCAGCTTCACTTTTGCCCGCCAGCCCTGCGCGCGCTGCTCGCCGCCAGAGCCTCCCGTCTGAGCTGGGCTTAAGCGTGACTGCTATTTACTCATGTATTATGTAATGACTAAACCCTAGTAGGGCTCACACGAACACGACGCGGCACGTGAGCTCTGTATATGGAAGGTGAGTTTCCTGATTCGGACTAGCGCGAAAGATTGCGCAATACGGCGAACCAGGCACAGATGCGCTGTGGGCGATAAGCTGTGTTTTGCAGTTGTTTTCTAGTAAAATATACGCAGTTCTTTAGCATATTCACAGCTCTTCACAGCATCTGCTACTCCTCATCTCATCTTCAACTCTCTGCTCATCACTCAGCAGCGCCATTGGTGGCTATCAGTGGCCACGGCTTATCGCTCGCACCCTGCGCGCTTGCCCAAATCAGGCTACTCACCTTCCTTGATTGGCTTAGCTCGCCCGATATAGTAATTTAGGGCTAGGGCCGACTCCCAGCAGAATCTTCTGTTTTGGTCGTCCATCGTCAGAAAACACCACCGCCGGTTCTTCTTCACCATCGCCGCTCTGTCTGCTGTTTGCTGTTTCTTCTTCTTTCGCTTTTAGAAGACCACGAAAGACTAAGACGGTCTCCGCTGTGCCTCGCGGTGTAGACTACAAAGAGACACCTTTCTTTAGATACCACCTGTCTCGGTCATTCACACACCACCACCACCATGCCCGCCCGCGCTACTTCCCCGCCTTCCATCTCCTCCGCCTCCTCCTTCGTCCACAAGCCCTTCCGCTTCTGGCAGCGTCAGCAGGACGATCGTCAATCCGCCTACTCCCTCGTCGCCGCAAAGAAGCGCCGCTGGTGGTCGCCCGCCTCGATCCGCCGCCTCGGCGTCGCCCTCCTCGGTTTCAACGTTCTCCCCGTCACCATCCTCGCCGTCGCCACCTACGCCTCGCTCCTCATCACCACCTATGTCATCCAGTTTGCAAACCCGCAGACCGATTCACCCGCTGCTGCCTTCGCCGCCCCCGGCTCGTACTCCTACGAGGTCGAAGAAGCTTGGTACAACTTGCAGGTAATCTCGGAGCAGATGCACCCTTACAACTCCCACGCAAACGACTACGTCCACGACTTTATCCTCAACAAGACCTACGAGATTGCAAACTACTCCCACTCGCCCGCGATCAACGTCGAAGTCTACGACGACTACGGCAACAACGTCACCTTCCGCCAGAAAGACCTCTGGGATCCGAACGCGCCCTCGGGAAAGATCATCTACTACGAGTCCAACAACGTCCTCGTCAAGCTCGAGGGCCTCGATCCAAACCTCCCCGCCGTCCTTGTCTCGGCCCATTTCGACAGCGTCTCGACCGCCTACGGCACCACCGACGACGGCGTCGGAATCGTCACCCTTCTCGCCATGCTGCACGAGTTTGCCAACCGCGATCAGCCTCCCTTGCGCACAATCATCTTTTTGTTCAACAACGCGGAGGAATTCGGCCTGTACGGCGCCGAAGCCTTCTTCTACCACGAATGGTCCGATCTCGTCTCGACTTTCTACAATCTCGAAGGCACCGGCGCCGGCGGCCGCGCCGTCCTCTTCCGCGCATCTGACTACGGTGTCGCCGATCACTTCTCGGCCGCGCCCATGCCGCACGCCAACTCGCTTTTGCAGGAAGGATTCGAGCACGGCGTCATCAGATCAGAGACCGACTACCGTGCGTTTGAGAACCATGGGCTGCGTGGAATGGACGTGGCTTTTTATACCCCGCGTTCGGTCTACCACACAAAGGGCGACAGCATCCAGGGTACTAACCGCGGAAGCGTCGAGCATATGTATGAGACTTCTGTCGCCACTGTTGACTCCATGGCCAACGATCCTGATCTCGACGCATCTTCCAAGAGCAAGCCTGTTTTCTTTGACTGTGAGTAGACTACCTTATTTGATCCAGGTGTGATGATACTGACATTTATAATAGTATTTGGAGAGGCTCTGTTTGTCGCACCGGTTCAGACATTCTTTGTCGTGGACACAGTCCTTCTAGTTGTCACCCCCATCATTCTCTTCCTTTTGCTCTTCGGACTCGCAAAATCGCGCAAGCTGAACCTCGGCAAGCGTGGCTGGGGCCGCTTCCCTGTCTCGATCGTGGTCTCGACCGCGATCCTGTTTGGCGTGCTGATGGGTCTACGACGGGCGAACGCTCTGATTTTCTACTCGCATGTCGGGTTGCCGTTTATTGCGCTCGCGTCACTCTACTTTTTCCTCAACTACTTCATTCTTGCCGGTGCGCACCGCATGAAGCCGGTTCGGCATCAAAAGTTCAAGATCTTGCTGCAACTGTACTTTTTGTGGTGGATCGTGCTCGTGTACGCCAACGTGGAGGAGAACCGCATGTCTGGCACTGGTCTGTACTGGGTGACGTTCAACTTTGTGGGCGTCTCGTTCGCGCTCCTGCTCGACATCATCGCGCTCTACTTTGAGCCTGCTGCGCCGATGTACTTTATGGCGCGCGCAGAGGTGATTGGCTCCGAGCAGAGGTATATGGCTGCTGACGACGAGATCGACCATATCTCCCCGCGAAGCGACCACAACGCCAACGACGACGAGGACGATGACGAGGATGAGGACGGGGTTGCGTCTGAGGATGCGCCGCTGCTGGGCGAGAGCGCGAGCGAGCAGCAGGCCGGGTTCAGCAAGAAGCTCGAGGGGCGGATTGATTTCGCGTGGCTGCTCGAGTTTTTGATTCTTGTTCCGTTCTCGGTCTTTTTGACGTCGCAGATTGGATTTTTGGCGCTCGCGGCCGTGCAGCAGACGTTGCAGGAAGGCGGTCCGTCGATCTACAACGTGTACCTCAGTCTATTTGTGTTTTTGATTATTCTGATGTACCCGATCCTGCCGTTTATGCACAAGATCCACGTGGTTGTGCCGTTTGTGCTGCTGCTGGCTTTCATTGGTACGTTTATCGCGTCTGCGGTTCTCGCACCGTTCTCAGCGACGTCGCCGATGAAGATGTCGTTTATCCAGCAAATCGACCTCGATAACGACGACGCGGGCGCGATTGTGACGGTGACGGGTCTGGAGCCGTACACGGAGAATATCCTGCGAGATCTGCCGTCGCTGAAGAACATGTCGTACTACGACGAGAGCGAGGAGTGGTATCTGAAGTGCGAGCCTGCGAGCGCGAGGGGCGTGAGCAAGTGCCAGTACCCGGGGCTGTATCCGAATGTGTCGTATGGGTTTGCGTATGATTGGCTGAATGTGTCGATGTATAACGCGACCTACAACTTTACGGATGATGAGCCGGCTGCTGCTCCTGAGGTGATGAGCATTTTCCAGTCGCAGGTGTTTAAGCGTGCCGCAGAGGAGGAGGAGGAGGATGTTGCGTACTACAACGCGACGGTCGAGATCTACGTGAACAACTCGCGATCATGCGTGATGCAATTCGCGCCGCCCTTCGCGCCGTTCGAGTTCAGCGGGTTCGCACCCAACTCGACAAAGTACGCGACGAACGAGAGCAGTCTGAGCGCGCAGAGCGAGCTCGCGTTTGGAAAGTACGTTGTGACGAGTGTGAGTGTGTCGACGAACGCGACGAACGAGACGTATGCGGAGCCGATAACGTGGGAGGAAGGGATTGATAAGATTTCTCTGTTCAAGCTTGATTTCGACACGCCGTTTATTGTGTCGTTGATGTGGAAGGACGCAGAGGATGTAGAGGAGGGAGATATCGACGACGACGGGCTGAAGGTGTACGTCGGCTGCCAGTGGGCAGAATGGAAAGAAGGAATGATCCCCGCGCTCGACGAGCTCGACAAGTACCGCACGTCGTGGTCGGCGGTGACCAAGAGCGGCGTGGGACTGGTCGAGGTGTGGAAAGAGATTGAGCTCTTCGACACTGAGTATGCGGTTTGATTATAAGATGGAGCGATAGTTGCGGTTTTGCTATACTGTTTTTGGTTGTGTTTTGTTTTGTGTTTTGTGTTTTGTGTTTTGTGTTTTGTTATTGGCTGGTATCGTCTTTTTTTATATTTATAATTATTCGTTGTGTACTTCTTCTCCATTATTATGGCACCGGTGTTTTTCTCCTCTTTTTCTCCTTTTTTTATCTTTGTCTTTGTTTTGTTTACTTGCAACTGTTTTTGTGTAATGCGTTTTGTGTTTGTGATATTTGATACAGTTGAAAGTATTACTAGAATAGACGGGGTCGGATATTTTTTATTTTTTACAAATGACAGGTTTATTCTCAATCGGATGCAAATTGTAGAGAAATTTAAAAGACAGTAGATGGAGTGGAAGAGAAGGAAAGTGTGGTTTGGGAAGTAGGCAAAACCCTCCTTGAGAGAAAAGATGCAGATGGGCTTTGTTGATTGATTGCTCCGGACAAAGCATTATTCGTCGTGAGGTAGTTCTTTTTCTTGGGGAATACAGTCGACTATTTACTAGAAAATAAGGAAAAATAGAAGAGAAAAAAGAAAGGAAGAATAAAAGAAAGAAGAAGAAAGAAAGAGAGAGAGAAGGAGGAATATATCTATCGATCTTACTATCAAGAATGTAATATTTGCGGATTCCAATCTCAAGTAATAAGACCAAATATCAACTAGGGAAAAGTATGTGTTGAGCGTAAAGACTCGAGAATAAACAAACAGAAGGAGCGTCCCTATTATAAGGTGGCGCTGGACAAATGTGAGGTCACAAGACAAGAAGTGGTGGCTAAAGACAAACTAAAGATAACAAAGTAGAAGTAATGTAACGCTTCTCAACACATACTGAAAAACCCTTAATAATCAATAACATAATCAGTAAACAATAAACAATAATAATCAATTACTCATCACGAGTGCAGTGCAGAGCACATACACTACAAAGAATCTGATCTACAATATCCTCTACAAACCAGACCACATTCATATAGTTCCCAAGAACACGAAAAAACTTCACGCCGAATTGACGGAAGAGTGAGAGAATGTATTTGCAAGCGACTAACTGTATCTACCGCAAGTAAAATGTAAAGCTCTTTGACTTACTCTGGTTTAGGTAGTATTTACTCTACTTCCGCGCTCAGGCTGTGAAGGTGTGAGATCACCCCGACTATCGAGAATAACAGTCGATAACAACAACAACAGCAACAGCAACAACACCACGACTAAGCAGCCAAGCACTATAACTACACCCATCTCCAAATCAGGCAACCCACGCCTCTCCACACCCTCGTGCCCAACATCAAACAAAACACAAAATAATCAATTAGGGCAACCCAACCACCACCACAATTAACCTCCATAAATTACTCTCCAAACTTCTTTTATAATTAAGTAAACGCAACCCCAGATTCCCGTCCGACGGCGTGGAGACCGGCTAGCCATCCGACGGCCCTGACGTGGAACTCTGGCGGGCTGGATGCGACTCGAAGTAGAAGTTAGTGATGATCTGCTGTGCTATAATGACTACTCTGCTCTGCTACAGTGACTGAGAACTGCACTATACTGACTTAATCACTGTACTATAACGACCTGGTAGATCGCTCTACGCCCGCGCATCAGCCAAGATCTGCTCCTCGGACGCCAGGCACATGCACACGCGCTTGCACATGCCCTCATCCATCCCATCCTCGCCTACCGGTCTGGGTGGAAACAAGACTCCGCCGCTGTGTCGACCACCTCTTTTCTTCTTCTAACATCGAACATCTTCTATTCTTCACTCCTCATCGCATGTCGATCTCGTCTACCGAACTTAACGGGTCGCCGACTACTCTCCTCTCCAAATACAGAAACATCTACCGACGCCTTCGATCTCCATCTCCACACCTAATCCCCAGATTAAACCAAATCCACTCCACTTCTTCCACTTCTGTCTGCTTATTCTCTCCCCTTCTCATTTGCTCCGCTCTCTACACTGCTCGACAACTATAGTACTCTTGATCATTAAATTACTAGCATATCAATTAAAACTTCAAAACATACCGTCCTGCCAAATCCATTGAAACATAAACACAAACTATTCAAAAATCAAAGCAACTCATGATAACAAAAAAAGACCTATGTATATCAAATCAAAAGAACAAATCCACCAAAAGTAAAACAAATATATATATATGTATCAAAATAGAAATCAATCCACTCCGTGATGACAATGTACTTGTAAAAATATTAAAAAATAAAATAAAAAATCAAAACACAAACACCATTCCAAATACATGCTAAACTCGCAGATGTATAAATCCTCTTACAATGACATTGTCAACCACTCCCACTGATTCCCGCTCGTAGCTGGCGAATTCGAAATTCCTTTCTTATCATCTGAACTAATCTGCTGCTGCTGCTGCTGAGGTGGCGACAGCTTCGTCTGTCCGTTGCTGTTCGGCGACGGCACCGACTGCTGACTAGGTGATCGCTGCTGAGCTGGTGAGCCATTCTTCGGCGACGCTGTCGAAGACTTGCTCTCTTGCTTGGTGTTGAACGTCAACGGCGCGATAGGCGTCAGTCCACTAGTGCTCACCGGTGGACTATCTCCATTCGCGCCCCCTGCATTCACACTCGTCGTCGCTGCAACAATCGAGTTCTTCCGCACCGCCTTCTTCGAATTCGATCGACTCAAACTAGGCTGGCTTCCCGGCGTCCCCGGCATCGTCGCCGCCCCTCGGTTCCGCTTCTTAATCACATCCGTCTTCAACGACAGCGGTCGCACAACTCCATGCAACTTCAAAAACAGTCCACACGCGTTACACAGCGGCTGCCCATCCGGATCTCGTCGCCACAGCGGCGTCGTCTGTGTATGACAGTTCGTGCACACCGTCGGCTGTCCATTCGGCTGCACCCCCGGGTTCTTCGGATCAACCGTACTCGGCGACGCTGCACTAGCTGTCCGATTCGTACTGTTGTTGTTCGTACTGTTGTTGTTCGTGCCACTGCTGTTGCTGTTGTTCGTATTGCCGCTGCTAGCACTACTGCTATTATTGGCTTTCACCACCGTAAACGACGCACTCCCGCTCGCATTCGGACTCGTAGTAGACGATATACTCCCGGTAGACGTAGCCGCTGTGCTAGTACCACTGCCCGCCGTAGTCGACCCGTTCGTTCCAGTGCTATTCGGACTAAACTGCTCCGGCGGCGTCGCCGGATTAGACTGTATCCGTCGCGCCAAATTCTGCTGCAATAACGAAGCCGTATTCGTAACTGACTGCGTCCGCGCAATCTTCTGCTTCCGTCCAAAGTTATCCTGACTCACCCGGTTCTGGTTGTCGTGCACTGAATTGCTCACATTCGTCGTCGACTGGCCCCACGGATCCTGCAGCGGCGTCATCACCGGAAACTGACTCGTCCGCGTAGGAAGCGAGCTCGGCATACCATTGAACGGCGAAGGCGCATCACTGCCTCCCACACTTCCCCGATGCCGCATCCAATCCCCAGTACTGCTCAGCGACCCTGAGATATGCATCCCCATCGAGTCTGAGTCGCTCGGAAGATCCAAAAATTCAGCTCCGGGCGTCTGCTGTCCAAACAGCGCATCATCATCCTCCATGTTGAAGTCATGCGTCAAAACCTGCGAAGGGTCCACGTGCTGAAAACTCAGCCCGTTGCTGCCGTTGCCGTTGCTGTTATTGCTGTTGTTAGAGTTGCTGTTGTTGAAGTTGAAGTTGTTGGACGAGACTCCCGGCGTAGCCTGTCCGGTAGGTCCGGGAGGGAACCCATCATGCACTCCAGTAAATGAAAAAGACTGCGAGAGCGAAGGTCGCGACTGCGTGCTGTTTTGCCGCGATGTCGAAAAATTCATCGACCGTCGATTAGGCGCCGGCTCGCGAGTCGTGATTGTGTCAAAAAACAGCGACTCCCGCGTCTCGGTCATCGGGTGCGGAGTCGACACGGTCGAATGTGGGCCGGACGGTGGCGGTGAGTAAAAATCCCCCTGTGAGGTCACCGACGACGCAAGCGACTGCGAGCCGTACATATTCACAAACGCACTCTGGCTCCCAGTCATCGGCGACTGCACGGGAGAAAACGCAAAGCTGTGGTTGTTTACGCTCGACGAAAGACCCATCTCGTCTCGGCCCGCTCGCGAGCTGAACGACTCCGAAACGGTGAACGGGTTCGAGGGGTTGAACGACGACGAAAGCGACTCGTGGTCGTCGAGATTATATTCGGCCAGATTATGCTCGCCGTCGATGTTCATCTCGCTCGTATTCATCAGCGGCGAAAAGTCTGCCGGCCGTTTCTTGCCCTGCAAATTTGTCAGAAATTACTCTCAATAGCACAGCATAATAAAAAAAGGAACAAATACCATCCGGTCATCATCCATATTACTCTTATACGACATAGAGTCAAAGTCAAACTCGCCCTTCATGTCAAAGCCGGGGCCGAGGGAAGCGTGGGAGTCGATGGGAAGAGCGTCGGCGGACTTGCCAGACCGGATCGGGATAGCGGAAGAGGTAGCATGGGAGACGGAGTTTGAGTAGGGCGCTTCGGCAGAGGGGGAGACGTTGAGACCCGAAGGCGAGCCGACGATGGAGGAAGGTGTGTAGGTGATTTCGTCGATGAAGGCGTTGCCGACTTCGGAGGCGAGTGGACTGTCGGCGACGGCGGTGGATGAGGGCGACTTGCGGGTGGCGGACTGCGGAGAACGACTGTTTCGGGTCAGCGCTGAGTACAACATTGGTATCTCATGCCACGAGAAAGAGAGAGAGAGAGAGAGGTGTGTATGAGAAAAGAGGAGAGAAGAGGTGGGGAGAGAAAGAGAGAGGAGAAGAGAAAAGAAGAGCAAAAGCGGGACGAGCAAAAGAGAGAGAGCGGGAAGAGATGGCAGGGCAGAGGGCAGAGGGAAAGGCAGAGGCAGAGAGGAAAGGCAAATAAGAAAGTTTAAAATGAGGGTACTCACGCATTAATCGAGGCGGATCCAGCTGGTGCGGCGGCGCTACTACTAGCGAGCGCGGACGAGGAGCCGAGCGAGGACGAGATGGAGACCAACGACGACGACGGCGAGTGCGAGAACGAGGAGGAGTTGGTTGAGATCGAGTTCTTTTTGCGGAGGGACATCGCCATCATGCGCCAGGACAGGTTCTCCATGCGCTCCTGGTAGGGCAGCGTGGCTTTGGCTTTAGAGTAGAGACGCCAGATCGAGGACGCCGAGGGGTCGTTTGCGTTCGGGTTCTTGGAGAAGTCATCGTCTGCGACGGGCCCGATGGTCGGTAGGTTGAAGAGAGCTGAGCGCGATAGCATAGAGAGGCGGGTGGAGTGCGAGGAGGCGAGGGAGTCGGGGGCGGTGGTGGATTCATCTGGCGAGCGCGCGGAGAAGGCGTCGGCTTGGTCGAAGGAGGGCGCAGCGGGGGAGAGGGAATCGTCGAACATTGGTTCAGAGTTTAGCGGAGTCGGAGTCGTTGCATGCGTAGGGGTGAGGTGAGTGTGAGTAGAGCGAGGGGTGGGTGTAGGTGTAGATTGAGGGGTGAGTGGTAGGGATGAGTGTAGGAGTCGGAGGTAGTGGGAAGATGAGTAAAGATGAGGACGAGGAGGAGGTCGACAATCCCTGGTCGAAATAGAAATAACAACAACAACTAGAAGAGAAGAAGAAGAAGAAGAAGAAAAGGAAGATGAACAGGGAATAGAACAGACGGAGGATAGAGGAAGCGGTGATGAAGGAGGTTAGCCAGCCTGCAACAATATCCAACGTTTCCAGCCCGGAAGCCTGCCGTCTGCGAGGAGCGGTCGAAACGCAATTTAAGGTTTTTATGAGGCCGTGCAATAGTAATAAGGTTTAAAACAAAACTCTGTTGTCTTCCCGCGGGAGTGAGCCACTGGCGATCAGCCACAGGAGGCTGTGCGGGAACGACACGAGTCAAGCGAGCGGCAGCCCGACGCCCGGCGCCGGCGGCCTGACAATGGGTATAATTAGTACGGTGAGGAGAGGCGGTTATAGACTGTGGATTAGAGAGAGAATAGAGAGAATAGAGAGCTAGAAAGAGAGAGAGAATAGAGAGAGAATAGAGAGAGAGTAGAGCAACAGAGCACCACACAGAGCACGGTTCTGTTTACTATTTGCTATAATCCGAGCACTGCTTCTTCTTCAAATACTCAAATACAAATACTAATCCCAAATAATCTCTTAACTCAGCAGCAGTTCGGGTTTGTTTACTTTTTACTCTTCTCTGCGCTCACAGCGGGTCGTGCGGACGTGACTCGAGACGCACAGACGCCCGCGCAGACTTGCCGGATTAGGAAGTCCTCTCTGCCCGCTCTTTGGTTCTTATTGTGCTGTTTGTAGGGAGTTGCAGATGAATTATAGACAAGATACAAACAGCAGAGAACAAGGCAGAAACAAATGAAAGGAGCAGAAGACAGAAGACAGAAGACAGAAGACAGAGACAAAGCCGCGAAAGTCGACCTGCAGCTTCCTCGAGTGGCCTATCAGAAGCGACTCAAAAGCAGTTGCAAATCAGCACACCGACCACAGACTTGCAGCAGCCCGGACCAGAATTCGCCGGTTCGGCTTAGGCGGTGTCTTGAGATGTTATGACGAGGATGACGGTGATGATGATCAGTAGCAGTGGTTGGGTGATTAGATTGCCGTATCATTTATAAGTTAGTAGAAATATACTGACCATTAGTGGTGGCCAATATCAACTATAGCACCACTAATAGTCATCCAGGTGATCGACTACATGACATCCTCTTAGCCTCTTCCAGCAACCCTGTTCCTCGGCACCCAGCTCAGCACTAAGCACAAGCACAAGCACCCAACACTCAGCTCAGCACTAACCTCAGCACTAACCACAGCACTAGCTCCACCAACGACCACCCGCACCGACAACAGCTCACTGTTCTGAACAAGCCTGTGGCGCTCTCGTGGCGCGGCGGGAAGCCCCTGGTAGTGGCTGCTGTGGCGGTAGCACCTCTCATGATCTCCCTATTCCAGAATCCACTTCACTAATATATAATGAGATTATAATGATACCTACCTAACGTCCAGTTATAAAATACATCCACCATCACTATCGCTTAGGTACTCGCCACCGTGTTTTATAACTGTGCTTCAGCCACCTGATCTCGCTCGCCGATCGATCTCAGATCTCTGCCCGCTCACCCGCTCAGTGACTCAACCGCTCACTGCTCCTTCCGGTCCGCCTGCGCCCGCGCTAACTTCCTTTCTTTCTCTCTTCTTTCCCGTTCTCTTGGTCCCGACCCACTCATCGTCACGTGGAATTACTCAGAGATTAGTAATAGGTTATTATGTCAGTGATTATCAATATATCCTCACTATTCTTCATTATATGCATCGAATACTTAACTCAACACATATTATCTTCGTAAAAGTTATAATCAATGCATATCTCTACCATGCAGACTCAACCCATATCTCACCTGCACTCAGCGCACCTCTGCATCAACTCAACTGACGTGCCGCACATCTCCCAACTTCACCACACCACCACCACCACACCTTCACCTTCACCACCACCACCCCCCACACGCACCACAATGGCAGCAGGCGGTGCAAACGCCGCCATCGCAGCCATGATGCGCAAAAAGCTAGGCGCGTCCGAAGAAATCGATATCGCATTCACTTCCGCCATCGTCTCCGGTTCTGCTCCCCCAAGGCCCAGATCTCTCAATGCTAAGAGCTCTGAGAATGATGCGGACGACGCTGAGAAGCCTGGTAAAAAGCTCACTCATGTATCTTTCTCTCTTTATCTTCTGTTTTTATTTTCTCTTTATACTCACACCTCCCAGATGACGAAAGGCCGCGCAAGAGGTCCGAAGCGCAGACTGCCCAAAGCTGCAACCCTCCCTCTCGACACCTCCTCCTCCACCCCGTCTTCTCTCAAATCCTCATCAAAGCCCCCTCCTGTGAACAAAGACGAATCACTCAAGAAATCAAATTCTTTCCCGGTCGCATCAATCTCCGACCGCCTCGCCATCTTCAACAACAATGACTCCTCCGCTCGCAATCAGTCGACATCTGCATCTTCACCTGCTGCCGCCAAAAAGCCACCCCCGCCTCCCGCGAAACCAACCTTCGTCACAATCAAACCCGGAATGCGCAAGCCGTCTCTCTTCGACCGCGTCGACTTTGCAGACGACTCTCGGCTCTCTTCCTCGTCCTCTTCCTCGCATGCACCAGCGCCAAAGGTGCCCCTCAAACCTTCCAAACCGGTACCCATGTTCAAATCAATCCGGCCTGAAAAAGAAGAGCCAAGCTCGTTCTCTGCTACCTTCACCTCAACCACAATCATGACCTTCACCACAACCACCTCCATCGACGAAACCAGCAAACCGAAACCGAAACCATCTCTCTCCGAAAAACCATCAATCACTCGCCCATCTCAACCGTCCTCATCAATCAAATCCATCAAATCCCAATACGAGCAACGAGACTCCTCCTCTCCCCCCTCCTCCCCGGCCAAACCACAACTACACGCCAAACCCGCTCTGCCGCCGAAATCCCACATCTTGCACTCCAGATCAAAAAGCTTCAACGGCACCGCAAACATCGGCCTCGTCAGCGTCGAAAAGCCAAAGAGCTCGAACACCACTACATCTTCCTCGACCGAAACACGATCCCCTCCGCCGGTGCTTCCAAAGAAGCCTGCCCTTGCTTCGAAACCAGCGCTGCAGTTGCCGCCAAAACCTGCCCTCAAGTTTGCAAAGTCCCCTGCAACATCTACAGGCGCAGACACTGTTTTCGGAGTGAAGAAAGCGCATGTGCAGGAATCCCCCAAAGCCAGCGTGAAGCCATTCTTTTCGGGCAAAGTGTACGATGACATCGCAAGAAAAGCCGTCCCCTCTCCGGCGCGAAAAGTCTCCATCTCCACATCGACAGAAGACACATCGAAACCGAAACTAACCCCAAAGCCAAAGCCGGTACTCACACCAAAGCCGAGCCCGAAACCAAAGCTCGCGGCCGAACCTGACATTATGTTGCTATTCAACCGGTCGCAACCCGAGTCTTCGCCTTCGTCCTCTCCTTCTTCACGCAAAGGAGCTGCTGGGTCTGCATCTTCATCCGGTGGCTCAGTTAGGGAGGCGGCGATGAGGTGGGCTATGCAGTCCGGCTCTTCATCTGGAGGCAGTGCGGGAGGTAGAGTTTTTGCGTGATTACAGTGCTATTCCTTTTGTCTCTGTCTGGTTTATAGACGTCTTGTTTCTTGTATCTCTCATCTTTCATTTTGAGTTGTTTCTAGATGAGTTATGTCTCATCATAATGTCTAATTCCATTACATCTCTCCCTTCCCTCCTCTTCCCCTCCCTCCTTACTTTCTTATCAGCATTTAAACAATCAGTTTCCTCCTGAATTTCCTTCACACAACGCGCAGCGCGACCCAGATCACGTGCATCACCATTAGAGTTTAAACGAGGGCAGGAACGCGTAAACACAACAGCTGGAGCACGCACGCTCTCCATCAACAAGAAGTATTTACGGAACGATTGGCCAGGATATATGAGCTGAGATCCGAAAGTCTGAACAAGTTGCGAGTAGCAAGTGCAAGGTTTACACAGCGCGATGCATCACCGTCCGTTCAAACCGCCGTCGTTCATCAACAGGCCCGTCACAGCACCGACTTCGATCGAGGACGAGCGCAGACGACTTGCGCGGCTGGCTGCCGAGCGACGCGCAAAGGCCGCTGCTGCTATTGCTGCTGTTACATCATCTTTGAGTTTAGGGTCGAGTGGTGCTGGTGACGAGGTAGAGGAGGGAGAAGGGAAGGAGAATTTGGCTGTGAAGAGAAGGAAGAAGGAAGAGAGCGATGATGATGATGATGACTGTACTGTTCTTTCGCCTGCGACAACGAGGAAATTAGTGAATTCCCAAGCGCAGAAATTCAGCGTTCCAGCGTTTATCCCGACCGCTCGCGACAACGCTCAGAGCTCAGACAATGCAGTCCAGCCAACGACCAGCCTCGGATCCAGTAAACCGCGGTATTTCAAGGCTCTGTGGCGGAAGCAGACCACGCGTAAAAACAAGACGTGGGACGGAGACGGCGTGTTGAGGCTTACGCAAACATTGTGTACTCTGCAGGATGATTCCGGGAAAACGTGCGATACTCTTTGATCTGTTTGGTCTTACTTACAATGCTGATTTGATGAATGAGAAGACTAGGAAAGATCCGGTGTAACCCAGCGACAGTATTCGACACTGGGATCCTGAAGTTTGGAAGCTATGAAGCTGAGGCAGAAGACCAGATCCTCGAACGCGAGGTTCTTTCCGGTCGCGCGTTTTCGTCGCGCGCGATCGAGATCATCGACGACGACGAGGAGAGTACTCCGGCACCCTCTTCCAAGCCTGAATCCACAGCCTTCAAACGTCTCGTGCCAACCGCACAGTTCAACCCTCCCGCATCCAGCTCTACTCAAGCAGCTCTAACGTCTAGACCTACCGGCACCCCTCGCCACGACCCTAGCCGACCTAACGCGCTGGTGATGCCGCGTCCGCGAACAAAGTCAACTCTAGCTCAGATCGTCGACGTCGTAGTGGACCCGCACATCTCGCAATACCTGCGCGCGCACCAACGCGAAGGCGTCACATTCCTCTACGAATGCGTGATGGGCATGCGACCGTCCGGCCTCGGCGCGCTTCTGGCCGACGAAATGGGCCTCGGAAAAACGCTGATGACGATCGCGCTGATCTGGACGCTGCTGAAGCAGAACCCTGCCGCGGGCGAGGTCGGCGGGATCGCGCGCAAGGTGATGATTGTCTGTCCGGTGACGTTGATTGGGAATTGGAAGCGCGAGTTTCGAAAATGGCTTGGTCGTGAGCGCGTCGCGATCTTCACGCTCGACGACAAGTCCAAGAAAAACGTGCGCGATTTCGCCCGCGGACGAGTGTACCAGGTTTTGCTGATCGGGTACGAGCGGTTACAAAAGATCCAGGCCGAGTTGAAAGGCGTCAAGTTTGATCTGATGGTGTGCGACGAGGGCCATCGGTTGAAGAGCTGGACGAATAAGACTGCGCAGGCGTTGCGGAGCGTGAATTGTTTGCGGAGGATTTTGCTGACGGGAACGCCTATCCAGAACGATCTGGGGGAGTTTTACTCGATGATTGATTTTGTGAATCCGGGGTTGTTTGAGAACTATAATGCGTTCAAGAAGGTATTTACTGCACTTGAAAATGTGCAATAGTAGGAGCTGATATGTGATTGAAATAGGAATTTGAGATTCCAATCTTAAAGTCACGACAGCCAGAAGCTCGAAAGACTGATATTGAGATCGGAAAAGCTCGGTCGGAGGAGGTATGCGTTCTGTTTTACATATGCAAAGGCAGTGCTAACAAGATACAGCTCTCGAGACTAACGAAAACATTCGTGCTTCGACGAACCGCCGATATTCTTTCGAAATACTTGCCCCCGAAACGTATGTGACTCTACAACTTATATTCTATAGAAAGCTGGCTGACAGCAAGCAGACGAGTTTGTGATATTCTGCAAACCAACCGCGACACAGCTAGACATCTACACGCAACTTCTCGAATCAAAACACATGAAATCACTGATCCGATCCGACGACGCTTCGAATCATCTACGCGCCATCACTGCGCTTAAAAAACTGTGTAATAGCACGTCGTTGCTGCTCAGCAAGAGTGGTAGTAGCGGCAAAAAAGGTGCTGAAGATGGGGACGATGATATCGGGATCGTCAGCTCGTTTTTGGACGATATCGATCTCAGCCGGGCGCGAAGCAGTGCGTCAACAGGAAGCGGCAAATTAGTCTTCCTCGACGCGTTTCTGCAGCAGCTCTACGCCAAGCACGACGAGAAAGTCGTGCTAGTGTCTAGTTTTACGCAGACGTTGGACGTGTTGCAGGATTTATTGCGAAGCCGAGGGTTTTCGTTCTTGCGACTTGATGGGTCGACGCCGATGAAGAAACGGCAGCCGATGGTGGACGCGTTTAATCGCGAGGGGAAGAAGGAGAGTTTTGCATTTTTGCTTAGCGCAAAGAGTGGAGGGTGAGTTCTCTCTTTTTTTTAAGAAATATGCGACGTAGGCTAATGAGATTAGGGCGGGCATCAATTTGATTGGAGCTTCTAGGTTGGTACTGTTCGACACAGACTGGAATCCGTCTGTAGATCTACAAGCGATGGCGCGAATCCACCGCGACGGACAAACGATGCCGGTGCATATCTACAGACTGCTCACGACAGGCTGCATCGATGAAAAAATCTACCAACGGCAGCTGACGAAGCAGGGTCTGGCGGATAACCTGATGGACGGCAAGTCCGGCTCGGCCGAGAACTCGTTCACGATGACCGAGCTACGGGATATCTTTAAGCTCCACGTGGATACTACGTGCCACACGCACGATTTGCTAGAGTGCAAATGCGACGGAGCAGGCACGGACGTGCGACAAATCAAGACCGAGGTTATCGTTGACGACGAGAGTCTGTCGGACGACGAAGACTCTGATCCAGGCTGGATGTCGGCGTCGCAGTTGATGCAGGGCAAATCCGCGCTCCCGAAACGACTGCAGTCGCAAGGCAGATTGAAAGCATTACTAGACTATACACACATCGAGCCTCGGAAGCTGATGACATTCCGCGACAGCAGCGAGCTCTCGGTGATTGGCGACGACGTTCTCCAGGACGTTCTCGCAGAGGGCGATGTTGTGTCGTTTGTGTTTAGAAAGATCGCGGCGGTGGAGGTTAACGACGACCAGGCGATAGAGATTACAGACAGCAGCGGGAGCGATGAGAGCGATAGTGAGGATGAGTAGTGTTGTATATATCTTGCATTTTTAGATTTGCTGTAGTTGCTGAATACGAGAAGAGACAAACCCTACGAGATCAGATCTTGCGTCCGTCAGAGATCAGAGATGTCCAGTGTATCTGCATCACCACATCCACTACAATGCTGATCAAATATTCTGTACTGAACCTCATACTCAAGTAACTGTATCTTCTCTATTTCTCTAATACACGATAGAGAACTACTCCTGCTGATAAAAGCAGATAAAAGCCTGGACGATAAGAAGATAACAACAGTGTTTAAAGGTGACGTCACCGAGCACGGCACCAGCGCAAGGCACCGACTTTAAACTTCTTCGAGAACGCAAACCTCCTCGGTTTCGAATCCACTCCATCTTCCCATCTGTGACGAGCAGTATAGACCACCACCACCTCAACAGCATAGAAGAGACATGGTGAAGCACTCATTCACAATGCCGATCTCGGCCTTCGAGCTCAGCAACAGCAGACTCCCGCGCCCGTCCCACAACGGCGAAAGCTCGTCGCCAGACGAATTCTCCGCCCTGCTCCCCACCTCGGCGCGCAGCGCGAACCACCACTACATCAGTCCGCGCGAGGTGACGGAGGTGTGCGTCCGGCTGCGTCTTATGCTGGACGAGATTATTCCGATCGAGATCAAGGAAACGCGTATCTCGCGCCCGGGATCGACTTCCATCATCACGCCTGCCGTCGTCGAGACCGCGCTCGCGGCCGCGGACGGGGATCGCAGGGCGTGCATTGTCTTTGCGCTGCTGACGGTCAAGATGTGGTATGGCAAGCTTGAGCGGCGCGAGCTGTGCGATGCGGATCTGTACTCGCTCAAGGCCGAAGCGTGTGCGATGATTGCAAAGCGCATTATCGAGGAAGAACAAGACCAGGACTTTCTATTCAAGGAAATGCTCTGTCGCCGCTTCTCGCTCATCGTCGACAACGAGGTCACCGACGCGCGCAACGCGCTCGAACTCGCGGTCGACATCCACTCGCTCACAGTCATAGGCTCGTCCGGGTACCAGAAATGCATCTCCTGGATCTGGCACGGCTGGATCGTGCCGAGCCCCGTGCGCCCGTCAGAGTACGTGTCGTATACGGACGTGGCCGTGCCTGACTTTTGGACGCATTTCAATCCCGACCGGATCAAGACTCCGCTGTACCAGAACGGCCTCCAGCTCGCGTTCTCGATCGTGTACCTCGCGCTCTACACCGGCGCCGTCAATACCGCAAACCCGGGCGGCAACTTTGACCCGGTTGAGGGCCTGCTCTATGTGTTTACTCTCGGCTTTCTCTTTGACGAGATTGTAAAGTTCTACCATATCGGTATCTACTACTTTAGCTTCTGGTCCGTCTTCAACGACACGCTGTACGGCCTTCTCATCGTCTCCTTCGTCTTCCGCATCATCGCGCTCTCGGTCCCCGATAACAGCAGCGCGCGCCACTCCAACGACGTGCTCGCGTACCAATTCCTCGCGTTCTGCGCGCCATTGATGTGGTCCCGCCTGCTTCTCTTTCTCGACATGCAAAAGTTCTTTGGCGCGATGCTCGTCGTCGTCAAGGAACTCATGAAAGAGTCTGTCGTCTTCTTCGTCCTGCTCATCATCATCATGATTGGCTTCCTGCAGGCGTTCGTCGGCCTCGACTCCGCGGACGGATACCTCGACACCGGCGCGATGTCGATCTCGTACATGGTCCGCTCGGTGCTGCAGTCTCCCGAATTCGAGCCGTTTGAGATGTTTGCCCCTCCGTTTGGCGCGCTGCTCAACTACATCTTCACCTTTGTAGTCTCGGTCCTGCTTCTCAACATCCTGATTGCGCTCTTCAACTCTGCGTACGAAAAAGTGTACGACAACGCGGTCGACGAGTTCCTCGCGCTGTTTGCGCAAAAGACGCTCCGCTTCGTGCGCGCGCCGGACGAGAACGTGTTTGTCCCGCCGTTGAACCTGATTGAGATCTTTGGCCTCATCCTGCCGTTCGAGTGGTGGATGCCCAAGCACAGATACGCAAGACTGAACGACTACGTCATGACTGTCGTCTACTCACCCGTCCTCGTCCTGATCTCGGCCTACGAGGTCTACGTCGCGGGCTGCATCCTGCGCAACCGCGCCTCGGGCGAGGAAGACGACGACACGCAGGACGAGTGGGAGTACCCCGAGATCGAGTCCGAGGTCGGTGCCTCAGACTGGCTCGAGCGCGTGCGCGAGGCTTCTCCGCACGCGGATCTCGACCCGGCGACGTATGAGATCAGACAGTTGAAGAAGCAGGTCGATGAACTGACTGCCGTGATTGCAGCGTTGAAGCAGGATTTGGGCGGCGGCAAGAAGAGGGCCGAGAGTACGACTACGGGTGGAGACACTGAGAATGAGATTGAGAATGAGACAGAGACGTTGCTGGATGTGGATAGCAATTCTAGGTCGTCCGAGTGATCTTTACTCTTTACTTAGATGACTTATTTGGATGACTTTTGATTTTACGTACTTTGATATATGGTTGATATATGGATGCTGGGTTGCTGGTCTGTTACGGTTATTTTGTGAATTGTTATGGTGTAGCGAATATATATGTCTTGACTACTATAAGTGCCATCTCGCCACACCCATCTATTGAAACAACTCACTAAAAATACAAAGCAACAACTCTTATCGTACACTCACACACACACAGCTATCTTTTGGTCTCATGGATTGTATCGTACAAACTGTAGTCAAAAGAAATTAAAATAAAGCAAAATTGGAGTCCCAGTTCCGAACTCGAAGATTGTGGGAAAATGATGCATGCAACGAGAAAAACAGACAAACAAGCCAACCGCAATGCAGAAAACACACCGATATACAAAAGACACGCAGAAGACAAACCCTTTGCTCGCCAAAACCCAAACAGCTTTAATAGTGACAAAAAATGTACCAGCCAAGATTATATCATAGAAAAGATAATCACATTTGTGGCAGATTCTGCTGGTAGGCCTGTAGTTTCTGCTGCTGCTGGATTTGCTGCATATACCGTTGCTGCTGCGCAAACTGCGCTTGCTGGGGATTCATCATTGGAGATCCTATCTGCTGCGGTTGTGGTTGCTGCTGCTGTTGCTGCTGTTGCTGTTGTTGTTGCTGGAGTTGGAGAAGACGTGCTTGCTGCATTTGATATTGCTGTATTTGAGCTGGGGTTGGCTGTGTGGGCTGTTGATGTTGGGGTTGAGGCGACTGCTGCTGTGTTTGCGACTGTTGCTGCGCGAGTTGGAGCATCTGCTGCTGCTGCAACTGCTGCTGTAGTTGACGTTGATATTGCTGCTGCTGCTGTTGTTGTTGCTGTTGCTGTTGCTGTTGCTGTTGTTGTTGTTGCTGCTGTGGCAATGCACCACTGAGCATATTCGGGCTCATCTGCGGCCGCTGCTGCTGCTGCTGCTGCATTAATGTGATTGCGTTATACGCCTCCCGGAAGAGATCCTGTAATTGCCGATACGGCTCGACCAGCCCGCTGATCTCGGGCGGTGCAACGAGTATTGTCGGGTACGGCGGCGCATGGGCAACTTTGCCGCGATCAGCCACGCCCGCGAGATACGCGAGGTTGACCTGCAATCGCTTCATGCAGCTGCGGAGAGTAAGTAGCTGCACAGGAATACTCAAGAAAATACAACCAGAAACAAAGAGCACTCACTGAACATATATGGGATCGTGCCTGGCCTTTTCTCCACCCCCGTCACCGTGCTTCTGCTGAATCGCAATCGACTCGCGAAACAGCTTCGCGTTGATTTCCAGCACGAGCGTGACGCGCCGCCGGTCGAGGTCGAGCTTCATTAAGTCGTTGCTCGTCATTTTCTGTGGATTTGCAGGTGTCTTGAGAACTGCGAAGGGGGGAGTACTCGACTGCTTACAGAGGCTGGGACGATAAAAGCCCAAAACCGGAACAAACTTTGTTCGCGTGCACGTGATGTTTGTGAGTTGGGGGTTTAAATGTGATCATAGTTTGTCATTTATGCATAAACGCGTCTACTGTTCGCATGTGAAATGTAAATACAGCGATGTTGTTGATAATCAACAGAGGCTTTCTGTTCACTGGTCGACGTGAGTCCGGACCCGTCGCTTGGACGCCAGGTGTTTCTGCCGCTTGCGGTAGTGCTTGATCTGCAGCTCGTCGATCTTGATTGTCTGCGACGTGTACGCGATCTCGCCTTTGACGATGCCGCGTTCGTTCGACATCGGGATGAACTTGAAGTCGTCCGTCACGCTGAACGCGATCGAGCGCGTTTCAAAGTGTATTATTCCCACCGTCTGTGTCATAGATATGAGCGTCTGCAAATAGAAAGAGAGAGAGTGCAGAAAGAGAGAGAGGGGACTTACAGGGTACTTTTTGTCCTGGTCTTTCTTGGTCAGGAGTTTACTGTCTTCATCGGACCAGCCTTTCATATTCCGGCTCAGAAATCTGGCAATCGCTTCAGAGTCGGTGACCAATTTTGCAATTCCAGCAATAGACACCCATTCAGCCTGTGTGAGTTGCAGTTAGAATAGTAGATATAGAAGCAGATCGGGACAAAACACAAACACATACGGTCTCGCTGTTTTGAAAAGACAGATTGACGTGATTGTCGTCGTCAAGATCTTCGACCTTGCAAGTGCGAGTGTTTGCATGAAACATAAAATCAACTCCATACTCCTACAAACATCACTGTCAGAAATGAAACAATCAAACAACAAACAACAAACACAACTATGCAGCTCACCATCTCAGCAATGGCAATAGAACTGGAAACCAGCCACCCCTTGATAGTCCTCGAGGTCATCATGCCGATTCTCTGTTTTCGAATAAACGAAGTCACAATATTCAGCCGTCTCCTCGTCTGCTTTTCTTCCTCCGTCTCGGGATCTTCCGGATTGAACTTTTTGTTTCCGAAAAACGACTTCCTCGACGACGAAGACAGCCGCTCGACAGACTGTCCGCGCCGGGAACTGCTGTCGTCGTGCACAGACAACTTCTCAAGCCGTCTGCCGGACTCGCCGACCTCGTCCTCATCCTCTGTTCGTCTCCTCACAGCCGGACTCAGCGCCCGTCTCCGCTGCTTCTGCTTCTTGCCTTCTTCGACACCCAACCTCTCCTGTCCCTCCTTCTCTGCTCTTTTCTCATCCTCGTCGTCCTCGTCATCTGTGACATCGTTCGACGACCTCCGCGCAGCCGGACTAGGACTCCTCCCCCACCGCGACGCGAACCGCTCTTGAAAACCATTAAACCCAGTCGTCCGCTTACGCTCGCGCTCCTGCTCTTTTTCGCGTTCCATCTCGCGCTCTTTATCCTTCTTCTCTGTCAACGCGCGTCCTTCGTCAAACGACACATGGCGCGCAGCTCCAGATCCAGAGGGCGACTGATGATGATGATGCTGCTGCTGCTGCTGCTGCTGCTGCTGCTGCTGCTGCACGAGGATCCCGCCGGTGACGGAAGAGCCTGATTTCTGCGAGAGAGTGTCGGTCTCTTGATCGTCGTCTGTGCCGCAGTCGACAGAGATCTCTGGCGGGTTTGCCATGTTTGTCTTTGTGTAAGAAGAGGAAGAAGAAGGTGGTTGTGGAGGTTGAAACGAGGGATTTCGATGTCTTAATTTAGCAGAAGCCGCCGCACGCAGCTTGAAGCAAAACTTTCTTGAAGTTGTCGTCATATTTGATATTCTACTACTATTATATCTTACTAATATTGTTATATTCTTCTTATATCTGTATTATAATCATGTATCAACACTCTCGTAGTCTACCCAGCGCCCGCTCACCCTCGCGCTCAAGCGCAGCAATCAACTGCTCACATTTACTCATCAACACCTGCTCTCCCGTCTCAGCCAGGTACATCAACCACTGCTCCACAGTCTTGTCCATGTGCTCTGCAGCAGGAACTGCTGCATCGCCAGGCATAATTGCTGCCCAGAGTTCCGCATCTGAAGCCTGCGTGTCAACTTCTAGCAACCGTCCCCGAGATTTCCAGTCCGAGACGGCCTTTCTTGTCGCCGGACTTGACTCGTTCTCGCGAACAGACAGAGCTCGACCGAGGACCTGCGGACTACTTTGTGCGTTACCGTTGTTTCTGCTCTTGAGTAGTTCTCGTGGTCCTCGTACTTTCTTTGCACTTTCTTCCTCGCAGGTATCAGGTTCGTCCTCGCGCACCTTCACCGGGGTCACTTTCCGACTTGAGTTCATTCTCGGGATTGGAGGTGGGGTATCCAGCTGTTGCTGCTGCTGCTGCTGCTCAATCAATCTCTCTTCTTCTAGCTGTCTCTCTCGTTGCTGCTGTAGTTCTTGTTGTTGCTGTTCGAGTCTCTGCTGTTCGAGTCGCTGCTCTTGCTGTTGCTGTTCGAGTCGCTGCTGTTCGAGTCTCTGTTGCTGAAGTCTCTGCTGTTCAAGTCTCTGCTGCTCTAGTCTCTGTTGCTCGAGTCTCTGCTGTTCAAGCCTTTGCTGCTCTAGTCTCTCCTGTTCAAGTTTCTCTTCCCTCTGCTGCTCGAGTCTCTGCTGCTCGAGTCTCTCCTGCTCAAGTCGCTGCTGCTCTAATCTCTGCTGCTCAAGTTCCTCCTCCCTCTGCTTCTGCTCTTCTATTTCCCGCTCATCATCCTCCGCATAACTAGCGATAATATCCTCCATCGAGGCCTGGTCCGACACCACACTCGGACTTTTGATCTCAACCTCAGAATCAACAGTCTCGACAAAAACAGTAGGCACATCAGGCACCGGTGGCATTTCAGATCTTGGTGATCTCAGCGGACTCTGTGCTTTGACCGCCTTTGTTTTTGCCATCGGTCGAGGACCACGGGTTCGTTTCGCTGCCGTCGATTTCTCGGCTTTTGCCTGTGCTTTGGTTTTCGTGGCCCTTGTCTGAGGTTCTGCCGTCTCCTCTTTGATAACTTCGGGGGCGATAGGTTCTGGCTCAATGATGATTTGAGGTTGCGCGACTGAAGATTTCCGAGTATTCCGCCCACCTCTCTTTTTCGGCGCCGGAGCACTAGTCTCATCCGCGCTATCAAGCTCACTTACCGAGCTGATCCTCTTGCTTACGCGGGATGCTTTCCGTCGTGGCATCATATTCTCAACTTCCAAGTCTGACTCCGAGACCGAGCTCGATCTCTTGCGGGATGCGATCGAGGAGCGAGAGGTGCGTGATTTTTGTTTTGGGATGGCGGGTTGAGGCTTTTGTGATCGATCAAAAAAGAAGCAGTTTGGTTGTCGTCGGCGATGTTCCTCGCTGTTATAGAGTTAGTAGAGTTGAAAGAGAGAGGGGTTAGAGAGGGTGCATACACAGGACTATCTTTTGGCTCCCATCCGTCGAGGACGATGCCGCAGTACATGCAAGAAGCTAGATCGTCACCTTCTCGAGAGGGACTGTAATAGAAACCAGCACGGCTCATCTATAAGCATGATTAGTCTGCGGCCTGAATAGCTCAAAATTTAGATAAACTAGATAAACGTACAGCCTCGCTGGTAGGTATCCAACCTCTCTTTCCATCATGAGGCCACCAAGAATTAGTAGGACCACCATAAGTCAGCAACCGAGTGCTAAGCATCTCGTCCGAGTCGGGATCATGTTCTTCGTCGGCGATCCACTGCTCAGAGCAGACGATAGCCCAAGCGCAGTCGGGGGAGTGCGAGATGTGCTCGGCGCGCGGATCGTCGTTTTTGGACCACATATCGAGAGATTTGTGGCAGAGAAAGCAGGTTGCGTTATCCTGTGCTTCGGTAGAAGGTGTGTATATAAACCCAGCTTTCGCCATCTAATAGATTTTGAGTCAGTGATAATTACTGCTGTGAGGTAGAGGAAGAACATACGTCTGCGACTGATGGCTTTGCATGAGGCCATGCTTTCATAGCCGAGCGCTTTGAGGCGCCAGGAAGCCTGTGAGCTCTAAAAGACGCAATTCTGTCGTCCAGAGCTACTAGGTTATGTGTATTCGCCATTGCTGATGTGAGTGAGGTGAGGAGGTGAGGAGGTGAGGAAGGTGAGGTGAGGTGAATATGAGTGCGGCGGTTTGTTTCTTTGTTTTGGTTTTTGGATCACGTTGTTGCAGCAACGTGACTCAGTGTGACTGAATGTGACTCATATTGAAACACACTGCTCAGTGTCTGCTAGAGAAGTGCCTATGTATTTACTAGAATAAATGATAAATCTACAAAGTATTTACAGCACAAAACAGAGACAAACCCGCTCCACAGCACTCAACTGCAGCAGCACAAGTGCTTCGATGTTTTCATTGTTATCACGTGCCGTTGGGTTTGGGTTTTTATCCGAGACGCGTCTTTAATGATTCCAGGAGGCTGGGCCTTTGCGTCTCGCGTCGCATTCTTTGTCTCTTTGTCTTTTGCTGTTCTTCTTCTTGTTGTTTGTTGGATTTGCTATTACATTCGTTATTGTATTTGCTGTTGTATTCTTATTGTCATTCTCTTCTCTTCTCTTGCTCGACCATCTGCATATCTCACAATGGAGGCGCGCTCCGAGGTCTCCTCCGTCTGCTCCTTCGCTGAAGACACCGTCTCCTCCCCCTCGACCGCCCACTCCTCCGTCTCTGAGACCTTCGTCCAGGACCTCGACTGGAAAGAACTCGAACAGTCTGAATCAGAATGCGCTTCCGACTCAAACATCGCCTTCCTCCTCGCGCGTCTCGACCGTGAGAACGCCCGATTCGAACGCGACCCTAAAGCGCCCCTATCGTCACTCCCTGCTGCATCCACCACCACCATCACCTCCTCCTCCTCCTCAACTACTCCTTCCTCCACTCATCACAGACACTCGCGACCCGTCAGCGTCGATCAGCTTCGCAAAATCGTCGAATCCAACGACTCGCTCTGTGTCTCAATGGTCGGCGCTCCTCCGCCCCTGACCGATCTAGAGTTTTGGACAGCCCTCGTCGCTGACTACCCCACAACCGCCTCCCGACTTCCCTGCTTGCTTTCAAAGAAGGTATTTTCTTCTCCTTCTTATTCTCCTTCTCCTTCTTCTTCTTCTTCTTCTTCTCATCTACACATACTCACATATTACAGATCAAACACGGCGTCCCGCCCCCCTTCGCGGCCTCGTCTGGCAATCAATGGCCGGCGCCGCAGACTCAACCCTCGAGTCCCTCTTCAACTCCCTCGCCGCCGAGCCCTCGCCCTACGACAAAGTCATCTTCCGCGACCTACACCGCACCTTCCCCGAAGTCGAGATGTTTCGCGAACGCGGCGGCCCCGGCCAGCAGATGCTCGGCCAGGTCCTACGCGCCTTCTCCGTCTATGACATGCAGGTCGGATACTGCCAGGGCCTCGCCTTCCTCGTCGGTCCTCTCCTCATGCACATGGACGAGCGCGCCGCGTTTTGTGTTCTCGTTCGTCTGATGGAGGAGTACGACCTGCGCACAATGTTCACCGCCGACATGGCCGGTCTTCATCTTCGCATATTCCAATTCAGCCGTCTGCTCGAACGCTTCGTCCCGGCAGTAAGCCAACACCTTGACAAGCTTGGCGTGCAAAACATCTACGCCACGCAGTGGTTTCTTTCCTTCTTTGCCGTCACTTGCCCGCTCAGTATGCTCCTGCGCATCTACGACGTCATCTTCGCCGAGGGCGCGCTCGAGACCCTCATGCGCGTCTCGATCGCAATCATGCAGGCGAACGAGAGCACATTACTCAGTCTCAAAGAAGAAGACGAGGTCCTTGCGTTTCTGCTTGGGCGGAATCTCTGGAGCGTGTACGACGCCGACGACGAGCGTCTGATTTCCGACGCCATGGCGCTCACCACCGTCGCAACCCGCCAAGTCCTCGAAGAACTAGAGCAAGAGTACAACGTCAGCCGCGTAAGCTCCTCCTATTCTAACGGCGCGTCATCTTCAATCTCGTCATCCTCCGACTCCAAAGCGGCCGCGACAACAGACTTGCACGCGGCAGCAACCCGCTTCCTAGGTCGTATCTGGTCCACATACTCTGCGCCGTCGTCAACCAGCGCGCGCAGCGTGCGCCGCCAGTCCTCGCGCTCGTCGCTCACGTCGTCTGTGGCGCAGTCGGAATACAGCACAAACACAGACGCCGACAACAACTCGCAGTTCTTCTTTGACGACGAACCGCATAAAGCCGATCCGGAGCTGCACCGGCAGATCGAGGACCTCGTCATCGCGCTGAGCACGTTGCAGCGCCAGCACGCGTCCGTGGTCGAGGAGCTGGAGGCTGAGAAGCGCGCGCGGGCGGAAGACCGCGTGGCGTTCCAGGATTATTTAAAGTCGCGACCGTCAATTTCCTGGACCGACAGCACGACCAGCACTTCCTCGACCACCGACTCTGGCGAGACCAGCACCGCCGAAGAAGACGAGGCAGTCCAGCGCGAGCTCGAGTACGTGCAAGAGAAATTCAGCACGGCGCCGGAGAACCTGGAGCGGGTGACGACGTTCAAGGACCTAGCGCGACAGATTGACGACGCGCGCGCAGAGACCGAGTTTGAGCGCGAACGGGTCTCGTTCTTGAAACGCGACCTGGACTGTAAATGCTCGGAAGTGCGCGATCTCAAGGATCAATTGTTTGAGATTAGGAACCGGTACCAGGATTCGCAGCGCGAAAAGGCAAAGTACGAGCGTATGCTGAACGAGGTTCGGCAGCGCAGCGTGATCGTGCCAGCGGCTTCCCCGAGAGAGGACGAGTACGAGTACTACGACCCCCCTTCGCCCGGTGTCGGAAGTCCAAGCCCGTCTCTATCCGTCAGCAAAAACGCTTCTTCTTCCGCAATGTCACCAACCACCTCCTCCTCATCAACATCCTCATCAACATCATCGTCCTCGTCGACAGGTCTGCGAGAGCTCCGACTAGGCCGGCAAAACCAGACGCAGATCCGCTCGCCGCAGCTGCAACCCCACGCGACATTCAGCAAACGCAGTAGCTCGCTGTTCACTTCTGAAGACATCGCCGCCGCTCTGCAGTCTCCCAACACTACCCCAAAACTGAGCTCATTCGCGACTTTCCAATCACCGCAGGTGACCCAGCAGCACACTTTCACCGCCGCTGAGCCAACAACAGCAACAACAGCAACAATCAAGCAATGCGAACAATGCGAATCCCTCAAACTCGAGCTCGTGACTGCGAAAACTAGCGAGGTCATTGCGCGCCAGGAATGCGAAGAAACCAAAAACAAGCTCGAAAAGCTGAAACGCAGCTTCAGCTCCGCAGGCGTCACACCCTCCTCCTCCTCCTCCTCCTCGTCGGGTATTGTCGCCGGCGCAGGCCAGAACATTGCCGCGCCGAGGATTAGTCCGCAGCGGACGACGCCGCCGGCGGGGGTGAGTGGCGGAGAGAGTTCGTGGCCGAAGATTGGCAAGTTTGCGTGGAGTCGTTAGGAAAATGATTTGTGTCTAGATCTATGTGATGATATTATAATTTTGTGACTAATAGAGATAACTATTATTTTTGTAACAATGCATTTTATTAGAATAATTATGAATTAGGATGACTCCAGTCGTAGATATTCTCGGCATACCCTCGTTCCAACAAAAACCTATCCCGCTCAATCTCCCCCGGTATCCTAATACTTCTTCCACCCGCAGCACCAGCCGCCCCGCGAGCAAGCATCTGCTGCTCGCGCTCGCACGCAAGGTACAAACTTGCGCCAGCCCACGCGCCGAGGGACTTTATCCCCTTTGCGCCGGGAAAGTGGTCGCGGAGGTGATTCAAGACCGCGGGTTTGAGACCTGGGATTGCTGCCGCGCCGCCGACGAAGATGATGCGTTGCTGTAGGGAAGCGCGGGCGTCGATGGGGAGTTTGCTGAGGCTGGATGCGATGAGAGAGGGGAGGGGTTGGTGTTCGATGTCGTCGAGGGAGGAGGGTGTGAGGAAGCAGGTTTGGACGGGGAGGCAGCGGGTGTCGATGCTTGGGACGTAGTGCGGCGTTGTGCCGATTGAGATTGCAAATGCTGAGGATGAGGAGGAGGAGGAGGAGGAGGAAGATGAAAGGTCTGAAGGGAGATACGCGGCGCGGACGATGAAGTCTTCTACCTCGTCGAAGGAGGGTGCTGTGCCGGTGTATTCTTTCAGAGCAGCAGAGACCAAAGAATGCAGATGCGAGGCAGAGCGGGTGGAGGAACGGATACCAATAAGGATAGGTTTGTAGTCATAAATCTGGACATTGACGTCGTCAGCTGAGGCCATGGAGTAGCGACAAAGGTGTACTGACTGGAGTCACGGTGGTCTCATGCCATCCGATATCGACGACAAGCGCAGAGTGCGTTCCGGCAGCAATAACAGAGCACACGGGAGACAACAGGAAAGAGACCGAGACAGCCTGGAACTCATAGCGGTTAGCAAAGAGGAAGAGAGGATATCGACAGATCTTTTGTACCTGGAGATAATTGAACAGCACAAACGCAATCGCTCGTTTGATCCAGATCGGCGTCCGTGGCCGTTCCAGCACAACTACCTTCCTACTCCGTCCATCGAGCAGCAGGTGGTTGTAATACACCCGAGCCAGCAACACCTGCAGCACATCCCTCGTCCGCTCTTCACTCCCCGCACACCTCACGTCCAGCGGCCACAGCGCGACGTCCACATCCACTTCCCCGTCCCCACCCTGACGCATACTCGCTCTAACCACATCATCCACCACCGGAACAACGCACACCGGGCCAGGTTGACCCGCGATCCCGGCTCTGATCTCGCGCGCGCCAATGTCGAGAACGACAGGCGGATCGGAGGCGTGCTGCTGGTGATGGTGATGCCGGGCGCGCGAGGACGGCGAGGACGGCGAGCCGGGGATCGGAGAGGAGGATATCCGCTGCCGCAGCGCAGCGATGTCTTTTAGAATATCCGACGAGGCCATTCTCTGCTGAGATGTCGCAGCAGGCGTAGATATCTGATAGCGCAGAGAAGACAAACGCGTGTTGACGCGTCGCTCACGTGACTCTGATAAATCAATATTTGGATTTGTAAAGCCCTCCTCGACTGTTCTCACCCCCCAGCTCTCTTCTCCTCTCAACAGTCGCAAACCCACAGCCGAGCAGCAAAATGGAGTTCACGCCGACGCAGCCGTCGACAGGACCGGACGAGACGCAGCCGGAGCGCGAAGGCGGGAGCGGCGGCGGAGCGAGTGCCGCCTCGGACGTGCTGTGCACGCTGGTCTGCATCTCTGGCAACGCAGAAAACATTGACCTGCACACGAGCAATGGCGCGGGCGAGGAGCCAAAGTGCGAGTGGGTGTTTGGCCGGCATGCGAGCTGCGATATCGTGCTTGGGGATATCAGACGGATATCGAATCGGCATTTCAGGATCTGGACGGTGAGTACCCCTTGAATAGACCAGCTCAGTCAGTGACTGACTTTACATACTACAGCGCAGTCAACAATCGACAGACTCGTCAGAGAGGCCAATTATTCTTATCGAAGACCTCTCGACCAACGGCACGTTTGTAAACACGCAGCGGCTGCCCAAGCGACGGTCGAGCATAGTAACCCAAGGCGACGAAATCGGCGTCGCGATCGGCGTGCCTGCCGACGAGCGCAGGTTCATTCTACACTACGGCCCCGCATACGCTTCCTCACATCAATCTGCATACTCTCTCTCAATGTCAAACACCGAGGACGAGCTCCGGGGCGTGAACGCAAAGTACGTGATCCAGGACATGCTCGGGCGGGGCGCGTTCGCGGTCGTCAAGCGCGCGGTGGAAAGGACGACGGGGGAGTTGTTCGCCGTGAAGGTGATTCCAAAGAAGCGGATAATGACAGGCGTGGCTGTTAAGCGTGAGGTCTGTATTCTCACAAAACTGAACCATCCGCACGTGGTCAGGCTGCAGGAGTGCTTCGACACCGAACCGCACTCGATCTACGTGGTTATGGAGTACGTCGGCGGCGGGGATCTGATGGACTACGTTACGAATTACGGCCCGCTCGACGAGCCACTGGCAAAAGTAGTCACCAGACAGGTGCTGCAGGCGCTGATGTACGTGCACGGGCTCGGGATCTCGCACCGCGACATCAAGCCCGACAACATCCTGCTCTCGAAACCGGGCAAGCAGACGCCGGAGACGGTGAACGTCAAGGTGACGGATTTCGGTCTCGCGAAGCTGGCAGAGTCGGGAACGGTGCTGCGCACGTTCTGCGGCACAATGTCGTATCTTGCACCAGAGGTTATCAAGACTCGCGAGGCGGCAAAGACGGAACGGAAGTCGGCGTTCTACTCAAACGCGGTGGATATGTGGTCGGTCGGGTGTATGGTGTATGTCATTTTGACGGGGTATTGTCCTTTTAGTGGAGCGACGCAGGAGCAGCTGTGTAGACAGATTATTTCGGGAAGGTATAGCGAGGAGCCGTTGGATAATTGCGAGGTGAGCGCCGAGGCACGCTCGTTCATTGCCGAGCTGCTTAATGTCGACGCGACGAAGCGGCCGAGCGCAAAGGGTGCTTTGATGTTGAAGTGGTTACTGGAGGATGTCAATGAGCCGAAGCCTGCAGTGGAGGGGGAAGTGGAGATTGCAGAGCAAGTGGAAAAAGTTGAAGAGAACGAGGAGGACAGAATGTCAGAGGTGGATTCTACAGAGATACGAGCGGCGACGGCACGCATGTCGCTGGGCGAGCATCCGCACGAAGCACAGACGTCGTTGGTCGGCGCGTCTTCAGGCAGTTCGAGCAGGAAGCATATCTATGGTGTTCGAGATTACGAGGATGACAGCGACAACGAGAACAGCGGTAACGACAACGACAGCGACAAGAAGAGCGACAAGCTGAACGGAGAAACAAAGAAGGAGGAAGAAGAAGAGAGACTGGCTATTCCGCCCACAGCCTGGGTGATGCTACGAACGATGCCAGACAGTATCCCGTTCAAAGACCAGCTGCTGACGAACGACGTCACCTGGCTAGGGCGCGCGTTGGGCTGCAACGTGATGCTGAACGACGCGCGTGTGTCGAAGCTGCACTGCGCGATCCGCAGGAGTGTAATCACACCAGACAGCGGCAGTAGGGATGGAAAGACAGCGAGGCTGTACGCGTTTTATCTATGTGATTTCTCGCTGAACGGGTGCTTTGTGAACGGGACGAAGATCACGAAAGGGATGCAGACGGAGTTGAGAGATGGGGATGTGGTTGATGTTTTCAAAGAGCACGAGACAAAGCTGTCGTTCAAGGTGGTGCTGCGGAGGCCGGAGGAGTATCGGGAGGCCGAGCGGGCGAGTAGGGAGAAGGTGGTGCGTAGGCCGACGACGGTGGTGACGATTGATATGGGGAAGGAGAATGTTATAGGAGGGGGTGGGGGGAAGCGGCGAGTGGAGGAGGGAGAGGAGAGGCCAAAGCAGAAGATCGCGAGGAGATAGAAGAAGAAAGAGCAATTTTGACAAGAATACAAGTTGTATTTACAATTTCCTAATCAGGAAGACAGAGAACGGCGTGGATGCACAAGTGCGGCGATGTTTTGCGCACCGCAGCGCACTCGACCACCGCTGACCGCCTCTCGTCGCCTGCTTCAGCCCAGACACCCATCCGCGCTCTGTTCACCAGCAATCAGCACAGTCGACAGCATTAATCACGATGGAGGAGCTTGGAATCATCGCAGACAAACAGGCGGCGCCTGCAAAGCCCGTGAAATCATCATCCACACCCCCAAAGCCCGCCGGATCCCCAGCACTACCCACAGATCCGTACTCGCGTCTAAAGAAACTCGAACGCGAGCTCGAGTACATCAATCTGCAGGAAGAATACATCAAAGACGAGCAGCGCAATCTCAAGAGCGAGCTGATCCGCGCACAGGAAGAGGTCAAGCGGATCCAGTCCGTGCCGCTTGTTATCGGGCAGTTCCTGGAGCCGATCGACACGCACACCGGCATTGTTGGGTCAACGACCGGATCGAACTACGTCGTGCGGATCCTGTCGACGCTCGATCGCGAGCTGCTGAAGCCGTCGTCGTCGGTGGCGCTGCATCGCCACTCGAACTCGCTGGTGGACATCCTGCCACCGGAGGCGGACTCGAGCATTGCGATGCTGGGGGCGGACGAGAAGCCGAACGTGAGCTACGCGGACGTCGGCGGGCTGGACATGCAGAAGCAGGAGATCCGCGAGGCGGTCGAGCTTCCGCTTACGCACTTTGAGCTGTATAAGCAGATCGGAATTGATCCGCCGCGGGGTGTGCTGCTCTATGGACCACCTGGGACGGGCAAGACGATGCTGGTGAAGGCGGTAGCGAATTCGACGACGGCGTCGTTCATCCGCGTGGTCGGGTCTGAGTTTGTACAGAAATACCTTGGCGAAGGGCCGCGGATGGTGCGGGATGTGTTTCGGCTTGCGCGGGAGAACTCGCCGGCGATTATCTTTATCGACGAGATTGATGCGATTGCGACGAAGCGATTTGACGCGCAGACGGGAGCGGACCGAGAGGTGCAGCGGATTTTGCTGGAGTTGCTCAATCAGATGGATGGATTCGATCAGGGGTCGAATGTGAAGGTGATTATGGCGACGAACCGAGCGGACACGCTTGATCCGGCGTTGCTGCGACCGGGCCGTTTAGACCGAAAGATTGAGTTTCCTAATCTGCGAGACCGGCGTGAGCGACGGTTGATCTTTTCGACGATTGCGAGTAAGATGTCGCTTGCGCCAGAAGTTGATTTGGACTCGCTTATTGTTCGGAATGATCCATTGTCGGGCGCGGTGATTGCTGCGATCATGCAGGAGGCGGGACTGAGAGCTGTGCGCAAGAACCGATATGTGATTTTGAACTCTGATTTGGAGGAGGCGTATAACTCGCAGGTGAAGACGTCGAGTGATGTGGATAAGTTTGAGTTTTACAAGTGATTATATAGTGGAGATCACAGTTGCATCTCTTTTTCAATGTGTATAATATACATACAATTACTTATGATGCCTCCTGGTGTATGTAGTAGATGTAGACTACATTATGTCTATTCTTAGCATATATTATATACATACAACTGCTTATCAAGAGTATTAAGACTATAACCAATCTACTCTAAACATATATTATATACATACATCATCTATTAAGATGTTTGAGCTCATAATCAAGCACTCTCATAAACAAATCATTATCTTTAATATCAATAAAAGCCGTAAGCCTACTCAGAGTCTGCTCAAAGTCCTCACCAATCTCATCACCCAACGAATCCAGAAGCGCGATGGCGGCCGCATGCAGGACATTGACAGAACCAAGCAAGAGAAAATAATCCCAGATCCGAAGCTGGGTTTCAAAGGGAACGGCGTAGTTGAACAGAGTAAGATACCATTTTGTAGCATACAGCATTGGATCGACGCCGAGGGACTCGAGAGTCTTGCCTACTTTGCTCGGACGGAGTGCGGTCGAGAGGTCGTCGAACGTGGATTTGAGACCGCCAAAGCCGTACGCGTAGAGCTCGGCCATGTGATGGGTAGAGAATAATCTGACGAGCATGACGAACGCGGTCGCTTCGTCAAAGTAGCAGAGAAAAGTGGCGGCGAGAGGGGCCATGCCTTGCACGTAGCCGACGTCGGCGCGGTGGATCGAGAAGGCGTGCAGGACGCGGAAGAGGAGTCGTTGGCCGCCTTTGTAGCGCGCGGAGAACATTACGTGTCGTTGGATAGTGCGCGGGACGTCGAGGTCGATCTGGGAGTCTGCGGAGGAAGGTTGGCTGAGATATTGGGGATAGAGGGTATCTGCCAGATGTTTATCTGACGAGGCGGAGGCCGACGACCGCGAGAGAAACGAGGCCCACGCAACGGCTCTCCACGAGTCCGGCACGCCTTTGAGCGTCCGCGACCGCATTTTCGGATGCCTGAGATCGAACGAGAACGAGACCGAGTTGTCGGCCGCGACCGAACGCGTCGCCATCGCGGCCCATTTCGACTCGCGCCGGATCTCGGTCTGCAGGGCTTCTTGTGACGAGTGGTTCGGGGCGAGCGCGTTCGGTGCTCTGACTTTCAGGTTTGTCGGTCGCAGAAGCAATTGCACTGAACGATGTGAGTGTCGTTGTTGCTGTTGTTGTTGTTTACTCATCTCCACGAATCCATACCGGTCAACCTGCTCCGGCACCACCCCATCCCAGTCCTCGACTCCACCCGCGAGCAGCACATGGTCCGGCGCAGCATCGTACTTCTCCAGCAGCTTCGCAAACGCCTCTTCCTCCTCCTCATTGCCGCTCCTGCTTTTACTCGCGCCATTGCCGTTCTCCGCGCGGTTCTCGGCCATCTCGTGCGCGCTGCTGCTGCTGCTGCTGCTCAGAAAGTTAACAGGATTAAATTCCTATTTTTTATTCAGCGCCGCAGCATCAGGTCACATGACATATCACATGACGCATCACATGACGCATCACGTGTGCATACCTGTCGTCGGCGCCGCCGATGCCCGAAGCAGATAATGGCTTTGTTTGGAGATCTCAGATCTGATCTGCAATAGCAGCGATATCTCTCTTTAAGACAGCAACTGCTACTACTCCATACAATAAACATACGATATACACAAGAACAGACCATGGACCGCGCTCCGACGTCCACCGCAACAGCAACAGCGCCCACCCTCACCCGCACCCGCTCCCGGCGCTCCTCCTCCTCCATCGTCCCCATCTCCAACCCTCCCCCCCTTCGCAGAGCCTCCACCGCCCTCGTCGCCCAGCGCAGACCCAGCATGGCCGCCTCCATGGCCTCCTTCCGCACCGTCGGCCTCTCCGAAAAAGAGCTCTACGGCGAGGCGCCCCAGGACCTCATCGGCCTCCAGCGCATCAAGACCTTCGAGACCGTCGCGTCCCACTACCAGATCATGACCGCCGCCGACGGAGAAATGTCCGCGCCCGCCGACGGCCTCGTTCTCAGAGACATCGACCCCGAGCTCGTCACCTGGGACTCCCCCGATGATCCCGAGAACCCGCGCAACTGGTCGACCGCCCGCAAGTGGAAAGCCACCGTCACCGTCTCGCTCTACACCTTCCTCGGTCCGTTCTCGTCCTCGATCCTGAGCCCGGCCACCACCCAGATCGCAGAGCGCTTCGGCGTCACAAACACGACCGTCAAGGCCCTCATCGTCTCCATCTTTGTCCTGGCCTGGGCAATCATGCCGCTCCTCGTCGCGCCCTTGTCCGAGATCTTTGGCCGCCGCGTCGTCCTCAACATCTCCATCTTCTTCCTCGTCATCTTCAACATGGCTTGCGGCCTCTCCCAGTCCCTCGCCCAGATCCTCGTCTTCCGCTTCCTCGCCGGCTGCGGCGGCGCAGGCCCGCTCGCCATCGGCGCCGGCGTCGTCGCCGACGTCTGGGACGACGACCACCGCACGCAGGCCATCGGCCTCTTCTCCATCGGACCCACCCTCGGCCCTATCCTCGCGCCCGTCATCGCCGGCTTCATCGCCCAGAACCTCGTCTGGCGCTGGATATTTTGGATCCTCACCATCGTCTGCGGCGTCGTCTTTGGTCTCGGCGTCATCATGCTCGAGGAAACGTACGCGCCCATCCTCCTCCTCCGCAAAGCCCAGGCCATGCGCAAAGCGACCGGCAATCAAAGCCTGCACACCGTCTTTGAGATCGCGGGCGAGTCGCTCTACGACAAACTGATCTCCTCCGTCACGCGCCCGCTCATGATGCTCGTCACGAATCCGATCGTCTTCTCGCTCGGCCTCTACATGGCATTCACCTACGGCTTCCTCTACCTCCTCCTCGTCACCTTCTCCCCGCTCTACCGCCAAACCTACGGCTACTCCCTCGGCATCGCAGGTCTTCTCTACCTCGGTCCCGGCGTCGGCTTCTTCATCGGCATCCTCACCGTCACCACCATCTCGCAAAAGATCTACGCCCGCCTCGTCGCCGCGCACGACGGCGTCGCGAAACCAGAATACCGCCTGCCCTCCCTCGCAATCGGCTCCTTCTTCATGCCCGTCGGTCTGATCTGGTACGGCTGGAGCGCCGAAAAACATCTCCACTGGATCATGCCCGTCATCGGCGCCGCAATGTTCGGCATCGCAATGATCTCCGTCTTCCAATGCATCCAATCCTACCTCATCGACATGAACCCCAAATACGCCGCCTCCGCCACCGCCGCAGGCACAACCTTCCGCTCCCTCTTCGGCTTCGCCATGCCCCTCTTCGCAACCCAGATGTACGCCGCCATGGGCTACGGCTGGGGCAACACAATGCTCGGCCTCGTCGCCCTCGCCATCGGCTCCGTCTTCCCCGTCGTCATCTTCTACAAAGGCGAGCGGATCCGGAAATGGAACGACGCCCGCATGGACGCCCACAAAGCCGCGCACGACGCCCGCAAGGAGGCAAAGCTTGCGCGCAAACTCAAACGCCTCGAAGGCGACCAGGAAAAGAAAATCGAGAAGGACGGTGGCGTCGCGGCTACTGAACTTCGTCGGATTAAATCCCAGCTTAGTACTGATGATGCCACTGTCGTCGAGCCTGGTATCGTCGGACAAAGAACTTTTGATGAGATTCCTGAGGAGGACGCGGAGAGCGTCTACAACAAAACCCACCCAGAAGATAAAGAGAAGTAGTCAGTTCTTTTTTGTAACTAGATAATATCAAATACAACAGTAATATACACTCTATCAATACTCTTACATCCTCAACACCAACACCTCCAAATCAACATCCGCGCTCGCAGCCGCTTCCACTCCCTCACACCGCTGCCGCAGCATCTTCACCACACTCGTCCCCTTCCTCACCACCCTCGCAAACGGATTCACATCATTCCCACTCATCTGCAACGCCGCCGCCGCTGCCGCCGCCGGATTCTGCTGCGTCCCCCGCGGCGGCTGCGCAGTCACAAATCCCTGCAACACCCGCGCCGCCCGCAAAAGGAACGGCTTCACGCACACATCCACCGCCGCCAACACGTCCTTCAGCACCTTCTCTAGCTCCGGCGCCGTGATGTTGTCGTTCTCCAACGCCACCTTCGCAAGCAACTCCGCAGCAAACATGCTCTGCTCCAGCACCGGTCGCCGCACTTCAAACGCCCGCGGCAGCAACTGACTGTCTGTCAATCGCGGGAACGTACACATGCACAAAAACAGCGACTTGCCCATGTTTTGCGCACACATCTCCGCCTCCTGCGGTCGCATCGGGATCAGCGCCCGCTTCAGCAACTCCAGATTCGGTCGTTCGCGCGCAAGCAATTTCGCAAGAATATCGACCGCAAGCGCAAGGTATCTGTGCTTCAGCGGTACGTAAGCCGGCCACGTCGTCGCGTTCTTATCTTCTTCGTCGGCAAGCGGGTACCGGTTCTCAAGACCCGGAATAAAACTAGTCACCAGCGCGAGCAACCACTTTGCATCCTCCAAACCAGCGAGCCTGATCTCGTGCGCGATATTCGACAAAATAACAATGCAGTCCTTAATCAGCGCAAGACGCAGACCCGCCGTCAACTTTTGCGTCAGCGCGCCCTCGTTGCCGAGCACGCGCACAAGTCCAAACATGAATCGGTAGACGGGAGGGTACAGCGCGAGAAACGGCTGGTTCAATTCGTAGAAAGACACATTGCGGATGATTGTAGTCACCGACGCAAGCCTGTCGCACTGCACCTGCAGTTTCTGTCTCGCGGTTCCCGCGTGCAAAGGCGCAGCAAACCCATCAAACTCTTCGCGCGTCGCCGCAGTCATGGCTTCATATGTATCAAACTCTGGCTCCCTCGCCTTAGCCTCGTCCGCAGGCGGCGTGGGGGGAAGCCCGATATCCAGCTCTGCAATCTTCGCGATACAATCCTCGCCGCAGTCAAGCAGAGCGTCAATCAAATCCTCACATTCCGCTACAGGAATCAAGATATGCTGCTCGCGAGTGATTAGCAGCAACGAATCCAGACTGACCTTCACCTCTCCTGGGATAAGACTGCGCAGAGACATCGTGAGCGCGTGCAGCGAAATCTCGCCCAGCTCCTGCAGCAGCGGATAACTCCCGCGCACATTCTCAATCTCGTCACCCAGACCAGCAAGAATGCTCACGTTGAACCCACCATGCAAATCAAGCCGGCGTGTCTTGGGCACATACCGAATCACGCCGTCTTTAGGAGCTGCTGGTTCGGGAGGAGGGACGACAGCGACAGCCGCCGCAGCAGCAGGGTCGGCAATAGTTGGCGGCAGTGGCTGCGCTATACCTGGCGATGCGCCCATCATTCTCTGATTAGGCGGCTGCTGAGGCGGCTGCTGCATAGGAAGCGGTGTCGTGGCAACAACCTGCTGGGGCGTAGGCGGGATCGACTGCCGACCAGGCCTACTTCTGCTTCGCTGGCGCGGACTCTGAGGCGTGCCAGGCAAGCCTGCGTTTGAAATTGCAGGCGAGACATGCTGGCCCGCCATGGGAGGCAGCATTTTCTGAGCCGCTACGGGAGTAGATGACCCTGAAGCTGGCGACTGGCGGGGTAGTTGCTGCTGCATCATCTGGATCGGGGAGTGCTGCTGCGGGGACATTGCGGGTACAGATTGTTGCGGGAGCATCATGGGAGCCTGCATATCCTGCGCAAGCTGCTGCTGCTGCTGCTGTTGTTGCTGTAGCTGTTGTTGCTGCTGTTGTTGTTGCTGCTGCTGCTGCTTCTGCTGAGCCAACGCCTGCATCATACGCAGCTGCTGCTGGTGTTGAGGAGACGAGATCCACCACTCTTCAAACGGGAGAAGATACTTTTGATATGCCATTGCGATCTGCGTAGGCGCGTCGGGTACAACATTAACATCAAATCCGAGAGCTAAAGCAACGTTATACCAGGACTTTGCACCGGGTTGCACAGGAGGCGAGGTGCCGGCCGCATTGAGCTGAGCAGATCCACCGGCTTTCATAACCGCTGCGTAAAGCAGCGGCAGCGGAACCACACGGTTGGCGACGAAGGGATGAGAGTTGATTGGGGTGCCGCGCTTATGCATGAAATCAAGCAAGGTCTTCATAAACTGATCGGGAGTACCTGGCTTGCTCGATGAGGAAGAGGAGGGGGCAGGAGCAGGTGGTTGGGAGGAGGACCCGACTGAGCTTCCGGATACGGAACGCGTCTGGAGCTGCGGAGATCGCTGCTGCTGCATCGACTGCATCTGCTGAATCTTGTTGAATTGCTGCTGCTGCGGCATAAACTGCTGTGGTCGCTGCTGGGGCTGTTGCTGTTGCTGCGGGATGCCTTGAGACATAGATTGCGGTTGCTGCTGCTGCTGCATAAACATCATCGGCGAGCCAATAGTTGCAGCATTCTGCTGCGGTGGGGAGTTTAGAGGCTGCTGCTGTTGTTGTTGTTGTTGCTGTTGTTGCTGCTGCTGCTGCTGTTGCATCTGCAAAAGCAGTCTCATCTGTTGTGGACTCAGATTCGCCAGTTGTGAAGGCAAAGGATTAGCCTGCGACGCCTGCTGCGGTGACTGCTGTTGCTGCTGCTGCTGCTGAAACATAGCCTGAATAACGGCCGGATTACTTGTTTCCTGCTGAGGCGTCTGCGAGCGCGACATCATATTTCTCTGCTGCTGCTGTTGCTGGCGGAAATCAGAATTATCGTGTGCGCGCTTAGTCGGCACCACGGGATTGACAGAATACAAAGGCGAAGCGGTTCGCGAGGGAATTGGGTTCTCGTAAGCAGAGGACAGAGTCGGTGATGGCTGCTGCTGGGGTTGTTGTTGCTGTTGTTGTTGTTGCTGGGGGAAGTCTTGCGGGGAGGAGGAGTAGGGGTCAGCAGCCCCGAAGAGCGACCGCGTCGAATCGAGGTCATTGAACCACGACATCGCGAGCTGATGAAGAATGGGTTAGTAAACAAGAAGCAGAAGTGAAGAAGAGAAGAATACACACTGGATTAAACGGATGATGGATCCAAAATCAACAAAAAACCAGTTCAGGACAAGCAAGCAAAGGGATAAATTTCGCCACTCGCAACACAACCAGAACCAAAGTCCCAAAAAAACCAAAGACCGCAAGAAAGACAGCGAGAGAAGCGAAATGAAAATGAAAAAGAATCGACTGTTTATGATTATTATCAACAGCGAAGGAACGGATGCGATAAGGCTGCGGGTGGTGAGTTTGATATTTACTCTTTGTCTGTGCTGTGGTCGGAACCCTCAGGTTTAGAGTTTATTAGTGAGTACTTAGTCATGACTTTGTACTTGATTAGTAATATATACGGATGCGGAAGGAGACTATACCAGAGATGATGATGATAATGATGATCATAAATGATTATAACAGAAATGAAGAGGGTGCTGTGGGTAAGATACAGGTAGATCTGCTTATTATTTACAATGATCCAGGTATATCTCTGTGATTCGGTATAGTACAGTCAACATCTATATCTATGTACAAATAGTCTTATCAAGATGAAGTGAATCAACATCTAGCAACCTAGTCCATCTTCAAGACCTGCTTGATAAAGCCAGTAATGGCAGTAACAGCCTCTCTGTTAGAAGGCACGAAATGGCCACCGGGGTGGACAAAGACCTTGCGCCCGTCCTCAACGCAAGCATCAACAAGCGTCTGACTCTTCTCGTTCGACACAATCGAGTCCGCCTGGCCCATGACGTGCATCGTCGGGATAGTTATCGGGTAGCACGCATCAGATCCCGGACACCGGGCGCGGAATCCGCTGACGAGGACAGCAAACTTGAAACCGTCCTGCGTCGGCGCTAACCTGCTCATCTCGTGGACGAGCATGCTGCCGAGCACTGCGCCCTGCGAGAAGCCGACAACGCCGACGAATGGTCCTTCTTTGGCGATGTAGTCTTTCAAGACCGCCCAGCTCTCTTCGATGCCGTCGTACTCGCCCGTGGCGTCGTCCTGCACGAACCAGGCATACGAGTCTTCTTCCTTGAAGCCCTTGGCGAAGAGCGCCTGGCGCTCTTCCTCGGGGGCGTCGAGAGGAACAAGACGGGAGATGGGAGCGGTAGCGTAGTGAGTAGTGAATCCTAGCTTTCCGAGAGCTTTTCGGAGACCCGCGCTGCGTTTGGCAAAGACGGGACCGGACTGGGGGTAGAAGAGGATGAGGATGAGCATATGAGTATGAGGAGAGGTTCAAGAAGACATACCTGGGTATAGCCGTGAAGAAACAGGATCTTTCCGGCAGACATGTTGAGTAGAATACAAGAAGCAGCAAGAGACAAAAGACAGAAAGAAGAAACAACAAAAGCAGAGAAGCAACGGGCTTTTTATATCCAAAATCGATGAATCGTCGGCGTTAAGAACCAAAATCTCGCGACGCGGCTCACAAAGCTCAAAACTCAAAACTCCCAACTTCGAAAAAAAACTTGAAGTTGCCATCACCGCAACTTCTCTGTATTTCAGCAGTTATCAGCAGTCAGCAGCAGTTTAATAGCAGTTACAAGCATCCAGCATGCAGCGCGCCGTGTTGGCCTTCTGTCCGCAGGCAGCTTTCTCGCCTGCTCGTGCAGCGCGACACCTCTCCTCCTCCTCCTCCTCCTCCTCCTCCCCCCAAGAAGATCAAGACCACACCCCCGCCATCCCGGCCCCGGACCTCTACAATCGCTCGACCGGCCGCGCCACCATCTCCCCCTCCAGACCTGTGCCAAACATTTACGTCAACAAATGGACTCTCGAAGGTGGATATACCGACCGCTTCCATCCCCACACTCTCATCGGCAAGAGCTCGCTTCCCAGCGTCGATATCCCGCCCTACATCTCTGCCCTCATCGGCGGCACTCCCCGTATGCCTCCATATGTCTTTTCAGAACGACTGCATCTACTAACTATTATACAGAGAAAATGAAGGACCTCAGAGCTCAGGTGCAGGTCATCTACGAACGTCTAAGTGAAGCCTCCCGTTTCCCAAACACCTTCACCCGCGACGGCACCCCCCGCGACGACAACTTCCCCCACCGCAAAGCATCCCGCTTCGCTCCTGCCATAAACCCTCCCCGTGAGTTTGTCGCCGCCTACAACGCCGCTCTCGTGCCTCAGAACTTCACCGCTGCAGTCTACGCTCTGTCCGAGGCTAGGCGCAGACTAGGTCCCTCCTGGCGACCAGAACGCGTGCTGGATATCGGCCACGGACCTGCCGTCGGTCTTCTTGCTCTTGATGAGGTTTTCGAGGAAAGCCCGACTTTTCGTCCGAAATTTGCAGAGTGCACTATCATCGGAACTACCAGGATGTTGAATGCAGCACGCGAACTGCTTAATTCAGAATATACAGAGGGTCTGGACGCAGACCCTACTAAGCCGCCACCTAGAGCGAAGGAGGCTGATAGCGCCGTTGAAAAGGCTGAGGAGAAGGTTGAGGTCGAGGAGAAGGCTGAGCAGAAGGCTGAGGAGACAAACCCCGTGGGCTTTGAGGGAATAAACGACGACGAATCCTTCAATGATATATTCGCCGAAATCGACACTCCAACCCGCCGCACCAGCCTCTGCAAGCGCTACGGCCCCGTCAAATTCACACTCAACAGACTGCCCAAACCCACCGGCGGCAACTTCGACCTCATAATCGTCAACCAATACCTCCTCTTCCCCGCCGAAGCCAAGTCCGGCGAATCCGACAAGCGGCTCAAATCTATCCTCGAGCTGCTCGCGCCCGGCGGCGTGCTTGTCTTGGTCGAGCGCGGGAATCTGCTGGGATTTGAACGGATTGCGCGCGCGAGAGAGAAGATTCTGCAGCCAAAGTCTGGGAGACTGGATGGGATCCCTGAAGATATGCTCCGGGAGATGCACGCTGATACTCTAAGCAACAGTCCTCCGCACGGCGACCCGAAAGAGTTTACGAAAAGCAAGGACGAGTCGATCATCGATTTCGAACCCTTGCCAGAAGACGAGGTCACCGAAGAAACAATCCTGTCGGAACAAGAGCTGCGGAAACTGCTCGAGGGCGCGCAGAAAACCACAATGGCGAGCGTTCGATCAGACTTGCGCGTCATCGCGCCTTGCCCGCACCAAAACCACTGCCCCTTGCAACTGCGCCATCTGGACGAAGACGCGAGGCGCAAGGATTGGTGCCACTTCCCGCAACTGATGCAGAAGCCAAAGTATCTGCTCGACCTCAAGCGCGGCAAGCAGCTCGCGTCGTCGTGGTCCAGCTCAAAGAAGAAATTGAACAAGCCCGGAAGTCTGGCGGGTAAAGGCCGCATCGGCTCGCGCAGCCACGAGCTCGCTCAGGTGTCGTACCTCGTCGTGCAGAAAGCCCCCGAGCAGTCTGCTGCGGAAGAGCTGTTGCCAGAGAAGAACTCGGTTCTTGAGGAATCGATGCGATGGCCCCGACTGATCAATCAACCTCTCAAGCGCGACAAGCACGTCTACCTAGACATGTGCTCTCCGCACGGCTTCATTGAGCGCTGGACGGTCTCCAAAGGAACCAGCCAGCAGGAGTACCACGACGCGCGTAAGGCAAACTGGGGTGACCTCTGGGCGCTGGACGCAAAGAAGAAACTTCCGAGAGAAATCAAGCAATCCTCGCGCCTGCCAGAGCCGTACGAAGTGCGCAAGTCGAAACGCGAGCAGGCAGAGGAAGAAGCCGCGATGACGGCGAATATGCCCGAGGGAGCGAATATTATGGGCGGTAGCTCGGTCGAGAAGATAAAGAAGGTGGCGCAGAAGTATATCAAGAAAGAACAGGCTGCGAGATCGATGGAGGAGTTGGAAAAGGATCTCGAGGCGCGGCATCGTGATCATGGACTGTCGCGCACGACTATTTTTAAAGCTGATCCGGATTATGAGATGTTTGTGGAAAAGTACGGAGAGACGATTACGGATGAGTACTGGAGCGGGAACTACAATTTATAATGTTGCAGATGTATATACTAAACAGATACCTCCTTGCTCGATAACTACTTCATCTAGTGTTGCAGATTGTATATACTAAACATATATCTCCTTAGTCGACGACTATTCAAAAACTATCTAGTGTTGCAGATTGTATATACTAACTAAACATACTACTTCAAAGACGATCTAATGTTGCAGAATGTATATACTACACATAGAGTGTGTAACTTCATACTACTTCAGGACTAAAAGAGGAACTTCCTACTTCAAAGGACTAAAAGGTAAAGGAACAAGAATGTTCGCCTCCATCCGATTAATAAGCTTGACGGTATCATGCACCGTATCCGCCCACCCAGGCAACTCCCAGCACTTTTCTCTACTCAACTTTCTATGCTCCAGATCCGCAAACTGCCACAGGTGATGAACAGTGTTCAACTCGCCAAGCTGACTGAACCACGCGCCGACAGGCTCCATCACCTGACGACGGCACTCGAGGCCTTTGCGCCAGGAGGTTTCCCATTCTAGAAGACGGCCGGGTTGGAGTTCATACGTGCGTAGTTCAAAGACGCCGCCGAGAGAGCGGGGGGCTGCGGTGCCGCCCCAGAAGGAGAACTCTTGGACTAGTTTGTTTGAGCGCGAGCGGAGGAGAGGACGTAGTCGTGCCAGATAGTCGACAAATTTCTAACGAGTTTGTTAGCGGTGTGCCGAAGAGAAACAAGAAGGGGACTCACGGGATCATGGTGGGTACGAAAGTTGGTTTCATGAAAGCCAGCGTAGCCGTTGTACTCCCAGATCGAGACTGATGAGCGGGTTAGAATCAGTCAGATAGAAAGAAGATGGTAGGAAGGAATACCAAAAGTGTCGAGATCGCCGACGACAGTACGCCAGCTGCCGACCAGCTTGACTTTATTCTCGGGATCAGCGGCGATGGCGGGGTACACCTCAGATCTACAGCTAACGTCAGCATACTTGATCTCAAAGAGCCAGCAAGAACAGTAAGAACAGAAAGAAGAAGGAAGAAGACACACATGAGCTTGACGTATTCGGGACTCGACTCAGGACGAACCTGATGATAGGTAATCTCATGGACATATTTGCCCCGCATGAGCTGGCTGGAGTAGCTCTTCTCGAGGGTCTCGATCTCGCGCTTGCTCTCCTCGCTGCCAAACAGGAAGCTCTTGATCAGCCCAGAGCTCTTCTTTGCTCCGGCAGAGGCTGCATCAGCAGAGTCAACGGCATCGGGGGAAGAGGAAGTAGAAGAGGGAAGAGGCTCGGTTGGCTGCGGGGTTCCGTCAAAGTAGTGGCCTTTATAGGAGGGAGGGACGTTGCCGAGAGAGGGCACACGGCCAGGAGGCTGCTGGTTGCTGTTGTTGAGGAGAGATCTGCAGGAAGAGAAGGCTCTTTTGGAGGAGGAGAAGCGCAGAGAGGAGAGCATCGTGTATATTGAGAGAGTATGGAGGAGGAGGAGGAGGAGGGGAGGAGGAGAGGTGATGGTCTTATAGCGAAGACAGGCGATGATGTAAACGGCTTTGACGAAATGTGGGGGACTGCGGTGGTGATCTACGCCGCAGACACTTCTGGAGTGCTGTATGTGCACCGCACCTGAGCTTGTTCCCCGCAGGCAGATGACCAGTCTGCAGATGACCTGGCTGAAGAGAAGAGATCAGAGAGAAGAGAAGTAGGAGAGTAGAGAGATGTTATAGAGATAGAATACAGTAAAAAGAAATGGAATAGAAACAGAAAATAAAAGCGGTGACAGTGGAAGACAGACAAAAGGGGAAATGTGGTTGAACCGGTGATCTACTCGCGATATCCGATATCGGCTGCCTGCAACTTTCCTCGTCCTTGTCTTTATCGTCGTTTAGATGCTTATTGCGGTGTTTAGTAGATTTCAGTAGATTTGGACTGGTTGTTTATGTACTTTGCTTGTTTGATTTGGTTTTTGTATTAATACTGGCGACGACGGTGCTGTCTCTACGCTACTTTATCTCTATGCCATTTCCCTACTATTCCAATCATATCAACATACGCACTCTTATTTACTGCAGATTATATAAATATTTATACAGACTTATATTTGTATATCAAAGAAAAAACCAGAAGTGGTGACAATTTAGTCCTGATTTGCATAATATTCAAGCAAGTCAGTCACCTGCTGGGACTTCTGCGCTCATTGAATTCTGTTTTTCATCTCCAACTCTCATCCTCATCAAACATCACCAACAACTTCTCTTTCTCTCCAACAATACAATGACCTCCAACGAGTACATTATCTATAGAACCCCCATCTCTGCATCTCAATTACTAAACACCTCTTCTAGGCACCGTCTACCTTCATTCATCTCTTCACCACCGCCAACCCCCTCAGAAGACCACCTCGTCTCCTTCTTCATCCTTCACGACATCCACCTCCCCGCCATCACCCACCCCGAATCCCTCCTATCCAAAAAATCCGCTCTTCGCAAGAAACGAATCCGTCACCCCGTCTCCCTGCCTACTCCCACCCCCAAACCTCCTCCTGTCACTCTTCTCCTCAATTCTTCTGATCCTGTACCGGCTGGGAACCTTGCCAAACGATCTTGTCAGCAGTCTAATACAATGTTGCCTGATTCTGAGCTTGTAGAGCTCTTCCTCCTTCCATCTTCCTCTCCTCCTGCTCGCTTCCACTCTAATACTCATCATTTATAATTTTATATATGTATTTTTACTGTACATCACATATACTCAGTACATCAATATCAACTGCTCGCTTTCGCTCTCATCATATATAGTTTTATATCTGTATTTTTACTGTACATCACATATACTAGATCAATTTTAATAGTTACTTACTCAAAGCTCATCGTGCTCCTCAAATACCTGCACATACTCCTCCCCCACCTCCTCCTTTCCACCCCCCACAGGCGTCTCCTCCGCCTCATGCAGCGACTCCGAATTACTCGCAGACAACTTCGCCGCCGCTGACTCAAACGCCTCCGCAATCCTACTCTTCCCACTCCCCCCTTCACCATCATACATTGACAAATCAGTATGGAACGAATTGCAATCGAAGTCCCAGTGCGGCAAAAGTCGGTATCGCTGACACTCGGCCCGCGTCCATTTCTCGCCGTAAATCAACGGGCTTAGAGAGACAAACACGCTCACGGTGCAAAAAATCAATAGAACCCCAGTCACCACAACCAGCGCTTTCTTCTTCATCACACTCTTGCAGAAAATATCAAATCCGATAGAAAATGCCAGCACAGCAAAGTAGAAAGCGGGTAGATAGTGATGCAAAAACAATTGTCGCTGCATCAAAAAGAACGGGAAATAATGCAACGCCCACCCGGCAACATTATACCCTACCTTCCAACTATACGTCTTCACCGCCTCCTTCGAGTAATCAGGATACCCTCTCTGCCAGCGCAGCACGAGAATAACCACAAACGCGCCATACACAACGATCGCAAACGAGCTCAACCACCAGGTAAAGAAGTTTCCAATCAAGTACACCTGTCGGTGGTCTTTGGTCCAAAAGTTGATTCCCCGACGCAACCACGGCCACGACTCGGGCCGCGAATCCCATGCGTGCGATGCAACCAACCCGTTGTTGGTATCCCACATCACCTTTTGCAGTTCCAAAAACTTTTGCATAAATGAGATTTTAGGATAATTGACCTTGTCCGCGTCCTCTCCGACTACTAAAGTTAGCCCTCCCTAATAATAGAAGTAAAGAAAAAAAAAAAAAGATTATACATACGCAAAGGATGCTCGTTGTACTCAATGTACCATATACTATTCGGCAAAGTCCCCTGCTTAGCACAAGTAACCTCCTGCTGCTCAAATCCCCAGCTCGGCAGTTTAATCTTGTGCGAAAACAGCGCACATCCAGTCATCTGATGAATCAACCGAAACTTGGTCTCAATCGCCCGAACCTGCTCCCGAGCCTTGCCCGGCGCCGTCTTACTCTCCACAATCTCAACCCGGAAGTTATCGTTCGCGTCCCCGCCAAATCCCTCGTAGCCGTAGCACGAGACCTCGTTCTGCCAATCGGCTTCCGTCACCGGAGGACGAAGGTCATGCGAGTGCAATCTGCGCGAGGTCGTAACGTGCTTCAGTCTGATCCAGTCTCCGTCGCGAAGGTATCTAGGCCCCGTCTCTCTGTAATCAACATCCGACTCAGTCACGTTCTCAATCACCCAGATGTTGTTATTATCCTTGTGCGGATACAACGTGATTTGCTGCTGCTGCGATCCACCGGGATAAAGATGATCATGCGAGTGCAGATACCCGCCCTGCGTGTTCAAATGACGAATCGTGATCTGCGATCCAACCGCAACATTAGCAGGCGTGTCAGCCATACCCTTATTGTTGAGCGTGTTTTGGAACTCTGAGCTCATGAAACCATCGCCGTCACCGGGGTTGACCAGGCAGGTGAAATGGATCACAAACATGCCGACGTAAAATAGAACAGGCACCGCAATCAGAAAAATCGAACGCCAGAAGAAATGCTTGACGTATTGCTTTGGCGTCACTTTCAGATCTCCGAGCAGATCCCAGAGGTCGATCAAAGTACCCACACCAATCCACGCAATCGTGAACAGCCCAACCCATTTGACACTACTAAATGTTAGTCTGTACTCTAGTACCTAGCTGAGAGAAGAATAAACTCACCTAACGGTAGCGCCGAGACCGAGGCCGGTGAGCAACAAGTACCAGTACCAATTGCGGGTGAAGGCAATCTGGTTCTGGAAGTTGATCCACGCATAAGCAGTCAGGGCAGTGAAAAACAGCAAAGGCGAATCAAGCAGGATGAATCGCGATTGCGTCGCAAGTGCATTGTCTGAATTAGTTAGCACACATACAGCCTTACAGGATACATGCTAGACTTACCAAACAGAATAATAAGAGAACCGAGCGAAGCAGACAATCGCGAGCACCCATACGCCTTCAAGGTCAAGAAACACAATGGAATGACCAAGACTCCCAACAACCCCGGAAGCAATCGCATCGCAACATAAGGCACGCCGGCGCTGACGTAGTCCCTGTAATAACACGTGTAAGATATAGCAATGAATTGATCCAGGAGGAGATCATTGTATAACGTACTTTCCGATATCTTTGAAATCAAAATTGCCATCAAAGCCAGCAAGCCATCCGGTGAGAGTGATCAAGAGCTTTGCGAGTGGGGGATGGACGTCCATGAAGTATCTGCCTTTGATGTACCTGATTTGCTATAATTAGTGACAGCCCCTTCGAAGCACACGACCGCTTCTCTACCGCGATTCGTCTTCTATACATATAAACCAACATCAATTAGAAGAAGACAAACATACTTAGTAGCGAATCCTCCGAAATGAACCTCGTCAAAGACGACAGAGGACGGCTGCCAGATCTTGTAGAGACGGACAAGCATAGCAAGGCCGGTGATTGTCGCGACGGCCGCCTTGTCCTTGAGCGGCAGTGTTGAGAACCGCGTGACAGACGAAGATGCCATTGCGTTAAAAGTGATTGAGCAGCCAAAAAGAAGACGAGATACTCAGAAAAGAGAGGAGGAGATGGCGAAGAGGATCCGAGCCGGCTGAGGGAAAAAGAATAAAAGAGTTGAAGCAAGGAGACGCGAGGCCACCGAGGCAGAGCCGCAGCAACCCTCAACGCGTGTCCCGAATTATCACAGTGGAGGATGCAAGCGCATTGTTGAGGAATATAGAGAATGATGTGATAAATAATAGCAATTGCTGGTATTCAGAGTATTCAGAGATGTTCGTATTCAGAGACACTGAAATATTGAATGAACTACTCAGATCGAAAGAACAGTGCGATTGCTGCTAGTTCTTCTATTTCTGATTATCCACATCTGCCTGCACACTATTCACACTATTCATTATCTTGCTATATACTATTTACTATCTACTGGCTATACTATTCCCTATACTATTCACTATTCACACAATTCACTAGTTATTCACTATCAACATTTCTGACCCGCCCCTCCCATCACCCGCGTTACGTGCTCACAATCACAACCTGATCACCCACAAACCCCTCATCTCAGTAATCGCCCTCCTCCAGCTCAATTTATCATCACCAACTCCGCTCTCATTCATTAACTCCCCTCCCCCCCCCCTCCACAGAACGCCCCGCCGCGTTCGTCCTCCACCACCATTCGGACCGGTCTCACTAAGCGCCAGGCCCGGAAGGGACGCGCGCCGACCAAGAAGTATGGACCCTCTCTCCAGCAGGCGGCGACGACCACCTCCTCCGCCCTCGATAGTCTGACTTCCTCTGACTACTCGACCTCGTCGTCGCTGGAGTCTTCCTCGGCCTCCGACGTCTCTTCCGCGCCGCCTTCTCCGCTTCCGAGTCCTCTCGCCCTCTCTTCCCTATCTGCGTCCCTACCGGGCTCGAGCCAGCATGGTGGCGCGGCAGCATGCGATGGCGCTGGGTTTCGACACCTTCCGCAAGAAGTCGTCGACCTCATCATGTCCTTCGTGCCCTCGCCCTTTCCCGTCGCTCTCATCTACGTCTGCAGGTCGTGGTACCATGCCGGTATCAAATACGTCTACCGACGACCGCGGCTCTACCCCAAAAACTACCTCGACTTTGTCACCACTATCTCATCCTCAGACGTGCTCGGCAAGTACGTGCACGTCCTCGATCTTCGCTTCACGATCCAGTCCGGCAAGAACTCATACACCTCCCGTCTCCTTCGCCGGTGCTCGAAAACCGTCGAGGAATTCTACGCGCCGCAAACAAGTTTTGGCTACGCGCCGCTTATCTCGGTCCGCCACTGTATGAACCTCCGCGTGCTCGACCTCTCGCTCGTTTCCGAAACCGTCGACCTCCGCGAGCTTTTCCAAGCCATCAAAAACCTCCAAAAGCTCACTGTCTTGAATTTCCCGCGCTCCTCCGTCTTTTGCGTCGATTTCGACGACAACCTCTGGCCTCCAAACCTGTCTACTTTAGGTCTCGCCGGCGGTATATCAGACGACTTCCTCCTCACCACTCGCTTCCCCGACACAATCACCGAGCTGACGATGGCGCACTGCCCGTTTGTCAAAATGGATGCCGTCAAGAGCTTGCTCCGCCAGCTCGGACCCACGCTCACCGCCTTACGCATCACATTCCCGATGCCGGCCCTCGGCTTCAACGCGCTCGACACCGCGCTATCGCTGTGTCCTCGCCTGTACCGCTTTATCGTCTCGACAGACTACATCACCCACCGGATGCTCTCGAGCGAAAACTGCTTCACTGACCATCCGCTCGAGATCCTCGAGCTCGACTGTAGTGGCATGTTGGGGCAATCTCACAAGATCCAGGCGGATGACATTGCCCTCGCGATTCTCGAGGGCAGGCTTCCAAAGCTGAGGATCGTGAGGGCGAGTATTAAGTTGGGCTGGTCCAAGGATGACGAAGAGGTCAGTGAGCTGATTGAGGTTTTGAGTGAGAAGGAGGATGGTGGGCTGTGGATTTCTTGATTATTATTTACAGCTACGTTTGGAAATATTGTGTATTATTATTTGTTCATGGTCAGGCATTGGGTGTGGTGGGGATTCTCTTATTTATATCAAACTTCTTTCGCAAAATAACATCACATATATCTAAGCTACGTACAAGGCAGAGCCCAACCCAGGCTCGCTCACACAAATAGCCTCCGCCAGTTCCTGCTCGGTCAACTGCGGCCATCGCTTAGCGTAGTACTCCTCCTTGAGCGTCTTGATCAGTCCATCGACCTTACTCTTCGCCACCAGACTGATTGTCGAGCCACCCCATCCCGCGCCAGTCAGACGACTTCCATACGCACCGCTCTTGATCGCCAGCGAGGTAACGGTGTTTAGCTCATCGCAGCTGCATTCGAACAGCGTCCGGCAGCTCTCATGCGACTGCTTCATGATCTCTCCAAGAGCAGACAAGTACTCATCGTCCTCGCCCTCGTACTCGGAGGAATTCAGAATCGAGCAGAATGTTTCAACCCGCTTAGCTTCCTCGAGCACATGGAGCGCCCGCTTGCGGAACTGCAGCCGCTCAAAGTGAACCGGGAAGCGACTCATGTACTTGTCCTTTAGCTCTTTCTCGGTCGTGCCCATCATCTCCGCGGCCTCGGTCAACGTGTACCCTTCTTCCTTCTCAAACACGTCCTTCATCCGCGCAATGATGCCGTCCATGTCAACCCCCTTCTCTGCAAACTTGTCGTACACTCCCCTCCAAGTCCCGCCGAACCCGTCTCGGATAGGCAGCGGACCAAGGCCGCATACGCGGGCCATGATCTCAGCTGAAAGCGTAGTCTCGACGACTCTCAGATTATAATGAATCGGACCCGTAACCTGCTTATCCGCCACAACCAGCGTGTTTGCAATCACAAACGCAAACGAGTCGCCCTTGAACGCAACCGTGCTCGGCTTGAGCTCAGGTGAAAACTGCACCCGGAGCGCATGCCCCGGAACACCAAACACCGACGCAGCCTGATCCATGCCGCCAGAGTTCACGCCCACGTTCCGCTCGGCTATGACAGCTGCCGTGACGAGATCTGATTTGGAGACGACGGCGGAGAGAGAGTCTGCTGATGACGACGACGCTTTGGCGGCGGCCAGGACTGAGAGCAGCGCGGCGCTGACAAACGCAGCAGAAGACGACAGGCCGCCACCAGTAGGAACGGAGCCGTCGATGAGACAGTGCATGCTGGGGACTTTGATAGTCTCGTCTGTGGCGTAGGCGCCCTTGATTCCCGAGAGAAAGTAGTTTGACCACTCGAGCACGGTCGAGTCGATCTGCACATCGCGGATGCCGCCAACGTCAAACTCCCGGACGCCAAACCGGGAACTGGTATTGGCCAGTCTGATTTTATCGTCTGGCGAGCCGACGTGCACCGCGATAAGCACGTCCTGGGTGATAGCCATCGGCAGGACGTCGAAGAGCGAGTAATCGATATGCTCGCCAATCAGGTTGACCCTACCCGGCGACCGCGCAATGAACGTGATTTCCTCGCCGGGGTAGAGCTGCTCAAAGGCGAGTTCGAGCTTGCGCCATCGCTCCTGCTGCAGAGCAAGATCTGCGGTCGAGTAGATTTGGGTGAGCGAGTCGACGGTAGGCACTGACTTTGCCAGGTCTGGTTTGATGGTCTCTGGCCGGGCTTTGAGACTGTCGAGGGAGGGAGACATGGTGTATTATAGTATAGTAAGAATGAAGACGCAAGAAGAGAAGGAAAACAAGGGTTATAAGAGTCTGCGAGCCCGAGGAAGGCCGGCCGGATCCAAAGCGGACGCGTTGCGGGCTCTGGTTTTGTACGCAGGAAATTTAGGGTTTTGTTACGCGATGACAAAAACCTAATTTAATGGCCCGCAAAGCGCAAGCGCGCAAAACCCTACACAATTTAATTAAGCTGCATTGTATTAAGTAATGGCTTACTAAACAAACTCCTGACTCCCTAGAATACATACACTATCCAGAATACACACACTATCCAAACATAACAACCTCCCGGTCCTCGACCCCCCGCCACGACGCCTCAACCGAGTGCAGCCCGCGCATGACGTTGGCCATGCCCTGCCGCTTCCCCAGCTTCTGAAACACAACCTTGACAAACCCGCGGTCGATCGAGTCCACGCACTCGTTCGCAACCACGCTGACCGGCCACAGCAGCGCCGCCATGTTGCCTTCTAAAGTACACACGCGAGCAAGCTGATCAAGCGCAGAGCGCACGTGGCCTTGTATCGTATCAGCTGCGTTCTCGGCGGGGAAGAATGTTCGCAAGAGATAGATCTGGGCTGCAAGTTGGTATACTTTCGCCGCGGCCTGCATCGCGAGGTCGTGCGGAGAAGCACCAGCACTGGCTTGCGTCGGTACCTGCCATGATGAAAGCTCGAGCTCGAGTAGACTTGCGCGACACATCAGATCCGGGGTCATCGACTTGCCAAAGTCAGAGTCGTTGCAGAGAATGCATAACCGAACTATGAGCGGCCACAGATCTTCTGCAAGCCCTATGACTGGATCGACACCGTCGCCGTCGATGTTTGATGTCGTCTTCAGTCTAGAGTAAGTAGACAGGAAATGCTCGAGTTGGAGGGTACGGTCGAGCATGAGGTCTCGTTTAGAAAGCGAACAAATGACGTCAAAGTACTGGAAGATGCGAAACAAGAATATAGTCTCTTTAGAAACCTGGTATGTGCCTTGCCCCGATCCACTAGATGCCTGCAGTTTGAAGATGACGTGGTTGAGGAAACTGGTGATGATTCGGTATGCACCATTCAGATGCATGCTGATCGAGTCAATGTATCCTCCCTTTGCAATCTCGTAGTAGACCAGAATCAGGATCGAAGACAGAAGCACGTTCTGCGTGTTTTCATCTTCTAACCGAGTCGGCAGATTCTCTAGAAGTGTGATGAGATTCTCAAGTGCACCAGTATGATAGCTCAGCTGCTGATCAGAATGAGCCAAGCCAAGAGCATAGTTCTTGTGCGCGGATGCAAGCGCGCATAATGATGATAGCAGGGGACCAGTCATAGGCGCCGACGCAGACCCAGAAGTCGAGACCGGGATCAGAAGCGAAAGAATCAGCCGCCGAAATGGTCCCTCTTGCTTGTAGTAAGAGATCACCGACGATATCGAAACCGTGAAATGATACACGAGCTCTTTCTGCTCGCGCGTAAAGCTCAGGATCGAGAGCGGGTCAAACCCATCGAGGTTGTTCATCGGCGTGCTCGGCATACTGATCTCGGGGAGCTGTGGCTGTTGCTGCTGCGGCGGGGTGTGCATCGCAGAAACCGCGGCAGAGGACGCGAGTGTGAGAAGAGAAGAGACGTTGGGGGAGACAACCTCGTCAAACATGTGTGGCTCGCTGCCATCGTCGCTGAGTACGGAACTGAAGAGGTCGAGGGAGTTTGTACTGTCGTTGTTGTTGCTGCTGCTGTTATTATTGTGACTGACGATGCCGATATGACTGGACTCGGGACTGGCGGTCGAGATTGGAGAAGGCGATACCGACTTTTGAGAGTGTTCGTCGGTAGGAGCCGGGTATGTGCAGTCCCAGGCGCGATCGAGACAGCTCGAGCAGACAGGTTTCTCGTAGCTGCATTTCTTTCTCCTCCGTCGACTACAAGAAGTGATCAGCATAGAGGCACTGATATATATCAGATAAACACAGACTACCCACCACTGTAGGCAACCAAGCCGGCTACGCTTGAGGCCTATTCTGCGCTTAAGACCGGTCCTGCGTCGCTTTGCGGACTTGCTCGACGCCGGGTCGTCGTCCAGCTCAGGGTCTTCGAGGTCGTGGTCGTGCTGATCAGGCATCTCCCCGTGCTGCGGTAGCGGCTGCGGCGAGTCCGGGCTCGATGAGGACGGCGATGGAAGCAAGCGCATGGCTGTGTTCGTCGTAGGCAGGGAGTCCTGTGGAGATGCGGAAGAGAGCGCGATGCGGGAAGCGCTTCGGGGGCGCTGGCGGGACCTGGAAACACGTGACTGGCATCAGCGCGGGTTAGCGCAAGCGCGCGCGGCAGCCGAGATCCCCGGCGCGTAGTTTGCGCGGGAAAAGACTCCACACCGCCGCCTTTGCTATCGTCACCGTCTTCACGTCTTCTGCTTCTGCTATCTTCTGCTTATCAACAGCACTACTGCCATCCTGTGCCCGCAGCCATGCTCGTCCCCTCGCCGTGGACGACACCGCACCCCTCGCCGCCGCCGGCCTACCACGTCGGCTCCTCCCCGCCGCTCTTCCCCCCACACGAAGACCTCGTGCCGAGTGTGAGCTCGCTAGCAGACATCTACTCCGCCTCCGAGCTGCCCCACCAGTCCGCCAGATGGGCCGCGCTAGAGGCCCGCTTCCGTGCGCTCTACGACCGGCAGATCTCGTTCGTGACCCGCACCCCCGGCAGAGTGAACCTCATCGGTGAGCACATCGACTACTCGTGGTTCCCTGTCCTGCCGATGGCAATCCCGCGGGACGTCCTCGTCGCGGTCGCAATCATCCCTGCCGCCGACGCCGCTGCCGACGGGCGCATCATTCTCTCAAACGTGCAGGCGCTCAAATACCCGACCCGCGTCTTCAACACCCGCGACTTTACTGATCCGTTCTTTCCCATCCCGACCGACAAGCACATCGACTGGTCGGCCTACTTCCTGGCCGGTCTCAAGGGAGCCCTGACATTCTCAAGACTGTGTGCCACTGAGGCCACGCCGCTGCCGACGATGCGCATCCTCGTCGACGGCGAACTGCCGACCTGCGCCGGTCTCTCTGCGTCGTCTGCGTTTGTCTGCTCGTCTCTACTAGCCGTGCTGGCAACCATCACCGCTCCCGTAATAGAGCGGTCGTTCCTCGTCAACTCTGCCGTCATCTCTGAAAGAGCACTAGGAGTGAACTCTGGAGGCATGGATCAAGCTGCGTCGGTGTTTGCCATCCGCGACCACGCCCTCCTCGTCGACTTTCGTCCGCTCGTCTCTGCCAAGCCCGTGCGTGTGCTCGACACCGTTCCCCGGCTGTGCTTTATCCTCGCAAACTCTTTGGTCTCGGTCTCCAACCGGACCGAGACCGGACCAGACCGGTACAACATCAGATTCGTCGAGACCACGATTGCGGCTGAGATCCTGGCGCGAGAGTACTCTGTCGGCCGACTAGAGATCAGAGACGGCTTCGGCGGCACACTCCGCGGGTTCTACGACAAAATCTGTGAGCGGCAGGGATGGGCTATGGGAGACCGGGAGAGCGAAGAGCGCGCGGTGAAGGATATTGTTGCTCGTATTCGAAAGACGTTTTCAAAAGACAGATATTCGCTTGACGAGGTCGCGGAGATGCTGGGACTGAGTACAGAAGATATGATGAGAAAGTACACCACGCGCTTCCCGATCAGGGCAACCCACCTAAACCTGCGCGACCGCGCACAGCATGTGATTGAAGAGTCTTTCCGCTGCAAATGCTTCTCCTCCCTCTTAGCTTCCTCAACCACAAACCTGCGCGCGCTCTCTGCGACAGAGTCGACTCCGTACTTTGATGCGCTCGGAGAACTCATGAACGCCTCACAAGAGTCGTGCTCTTCGATGTTTGCCTGCTCGTGTCCCGAGATCGATAATCTCTGTCGGATCGCGCAAAAGTACGGCGCGGCCGGTAGTCGGATCACAGGTACAGGCTGGGGCGGATGTATAATTTCGCTCGTGCGCGCAGATCGCGTCGACCAAGTGATTGACGGGCTCCGGAAGGAGTATTACTCGGTGCAGCATCCGGAGATTAAGGATATCAGCGAAGTTGTTTTTCAAATCACACCCTCGAACGGAAGTGTTTTGACTAAAGGGACGGGGTTTCAGATGTAGGTTGTATACATTATGGTGTTCGGTTGCATTTGGTGGTTCTCTGTTTAGTACAATTACAATTGATCAAATTATATTATATATGTCTATTACAATGCAATAATCACTCTGGCTTTCCGTCATATCCCCACGGGTTCTCAGTAGTCCACTTCCACAGATCCCGGCAGGCATCCTCGACGCTGAGCTTGACCTTCCAATTCAGCTCAGTATTTGCCCGGTCCGGCTTCGCAGTCAGATCAAGCACGTCACCTTTCCGACGCCCGACAATCTCGAACGGAATCTTCTGGCCAGTAGCTTTCTCAAACGACGAAATGATCTGCAAAACGGTCGAGCCCTTCCCGCTGCCGAGGTTCCAGGCGCGCAGGAAACCCTCGCCGTTCTCGCCCTTGACCGAGTCGAGCTTGGCTAAAGCCGCCAGATGGCCCTGGGCCAAGTCGACGACGTGGATGTAGTCACGGATGGGGGTACCATCGGGAGAGCCCTCGTAGTCGTTGCCAAAGACCTGCAGCTGAGGACGACGGCCGACGGCAACCTGGGCAACGTAGGGGAGCAGGTTGTTTGGAATGCCACGGGGATCTTCACCTATTCTTCCCGACGGATGGGCGCCGATTGGGTTGAAGTAGCGCAACACAGCGACTTTGAGGTTCGGGTCGGCGGCGGCGGTGTCCTCGAGGATCTCTTCGATGATGAGCTTTGTGTGGCCATAAGGAGACGTAGGACCGGTCGGGCACTCCTCAGGGATAGGGATCATGTTTGGGAATCTGGTGGCGTCACCGTAGACGGTCGCCGAGGACGAAAAGACGAATTCAGGGACAGAGTGCTTGGCCATGGCCTTGAGCAGGGTGATTGCGCCGCTGACGTTGGCGTCGTAGTATTCGAGGGGGATCTTTGTGCTCTCGCCGACGGCCTTGAGGCCCGCGAAGTGGATCACCGACTTGACCTTGTACTCTGTGAAGACCTTGTCGAGTCCGGCGGCGTCGCGCAGGTCGAGCTTGACGAGCGGGATGTCGGGCGTGTTTGTGAGCTCGCGCACACGGATGATGGACTCCTCGGAGGAGTTGCAGAGGTTGTCGACGACGACGACTTTGTAGCCCGCGGAGACGAGCTCGAGCACGGTGTGCGAGCCAATGTAGCCGGCGCCGCCCGCGACAAGGACGTAGGAGTCAGTAGGAGGAGCCATGGATGCTGTCTATGTGAATTGCAGGCGGTGAAGGTGCTGAGGAGGAGGAGAGCGACGTGTCATCACAGATTCTTATACCGGAACCGAGCACCGGCTAAAAACAGCAGCACCGAAGCGCGGCTGCTACGCAAACCTTAACAAAGGAACTCTAATTGTGGACGTGCGGCTCAGCGCTTGCGCTTCCGGCCGCGCTGAGCTGCTGCTCGCAGACAAAAAGACAAACAAAAGACGATACAAAAGCCCGGACTCGTCCTCAACTACTACTACTTACTACTACTTACTGCTACTCACTACTACTCACTACTACTCACTCACCATGGGCGACTTCGACTTCAACAACAACTCGCATAGGCGCTACAACCCACTCCTCGACTCCTGGATCCTCGTCTCGCCACACCGGACCCAGCGGCCCTGGCAGGGACAGCAGGAAAAGACCGCCGGCGACGCTCTTCCTTCATACGACCCGGCCTGCTACCTCTGCCCCGGAAACACGCGCATCACCGGGGAGAAGAACCCAAAGTACGAGTCGACCTACTTCTTCGTCAACGACTACGCGGCCGTCAAGCTCGACCAGCCCGACTACGTCACCCCGCAGACGTCCGACGACGACGTCAAGAGCAGACTGTTCAAGGTCCAGGGCACAAAGGGGAACTGCTTCGTCATCTGCTTCTCGCCCAAGCACAACGTCACTCTTCCGCTCATGTCTGTTCCCGAGATCCGCGTCGTCATTAATACCTGGACAGATCTCTATCTGAAGCTGCAGCGTGAGACCGCTTTCCGCTACATGCAGGTGTTTGAGAATAAAGGTGCCTCAATGGGCTGCTCCAATCCCCATCCTCAGTATGTCTTTCTCTTCTTATTACTATTCTGAAATACATATTAACACACACGCAGCTGCCAAGTTTGGTGCACAGAGAACGTCCCGACCGATCCAGCAAAAGAACTCACATCGTTCGGCGCATACAAAGCAAAGCACAACACCTGCCTTCTCTGCGACTACCTCTCGGTCGAGCTTGCCGAGAAATCCAGAATCGTGCTCGAGAACGACTCCTTCGTCGCTCTCGTCCCCTTCTGGGCCGTCTGGCCGTTCGAGACCATGATCCTCGCCAAATCCCACGTCGCTTCGCTCCCGGACTTTACAGACGCGCAAAAGGAAGATCTGGCGGCGATCATCAAGACTCTCACCACCCGATACGACAACCTCTTCCTCACCTCGTTCCCGTACTCGATGGGTATCCACCAGGCCCCGATCAAACCCGTTGGCGACGAACACAGTCTCGCGCACTTCCACATGCATTTCTACCCTCCTCTTCTGCGCGGCGCGACCGTCAGAAAGTTCTTGGTCGGCTACGAGATGCTGGCCGAGCCGCAGCGCGACTTGACTGCCGAGCAGGCCGCTGACCGGTTACGCGCCTTGGATGACGTGCACTACTCTGAGAAGTCAACTTAATGTTTATAGATCAATTACTAGTACATATAAATTTCACAGTACAACTTATAAAAACAAAATAAACTAATCACGCTGATCTACTGCACAGACTCCTTCTTCGCCTCTGCGCGCTTCAAAGCCGGATCGATCTTCGATGTATCCTCATTACCAACATGAGAATTCAAATCATGCACGACCGCCTCTGCAACAGACCGTCCGTTCCCAAGATAATCAAACCGATTCCCATAGTATGTAAACTTCCAGTCCTCGTAGCGCGGCACTGCCAGCGCCTCTCGATAGTGCAACGTAGATCCGGGCCACAATGCCGTCACCTTATTCTGAGACGAGCCGGCCTTGTACCAAGACTTGCACTCGTCAACCCAGATCGTCGTATCCATAAACTCATCCTTGTGTTCATTAAAGTCCTTGACCGCATCTGCGCAAACATCAAAAGCTTTGATATTCTCTTTCTGATAACGCGAGATCATGTCGATCATATAGTTAACCTCGACCTCGATAGATAGCAAAACCGGTCCGTTACCGATCGGACAATTCGGGCCAAGACTCACAAAGTAGTTGGGAAACCCAGACGCCGCGATGCCAAGATACGCTTGCGGGTTTCCTTCCCATACTTCTGCGAGCGATTTCCCGTCTCTGCCAATCACTGGAAATCGGGGTTTGAACGATGTATCGAATCCCGTGGCCATAATCAATACATCCATCTCATGTTCACTGCAGCTCTGTTAGTATATATGATTTATGAAGAGCGTCAAAACACAATCAAACTCACCTCCCGCTAAGGACCTTGCAACCCTTCTCAGTAACCTCGCTAACCATCGAGAAAACGACCTCCACCTTTGGATCCGAGAGAGACTCGAGATAATTGCGACCAGGCGTAATCCGTCGGCATCCAACAGACCAGGACGGGATCAGCTTCTCGACCAGCGCAGGATCACCCAACTTGCGCGTCATCTCGGCTCGCATAAACTCTCGCGCGCGAAGCTGATGCTCAGAGTCACGGAAAAAGGTCTCAAACTGGCCATTCAAGTAATTCTCAGTCTCGCGGCGCATCTCAAGCAGTTCCTCGGGATGTTCACGGAACCGCTTCTTGTCTTCGTCGCTGTAGACCTTGTATTCCATGCCAACCGGGGGCGAGACCCACGTCGGTTCCATGATGAACGTCGTGAGCTTGCTGACAATCGGCAGAATGGTCGGAAGCACCTGGATAGCCGACGACCCATTGCCAACAAGACCGACTGTCTTCCCGGTGAGGTCTTCAGACTCGTCCCAGTTGGCGGTGTGCAGCAGCTTTCCCTTGAAGGAGTTCAAGCCGGGAATCGGAGGGTACCGCCATGCATTGAGGATTCCGCTCGCATTGACAAGGATATGGCACCAGTCCGTGATGATCTCGCCGCTCACAAGATCCTTGATCTGAACAGACCATGTCGCGCTCTCCTCGTCCCACGTCGCAGCAGACACCTGGTGCTGAAGCTTGATGTATTTGTTGAGATCGTACTTGTCGGCAAAGTGCTTGAAGTAGCCGTAGATCTCCTTGGACGACGCATAGGAAGACGACCACTCCGCATAGGGCTCAAACGAGTAGATGTACGAGTGCGCGGGAACGTCACACGCGCAGCCGGGATAGCGATTCTCCCACCAGGTACCCGCGATGCCCGCGTTCTTCTCGTAGACCGTAAGATCAAAGTCGTCAAAGTGTCGCTGGATCTTGTAGGCGTAGTAGAGACCAGACGCGCCGGCGCCGATGCAGATCGTCTTCAGACGCCGCTGGGGTGTGTTGATGGGATTCACAAACTTGCTTGCCGTCATCTTGCTTTGATTGAGGAGAAAGTAAACTGGAGAACTGTAGATGATTCTTCAGAACAGCTGTTGTCCGCTAGAAGGATCTGCTGCAGATATGCAGCAAATATAGCTGCCAGACTAACAACATTATCCCCGTCGCAGGCTGACAAAGACTGCGGGGAAGCACTGGCAACAATGCGATCAGAAACAGTCGTAGACTACTGACTGATCATATTGTGCAGACGAACAGATGACTGTACTTTTTCTCCGTCAGATCAGGATTGAGTCTGTCTCCGAGCCCTACAAACCCTACGTGAATACGCTCATCGCAGCATCCAGCTGACTTTGAAGACTTGGAATACCGACAAAGCCCAGCACGGAACTCGGAACTTGGGCCTTGCCGATGGGATAAAATAAATAATAATACATTAGTCGACTCGTACGAGCCCAGTCAGATCTTTCTGACAAGCAGCCGCAGCTACCCCACATAAGCAGCCGCACATCAAGCGGCGGTTATCTCATAAACATAATACCAAACGGACCTGTTCTCCTTCGTCACTACCTACTAGCAGACGACAGAGCAATATGACGGTCACCTACACGACGCCCGAGGAGCTTGCAGAGAGTCTTTCAATTCTACGCACAACTTTTTCTTCTGGGAAAACCAAGGATATCGCCTGGCGCAAATGGCAGCTGAAGCAGGTGTGGTGGATGATCCACGACAACGAAGACGCCATCGTCCAGGCTCTTCAGCAAGACCTCAACCGTCACCGCTTCGAGTCTTACGCCTCTGACATTCTCGGAATCAAATCAGATATACTCGATCAGCTTGAACATGTTGAGAAATGGGCTGCGGATCATATTCCAAAGGAAGCTGGGTTTATTTTCGGCACCCTGGGAAAGGCACGCGTTCGCAAGGAGCCTCTTGGAGTCGCGCTCATCATCGGCGCCTGGAATTTTCCCTTACTCCTTCTACTTCAACCCATGCTAGCAGCAATCACTGCTGGTAACTGCGTGCTTCTCAAGCCATCTGAGCTCGCGGTTGCCTGCGAGACCCTCCTCGTCGATCTGGTCCCCAAATATCTCGACCAGGACGCAATCCGAATCGTCACTGCCGGACCGAATGAGATGCCTGAGATCCTCAAGCAAAAGTACGATCACATTTTCTTCACCGGCTCAAACAAGATTGCTCGGTTTATCACTGCCGCGGCGGCGAAGCACCTTACTCCAACCGTGCTTGAACTCGGAGGCCAAGGACCCGCGATAGTCACCAAGCTAGCCGACGTTGATCTCGCCGCTAAACGGATCGCGTACGCCAAATTTCTCAACGCCGGCCAGATCTGTTTGTCGGTGAATCATGTATTTGTTGATCCCGCTGTTTACGATCAGTTTATTGAATCTATAAGCAAGTGGAACGACAAGTTTCTTGGGGAAGGGAAGGGCGACCTTTGCCAGATTATCAACGATCGCAATTATGCTCGGCTGGAGAAAATGCTTGCTGCGACGCAGGGAAAAGTTGTGTACGGCCGCAAGGGAGATGCCAGACAGCGTCTTCTTTATCCCACTGTTGTCGGGGATATCTCTATGAGTGGTAAGCTACATCATCCGCAATTAAGTATGCTCAGAAAGCTAACAATTACCTAGATCCGCTACTATCAGAGGAGCTCTTTGGTCCTATTCTCCCAGTTGTCAAAGCTGACTATAAGTCGGCCTACGAAATAATCCGAAAGATGGATCATCCGCTGGCCATCTATATATTCTCGTCATCGCAAGCAGAGATTGACGAGATAATCGCCAATACCAACTCTGGCGGTGTCACTATCAACGATGTTCTGATGCATGCTGGTGTGCATGGCGCCCCCTTTGGCGGCGTTGGCGAGTCCGGGTACGGCTACTATCATGGAGTTCACGGCTTCGACGCATTCACGCACACCCGTACCATCGTCGGTCCTCCCACATGGCTAGATAAAGTCATGAGTTTCCGCTATCCGCCTTTCCATGTCAAACATATCCCCAAGATCGAGGTCAAGAACAAGATTGGGTTCAAGCGAGGCGAGACGCTAGCAGATCAGAAGATCAAATCAGGCTCAGGACCGTTTTCCAGAGCCAAGACAGTTATATCTATCGTGGTATTGCTGGCCGGATTGTTTCTGCTCACTGGTGCCTCAGATGGGTTCAAGGCGTCATTGTTCAACATCTGCTCGACTTATTCGGAAAAGTATCTCAGGCCACTGATCCACTCAGTGCAGCTCACCCTCCCAAAGTCATAGTCAACAATCTAGGTTGTATATTATCAGAGCACTAAATATTCAATGAATGAAGTTACATTACTACTCTACTGCTAAATTAAGACATACGTAGCACGTCGCTCATTCTGGATACATGACGGGACAACTGTTTTATAAAAACCCGCTGCTTCTCTAAAAATCCGCTTTAGTCGGCTAATATCAAATTGATTTCGATAACTCTAACAATTGGACAAAAGTATTGTATATAATATTCTCGGACTTTACAAACTCCACTCATCAATCCAACGGCTTATGCGGGTTCAAATCAGACATCACATCCGCCCCGCCATCCTGCATCCCGACACGCATCCAATCCGGAAACAACTTGCTAGGAACCGAGATATATGCAAACGCCGGAACCAACAAGTTACTCGAGTTGCCACTCCACAATGTCTCGGCGATCAGACCGCCCACATCGGCTGCCGACAGACGCGGCATGAAAAATCCACTGCCAGCCTTCAAACCAGCAAACATCTTGGTGTTCACAGCCGAGGGAGAAATGCATGAAAAACGAACCGCCGGGGCTTTATAGATATGCTTGGTCTCCGTCTGCAGACCTTCGTAAATATTGATCGCGGCAGCTTTGGTTGCAGAATAATCCGTCACTCCCGCCGTTGCCAAGTATCCTGTCTGGGACGCGATGATCAAGAAATGCCCATGATTGTTTTTGACCATGCTCGGCAAGAACGCCTTTGCGGTATACAGCATGCCCATATTGTTCACGCCAAAAGTAAGCTCAATATCGCGCTTCGTAGCTTGGAGAATTGGCTTGCCGCGACAAATACCCGCATTGGCGACGACTATGGTGGGATCCCCGATGTCTCTGTTAATTGCGTTAGAAGTGCACTAAAGCGTTATCCGACAGGAGAAGTTAAACCATACTTTGAGATTCTGGAGGAGACCTCCTGAAGAGCTTCGTAATCCGTCAAGTCGACCTTGTAGAAGTGCACATTCTTAGCTATGGCGAATAGTTAGTGCTTGTTCCATGTAAACACAACGTTTGTAGAGAAACATACGTGGAGCATATGTCAGAGGCAGAACGTCCAAGACCACGATCTGACTTCCTCTAGACGCAAGCTTCTTCACCGCCTCGCCTCCGATTCCTCCAGATCCTCCAGTCACGACAATAATCTCTTTAGGCCAGTCGAACTTCGCATCAACGCCATTATTCAACGCCTTCTTATTCAATGACCGGTTCAGGCGAATGATTGCACCAGCACAAAATAGAACGATAGATTTGTACAGCAGAGGGGCGAACGGTCTAACGATTCCGTATTTCAAGAGACCGCCTGTCTGCTCGATAACGAATTTGTTGTCGGTGAACAAATGCAGTAGAATTGGTGCAAAGGCAGTGATGTATGGGTTCAACGCCGTTTTGTCGATAATGAGGAGAAGATCTCCTAACGTGAACGCCATTATACAGTTCGATGCGGGAAGGAGGATGCAAAGCGGAGTTCCATGACGGGACGCTGTATGAGCTTAAGAACTCGGGTCTTGATCACAACCCAAAAGTCTGAGGAAGACCATGTTGCGGGGGAATCAGTCAGCGGGTTTGGTGCGGCCGGCACAATTGCTGGAACGGAAAGTGGTGTAGTCAACATTTTCTGACACACCTATAAACCGACTGAGCCTTCTCCATCTTGGAAAATGGAGAATCGAGAGATCACTGGAACCCTAAGACCTTCTCGGAAAGAAGCCTCTTCTCAAAAGAAGCAAGTCACAACAAGAATTATTGAATATGCTCCTGCTCAGCTCTAGCGATGATCTGCATTATTCGTCGTCTGCACACCCAAGTGTTCCTGAGCTGGGAGGTGAGCATCGCAGTGTACACAAACGCTACACAAACCCCGGATTATGACGTCAGCGACTTGTTTGCACTTATATTTCTAGTTATGACTTCGAGCCAGCCAAAGAGCCAGTAGATAGTTGGTTAGCAGATACGGTCAACGGTCACAACTATGTCTGTAGTATATGATGATTTTCAGCTATTAGGAGAGGCGGACGATGACGAAGAGGGTAAAATATTAACTACGCACGAACTGAGAAAATATCTCAAGGCTCTTTGTGTCAGAAAAAATACACGTCCGACGCTCAACAGCACTAAGCCGTCAACGCTTCTCTGTACCTTCTGTCTCCAGGCCCTCAGGATTATGATCATCACGACCAGTATCGGGCAGAGGCTATTGCCCAACCTACCAGCCGACCCCGCGTTTCCCCGCATTTCAGATACTATCACCAATATCTGTTCCTCATGACCGACTCCACGAGCCCGCATCGATATTTATTATATCTCATGATTCTTGTCTGCGCGCGAAAAAAAGCTGTTCTACTTCTATCTGTATAATTTCTGTCATCATCATTATACACCAAAGACCTTGCCAATGACTAGCTCAGATACCAACCTGCCTGTGGAGGCGAAACCTGCTGCGGAGGCTCACATGGAGCACGCAGACGATGGCAATGACATTCCGAGCTCGGACGCAAACGCAGAGGCTACTGCTGATGATGATGAGCCAGAGGAAAAATTCAGGCTTTCTCTGCAGCATATACTGGCTATCATATCGTTCCAGTTTGGCTATATGTCTGACGTATTCATTCTGACTATGTCGTCGAGTATTCTTCTCCAAATCAACGAAGACATCGGTGAGTATCATTTACAAAACAAGAGTGTGGTATTCCATAGCTATCTTTCTGACTTGAATTTGCAGGCCCGTCTACCGACTACACTTGGATGGCCAACTCGATGACGTTGTCGGCTGCCGTTCTGTCACCCTTCGTCGGTCGCTTGAGCGACATCTTTGGTCGCAGAAACTTCCTGCTTTTCGGAAATATCCTATCAGTCATAGGATGCGTGATGTCAGCCACAGCCAAGAGAGTGGACATCGTGATCGGAGGCGCTGTTTTCATAGGCGCCGGCTCGTCGATGCATCAGATAGCGTGGTCTGCTTTGAGTGAGATGGTCCCGCGCAAATCTCGCTCGGTCGCGCTGGGATTCTTCATGATGTCAATTTCTGCTTCAACCGCGTTTGGTGCTCTAATCGGTAATTTACTTATTGTATTCCTCCAGCTCGATACAATGTACTAACCTTCTTTTCTAGCGTATGCTATGGTACAACATACTACATGGCGAGATACCTACTGGTTTGCATTCTCACTTAATGCAGCGGCCTCTGTTCTTGTGTTTTTCTTCTACAAGACTTCTCAAAAAGGCATCAGAGACGAGGGACTTACTACCTGGCAGAGCGTCAAGCAGCTTGACTTTATTGGCTTTTTTTTATTTCTCTCCGGACTTGTCCTGTTCCAGCTCGGGATCTCTTTTGGGGGAAACAAGTTTCCATGGTAAGCGTTTTTTCTAGCCAGTTTGCGGACAGAGGTTGCTAACTCACTGCGATCAATAGGAAATCAGCCGGAACTCTGGCCCCTATGATTATTGGTCTTGTCCTCTTGATCGCCCTGGGAGTGTGGGAAGCGTACACTACCTGCCCTTATCCACTGTTTCCCAGGGTCGTATTAAAGAAAGTCAGAGGATTTACGGTCGTCATCGCCGTTGTCTTTTTGGTCGGCATGGTGTACTATTCCACCGCAATTCTGTGGCCTCAGCAGGTTGAGAGACTGTACACCACAGATTATGTCGGGATCGGCCTCTATTCTTGCACGCTCAGTCTTTCTGGTGCAATCTTTGGTCCGGTGTCTGGATACGTTTTTGTGAAGTTTAAGCATGCGCGAATCCTCTTCACTGTCTTGGTCACCGGAGTAACGATCTGTTCAGGTGCTCAGGCTGTTGTCTGTAAGTTCAACATCTTCATGCTGATTACGCAGCTGTATATACTAACATATTGCACACAGCTCCTACGTCCTACGTCGGATCTACGATTTTAGTGGCAGTCATAGGTGCGCTGATTTCGAGCATCACGATCATCTCTACGACAATGGCTCAATTGGGAGTCCCACATGAGTACATCGGCGTTGCAAGTGGACTTGCCATCACGTCCCGATCTGTGGGTGGAACTGTCGCTACTGTAGTCTACACTACAGTCCTTCAAAACGACGTTTCCAGCAGAATAGGTACAGTTGTCGGTACTGCTCTCGCAAAGGCTGGCCTACCCACCGATGAGATCGTGAATGTGCTATATGCTCTTGTCGAAGGCGATCAATCGGCGCTGGCTTCCATTAGTCCCAATATTCTTGCTGCTGGGGAGTATGCCTTGAAGCTGACGTACGCGCATGCTTTCAAAATGGTTTATCTGGTATCAATTGCCTTTGGTGGTGTTGGTATGATCTGTGCTGCTTTTTCGATGGACGTCGATCATCTCTTGACGTCGCAAGTGGATGTTACTATGGAGCATGCTAATGCACCAAAGGAGAGCCGTACGGAAGACTTAGAAGCCGAGAAGGTGTAGTTTCCGCTGTCTTACTGAATATATTGTATCTCCTTGCTATCTGTATATGAGTAATTACTTTGAACTAGAGTACAACTCAAATTTAAACGGCAAATGTTATTATACTATAATCGATTTCTATATGCCTATCAAGTACATGAACGGAGATCTACAGAAAGATATAGTATAAATAGGAGAGGTATCCAATTTTATTATCGTAGCTACAGTCATTTCACTTCATTGCGTCATTGCGTCCCTAAGAAAAAGCATACTAATCCAAACACACACATTCAAATACCCATGACCTGTCCACCAGCAACCATTGTGTACTTTGATTTCACTGATGTGCAATCCAACATTACACAGCTCGCAGAATAGTCCTTGTTTAGCTTCCACAATCGCCGCTGGTCAGATGTATAATACTGCTCAGCTAACGGACTTTTCTGAAACACTTTTTCTGCCCCGAAAATAGGTCGCTGAAATCCACAGCCAGCGCCTAGCGATGCAACCTCGGGAGACGATACACTATTTTTCATGCGAAGTGTTAATTCATGGATGAGTGTGTCTAGCAGCAGGTCATGATTTTGAAGCTCTGTTTCTCGGCCTACTGAGGCTTTCAACGCATATGATGTTTCGGCCTCAGCCAAATGCCTCAGGGTAGGGTCGTTTGGATATATTTTGGTCTTGAAGAGATCTAGGATGTTGATCGCCACCTTGAGGCTGTCAATCTCAACCACAGTGTTTAGAAATAGCTCGCGAAGTGTTGTATCAAGATCATAAGTTCCGGCACGCAGGATCAGCTGGTCACGGATCGTGCCCCAGTCAATGAAATCAATGAGCAGGGAGTGGCGCGGACTTAAAAACTGAACCGCTGTCGGACAGAACGGTTCTGGAATTGCTCGGCGGAATGCTAAGGAGGGGCACAAACGCCAGCGCATGATAGACTCCATGATTTCGTTCCCTCCCTGCAGCGCTTAGTATTAGTAGACTGTTTTTGAACAAATAAAGCCTTATCTGCGGAAATGTACATACCACGCCATACACATATGAACGCAAACCGCCATACGACGTAATCAGGTTGATTGCAATCTTTGCAACGTCGTGTACTGCTTGCGTATCGACAACCGACAAGTACTCTGCCTTCAAAGCTTCAATGGGATCAGATATCTGCTTGACGTGCTCAGATCGAGGCTCATTAAGTCGAAAGCCGCATAATGAGGCCAAATATATAACTCCAGCTTCCTCAACACTTGCGGCAAACATCTCTGAAGATATGCTGTGATTTTGTACTAGTATATCTGCACTGCTCACATTAATCGCACACTCAGCGGGAAGCTGCCCGTTATGAGTGAGATCTGGCATACAAGGATCTGTAGGTGGACTCAAAAACCTCAGATTAAACATCTCCACATCTATAGGCGAAGAACCGGCAGCTCTAAAACCCCCGGATGCTGTATATCTTGTTACATCGTCATTCGGAGACTGGAAAATATGCAATCCATGGCTGTCGAAAGATGGCAGCTCCAATGAGTGTCCGTCCATGATGGACAGTAATCCGTCATTAATCGGCGTGGCAGATTGGGGACCCGAGTCAATGCTGCTATGCATGGCGGCACCATTGGCAGAAGCAAAGCCTGTAGCTTTCACGGCACTCGCGATATCGGATAGCAGAATCTCACTATTCTGATGATCTAGAAATCGCTCGCTATTCTGCTGTGACTTCGAAAGATCTGTAAGATCTGTGTCATCCAGAGATATGCCGTCAATAGAAGAGGCAGTCGAAGGGATTTGATGTGCCTGTTGCTGTACTTGAGTGGATCTTTTCTCTTGTGCGCCGCGTGGAGCGAGAATGAGCTGAAAGATCTCGTCTTCGGCCAATGCGGATGCCGAATTTGCAAGACTGAGAAGTTTCTTGCGAGTGCGTAAAAGACTATCGCGCAGTTTTTGATTTTCTTCCACAAGGTCGACGTACGAGGTGAGCAATGAAGGTGATACCCCGTCGGCAGGAGTGCCTTTCATGGCGTCGATGAATGACTGTAGCTGTCGCCTATGAGCGAGTTGCCTCTCGCGGAAACATTGCTGCGATATTCTGAATGAGCAAGATCGTTAGACAAAACACAAGTAGTTTTTGGTGGAGATCAAGATGAGACAATTACCTGTTCTGGGCGCGCTTTCGGGCAGCGCGCTGGCTGTCGGAGGGCGAGGATGAGCTCTTCGCACCCGATTCCTTTACTGACTGGCCAGCAGCAGCAGCAGTAGTAGGATTAGAGGTTTTCGAGGCGCGGCTGGAGCGAGCAGGCGGCATCGTTGTGAGAATGTATCACGATGAGGAAGAAAGGATGGATACAACAGACGACGACGATAGCGTATTGAGATGCAGAGCCAGGGCCAGTCAAAATGAGGGGAAAGCGACTGAGCTGAGTCGCTTCCCCTCATTGTGCGACTCAGTCGACAGCCTGCGACACATTTAACGGCGCACGGAGTCTGCGTCGGCCGATAGAGTGTGTTTACTGGGACATGTGTTTAAACTTTATTTTCTCTGCTTGGCCGTGTTTATGGACTTTGTTACCAACTACACACTCTTCACTTGCCGCTCACCTCGTTCAGATAGTTCACGATAGTCTTGAACGGGAACGAGTTATTCAGAGTAGACGGGCTCGGGATCTTTGCGGTCAGAAGAGAGTCGTGCGTGCCCTCTGGCTCGATCGCAACAACGGCACCTGAGCCGATTTTCTCTGCCAGCGCCGCACACGCATCGTGCAGCACCTCCACCTCTCCGTAGAGAAGAAGCACGTTGATGCCCTGCACAGCTTTGCGGAGCAGCTCTGCGTCTGCCTGCGCGGCACTCACATAAGAAGAACGACGGGTCTCGCGGTCTGCACAGTAAGTCTTTGCCCAGTAGTCCAACGCTGCATAAGAGAGGACATCCGTGTTGTGTTTGGGATCAAACGAGCCCACGGGGTTAGGCTCAAGATCGACCCATGGTGAGACCAGCAAGACAGTCTTGGGCTTAACAATCGGCTCCTTCAACGCATAGCAAGCAGGATGTGGCTTCTGGAAGTGCTGCAATAGAAACAACGCAAGGTTTCCGCCAGCAGAGTCTCCAAACAGTATAATGTTGCTGTTTTTGTCGACCTCGGTGAGCTGCTTGTAGAGCAAAGCCGCATCTTGAAGCGGAGCAGGATACGGGTTCTCTGGTGCAAGACGGTAGTCAAGGAAAAGAACCGAGAGATTCTTGACGTCGGAGAGACGGGCGATTGCAAGTGCCGCATGCACATGGAACCCGAGCGCGGGAAGAAAGTAACCACCGCCATGCAGGATCAGAAGGATGGGATCGCTTGGTGTACGCTCGGGAGCCTTGAGCGCCCAGCGAGCAGAAAATCCTGAGCCTTCATATGGCTCATTGTACCCAGGAGGCACTGGCGATGCAAGACTCTTGATTGCTTTCGTCATCGTCTGATCGATTGGCGAAGCAGCTCCAAGAAACCTATACAGACAGTCAGTCCGTGTAAAACGAAGCTCACTTGTAGCTGCGTATGTCATACCTGATGTCGTGCACCGATAGCTTGCCAGAGAGATGCGCACCCAAAGCGTCCGTTATGACCTTCGTCAGCGATCCCTTGCGCTGTGTCGTGCCAGTAGCATACCCGTACAAAACACCGATCAACGACCCGGCTGCAACAGAGTATTAGTCGCGTCCGCACCCTAAAGAAACCAAAGTGCTACTTACGAAGGGAAAGGATAGCCGTAAGTCGGCCCATGTCTGCTGCAGGTAGTGTGGAATCACACCGCAAGAACGAGGAGACTTCATCTTACTATTTATAAAGCCGACAAAGGCTGGCTCCGGGCGGTGAATTGGTTTCGGATAAGATGAGTTCGAAAATATTAATTTCCGGTGAAGCTGACTAATCTGAGCAGGATGTCGAGTCGTCGCCCTAATCCTGCTCTGCGCAGTCGCGAGCGCTGCCTTCTGGCTGACTGTACCAAACGTGCGTAATGCTCTGATCCGGTCCTCGATTCCCACTCACCAGTCGACCACTGCTCGCGGTATGGCAGTCACAGCGCGGCATTGCAGCATACTTAAAGCATCGTCGTCTGCGGATCACACACAAAATGGATCCACCTATCCTCCTCCATCATCTTCGTTCTCCCGCACAAACCCTGCACCATCATGACCATCAGCCCACGCGGACAGAAGCGCAGCATTCGCATCGCGAACTGCTCCGGCGCAATGAGTGACGAGGGTGCTTTCATGTACAAGCAGTGCACCGAAGGTCCCATCGACGCCGTCACCGGGGACTACCTCGCCGAAGTCAACATCGCGGCAAACTCCCAGGCGTACCGCGCTGGCACCCATCCCGGCTGGGAACCCACGGCCGAAGAAGGCTTGATGCTCAGTCTCGACGTCATTGCTGAGAAGGGTATCAAAGTCGTCATCAACGGAGGGTCCCTCAACCCGAAAGGTCTTGCCGAGAAAGTTCACTCTACCGCGGTCGAACGAGGACTTGACCTGAAGATCAGCTACGTTACCGGCGACGACTTCTATGACCAAGTCGACTCTCTCCTCACTCCTGAACGTCACTTGGCCCACTTCGATTCCGCCAACCACGACGTCAAGCTGGCCAAGGATACCGACGATTTCCTGAACGACCCCAACCGCGTCATCGTCTCTGCCAACGCTTACATTGGCGCGAGAGGTATCGTTGCCGCACTGCGCGCCGACGCCGACATTGTCATTTGCGGTCGCGTCGCCGATGCTTCCCCTGTCATTGGTCTTGCGATGTGGTGGCATGGCTGGTCTGAGAAAGACTACGATTTCCTGGCCCATTCACTTCTGGCAGGTCATCTTATCGAATGCTCCGGTTACGCTACCGGTGCTAACTTTGCCGACTTTGATCGCTACCGGCCTCAGGAGAAACTTGTTGATCTCGGATATCCAATTGCAGAAATCAGCAGCGATGGCACCTTTGTTATTACGAAACATGAGACTCTCAACGGAATCGTGAATCTGGATACCGCTCGTGCTCAACTTCTCTACGAGCTTCAGGGAAACCTCTACCTCAATTCTGATGTCACGGCCGATCTTGCCAACGTCGAAATCAAGGAAATCGGCAAAAACAGAGTTGAGTTCAGTGGGGTTAAGGGCCTCCCACCGCCTCCGACAACCAAGCTTGCGATTTTCTATGTTGGTGGATTCCAGTGCGAGGGCATGATTGTGGCCACCGGCCGCAACTCTACCGCTAAGTTCGACCTTCTCAAGCTTCAGATTACGAGGGCACTCGAGATCCTTGGTACGAAAGATCAGCTTGATATCCTGGACTTTCAGGAGTACGCGCACGCTGAGCCCAATCCGCATGATCAGAAGGCGGGTTCGTCTTTTATGCGTCTGTTTGCGCAGGCAAAGACTGCGGCGGTCGCGGGATCTCTTGGGCGTGCACTCTACAAATTCGGCATGCAGCATTTCTCTGGAATGCACTCGACGATGGACTACCGCACTTTTATTCCAAAGCAGTTTCTGGCTTACTATCCTTCTCTGCTTCCGCAGTCTGACATCACCGAAAGCGCCGTGATAATTGGCAAGAATGGCGAGAAAGATATCGTTATTCCTGCAGGAAATATCTCCGAGTCTATCAGTCTTTCGCGCGACTCCTACGAGACATCTAACCCTGTCGACCTTGCAACCTTTGGCGAGACGGTATACACTGCCATGGACGAAGTCGTCCTTGGTCGTTCAGGTGACAAAGGCGCGAATGTCAACATCGGCCTGTTTGTGCACGAAGACGATGAATGGGACTGGCTGCGCACATACTTCACCGGCGATCTTATGAAACGTCTTGTCGGTGATGACTGGAAGGATGAATACTACCTCGAGCGAGTGGAGTTTCCGCATCTCAAGGCTGTCCACTTTGTCATTTACGGGATTCTTGGGAGAGGCGTGAGTTCGAGTGTGCTGTTGGATTGTCTGGGAAAGGGCTTTGCGGATTACATTCGAAGCAAGTACGTCGACGTGCCAAAGAAATTTCTGGCGAGGTACGAGGGGAAAACAATCTTGATTGAGTGATTGTGGTCTTGTGATTGTGATGGCTTTTCATATACTATATTATCAATGCAGCGTCTTCCTTTATGTTTTTATCGTAGACTATGTGTCCTCCTCAAACTCTCACCTTCAGTCTTGTATCAAATGTTGACGTTTCAACTCATAGTTTCAACACATAGACGTGGTAGTTGTGTAGTGAGTAGTCCGTTGATTGACTATGTGGAGAGAGCTTCTTCCAGTTTTCATGCGATCAAAACATATGATTTACAAGTTGGTTTATAGATAGAAATATGTATTTCAACTAACACAAAATCCCACACAAGCACAGATATTTTGTCGTTTCACTCAAACACTGCGACCTACTCGATCTCGGGCCACTTTGCTTCGTACGCGTTCAAAAAGCAACTACCGACATCGTACTTCAGCTGAGTCTTCTCAAACTTGGCGACTGGTCCCAGAAATGTCATTTTTTCACCCTCAGGTCCTCCTAAATGAGCATCGATTTGAGCAAAATGCTTGGGACTGAACAGCTTTGGGGTAGTCTTCATCAAAGACATAATTGTCTTCTGAACCAGACTAGGCATGTCGTCAAAATGCCGAAGAGACAATGAGGCGTCGTGCATCTCGCGCAGTGACTTTTGAGTCTCGTCGTCTTGAACTCCAAGTCCGATATAGAAAAGGTTGAACTGGTTCAATGAAACGGAAACAGTCGACGACTCTCCGGAATTGGTGCGGTTATATAGAGCATGTAAGATTCCGATGAGACCGATGATGCCAACCTGATAGTCAGAGTTTGGTAGGAGCGGGACAACAGGCTCGTTCAAGCCCAAAAATCGTCCCTGCAACCAACTGACTCCCGTGATCTATCTGCAAGTTAGAGCGAATATAAAATAAAACCAACACTAAGAAGAACTTACACAATCACTGATCTGCTGCCAACCAGATCTGTCTTTGAAGGGACCCTTCCATCCATAGCAGTTCTCGCGGACATAGACAATACCTTTGCCGCGACGCTTCGCGATTTCGTGGATATACACCTCCGAATATCCCAATCGCGCCAGAGCACCAGGCCTGTACCCGTCTAGCAAAACATCTGCATCCTCCAGCAATTTATCCAGCGCCTTTTTGCCTTCCAATGTCTTGAGATCGAGAGACACGTCGTACTTTCCCAAATTTCCATCGACAAGCAGTGGACCCATGTCCGGTTCAGTAAGGCACGACACGCGCACTACTGTCGCACCATATAGCGCCGCAAGCTTTGAGATGGTCGGTGCGGCGATGACGCGCGCGATCTCAATGATTTTGATTCCCTCAAGAGGGCGGAGTGCGGAGGTGGAAGTAGTCGTCGGCCACGGAACCGGATTGAGGCCAGGCGCAGGTTTTGACTCAAGAAGATAAATCGGATCGTCTTTGATTGCTTTGCCTTGTTCCGAACGAGCGAATTCTTCGGGAGTCAGGCAAATAGTGCCGGCTTGACGAAAATGTTCGTTGGACTCAATATCCAGCCATTCGGCGTCATGCTGCTCAACTGTGGATATATAATCCTTAATTGCCTGATCCATCGTCACAGATCTATCGATAGGCAGTCCGAGCATCGTCAAAATAGGAGTCGCATTCATGCTCCCATGCAAATGAAAGAACCGGCCGTCCTTGGTAGGATAAATGTTCGTTGCAAGACGCCGATATGTGTCGAATGACCGACCTTTATCGTAAATCATATAACGCTTTGCAATCTCTGGATCTTGCAGCGTCTTCCCAGCAACCCTCACAACTGCTGTCGAAAACAGGAACAATGACGCAGCGTCAGTGTTCACGGACACTTTCTGCACCACACCAAACCGCTGCTCCGTTATGGCATTAGCAAACGTGGCGGCGAGAGCCCACAGAGCAGCCGACGACTCCGACATCTTCATCGGGGTCGGAAAAAAAGGCGCATCGATGGAGTCCGTATCAAAAGTGGTACGGTCAGCAGCCGAAAGGACTGAGGGTGGAAGGGCGAGGCGCGAGTCGGTCAAGAGGACATTGTGGAAAATGGAGTCCGCCTCTGCGGAGATGCTGGAAGGCATTTCGATGGCGTATAGACGAGGACTGAGAACACCAGTTAGGCCTTCTTTGAAACGATAGAGTGTACTCGGGGCTCACGACAAGCTGAAATAACCATTGTAGTAGTAGTTGAGATTATCATCATGTGCGTAGGTAGTGGTAGGTTTGGTGAGTGTTGTCTGCCCCAGTCATGTTTTTCTGACATCGGTGCCTCTTACAGAAAACTCTAATTCTCCGCTCTCATGTTGGGAGCCTACCGCGGACCATTTGGGCGGCACTGAAGCTGGAATCGATGCTAAACTACATTTGTTTTTCAACAGCAGGGCCATATGTTGGATTTGACGGACTGGTTGGGTTGAAGCTCCATCAGATAATAATATATTTGCTGTCGAAGCAGATTTCTATTTCTATTTCTACTGACTCAATAAATCATCGGCCTTCGACTGCGATTTTCTGCGCTCTTGTTTATTTTACGCATAAGATGACTTTTCGGCTGCAATCGAAGCTATGAGGAGTAGAAGAGAAATGTATACAGAGGAGCACAAACACAAACAGTGAAGACGAGGACATGCTTGAGGCCAGTGCCGGTTGACGGTCTGCAGCGCTGTGAGGAAGCAGCCGGACGTAGGGGATTATTGGGTGAAGGGTCAGCAGCTTGGCGAACTGAGCCGCAGATCGGGGAAGCATATGCAAGAGGAGTGACGAGAGGAGGTAGAGCTGGCATTGGATTAGCACGAGAGCGTGGCGAGACTGCGAAGCAAAGGTCAAGACGCAACCAAAACAGACCCTACTCTCCTGTAAAGGTGGGGTTTGGCGTAAGAGCGATGATCCAGGTCGAGGAAGGCAAAAGAGGTAGGTAGAGGGGAAGCGCAAGAGCGAGGGATAATAAAGCGGGAGAGGAGTGCAGGTGAAGTTAGTAGTAGTTGATCGCGTTCCGAGGGACGCAGCCGGGCGTTTGTAGTTGAGAGCTCAGTCATAAGATTATCAATAGAGGTGACATGCTAATGGTATCCGGAAGCAATTCGTCCTATAGGTGCAGTCCATTATCACCACTTCCGGATAGCGCTGGAGAAAGACGATTAAATAAATATTCATGGGCAAAGAACACGCTACAAACAGAATCTTGAGAATCTGCCGCAACATGAATGACTATCATATTTGTTGTCAAGGATTTTGACCAAGGCGTTGCCAGGGAGTAGGTCTCCGAGCCTTGCTCGTCTGACCTCAGCCATTAGTGGTGGTAGTAGTAGTAGTAGTAGGCCGTAGAAAAAGTCGTTCTTACGAGCTCATATTGTTTTCGAGCTCGAAGCAGCGATCAAAGTGCTTTTGAGTTTACCCCTGCACTGCGTCGACGCTTGCTGAACTCAATTGAAGATCTTCGGGTGAGGGAACACGGTGGACATACAGAGCACGAGGGGTATTAGAGAGATTGAGGTTCTACTCAGCATATTGTCGACCACACCGGTGACCACGCGCCATTCCCCGGTATTTCTGTAACCAGGACTGAAGAGGAGGAGGGAGGAGGTATTACTGATAATGGGTCTTCTTCGACCGCTCCCGCCTCTGCTCTGTCCTTTCGACTGATGGGAGGCCTACGCACTCGCAATCATAAGTTACTGTAAGCCTGTTCGCAGTGCTCCTAGATAATAATCGACACTTGATAAAAGACCGGCTGTAAGATGCTCCCCATTCATTCGGTGACTTCTGATTCGTCCTTGCTTTGAGGCGGTATGGAGTCGAATTAGGAACATTATTATTTTCCCTGGCCGAACACGTATAGCGTCCGTAACTCGCAATCATGGACATAAAGACCGACTGGAAGATAAGAATGAGTCATTAGCAAGGCACGCAGAGATTACGAGTGATGGTATCATTTGAAGATATGTGGATGTGGCATGGACGAGAGCGAGGAGTTAGCCCATTTGGACCCTAAAACCCTTTTAGCCGATTTTTCTCGCTCACATCTCTCACGGCACATCCCGGCCAGCGCTAGGTCGCCTTGCAAAGCAGGACCGTGTCCCCACGGGCCTTTCGTAGGCGATGACTAGACGACGGTGATATGATTGATGGCCCCGACCGGAGTGGCCTCCCAAGTCCGAGAGCGGGCGGTTAGCGTTTTTACCACGGAAATTTAAATGTAGCAGAGATGGCTTCCGGTCAGAGTAAGGAAGAAAAAGCTCAATATTTTCAGCGCAGAATATCACGGTATTCTACAATATAGCGCTGTAATGGTTCAGTAAGCCAATTTGTACTCTATTATATCCAGTCAGTGTATGCTGTTGCGTGCTCAAGTCTAACGCTAAGGGTGCTCTCCGCAGAAAGGTCCTTCTTCTCGGCTCTGGCTTTGTGGCGAAGCCCACAGTCGACATCCTCGCAGCTCGCCCCAACACCGAGGTCACCGTTGGTACGTGGAAGATGATATATTTCTCATGATTAGAGATGAAAGAAGAAGAGCGCAGTTAAGCTAATTGGGCTCGTTGCAGCATGCCGTACTCTCGACAAGGCGCAGGCTCTCGCCGGCTCGTCGGCCAGCACCAAGGCCATCTCGCTTGACGTTACCGATCCTGCTGCGCTCGACGCTGCTGTGTCTGAAGCTGATCTTGTCATTAGGTGTGTATTTATCTTGTGTTTGTCTTTGGAGACGGTTGGGTGGGCATAGTGCTGACCTATAGCTATTAGTTTGATCCCTTACATCTACCACGCGACCGTCGCTGCCGCGGCTATCAAGTTTGGCAAGCACGCGCTCACCACTTCGTACCTCTCGCCCGCGATCAAGGCTCTTGAGGAAAGGTTAGTTTATTTTTTATTATTTCTTCTTAATCTAATTTCCTATAGGTATAGAAGGAAGTGGCCGTCTAACTATCTGAATTAATTTATAGTGCGAAAAAGGCCGGCACCATCGTCTTCAACGAGATTGGTCTGGACCCCGGTATCGATCATCTGTACGCCGTCAAGGCTATCGACGAGATCCACCAGGCCGGAGGTAAGGTCAAGTCCTTCCTCTCCTACTGCGGAGGTCTACCCGCGCCCGAGGCCTCCGACAACCCGCTCGGCTACAAGTTCTCCTGGTCGGCGCGCGGTGTGCTTCTCGCGCTCCGCAACAACGCAAAGTTCTACCAGGACGGCAAGGAGGTCGAGATCCAGGGCAAGGACCTGATGAAGTCCGCAAAGCCGTACTTTATCTACCCCGGCTACGCTTTCCTTGGGTACGGAAACCGCGACTCCACCGTTTTCAGAGACCTCTACAGGATTCCTGAGGCCGACACCGTCTTCCGTGGCAATCTGCGTTACCAGGGTTTCACCGACTTTGCCCTCGTCCTCGTCGACCTCGGCATGTTCGATGACACCGAGAAGGATTTCCTCAAGTCGCCGATTCCCTGGAAGGAGGCCTTTGCCAAGCTCATTGGCGCCGGCTCGACCAGCGAGGCCGACGTGCTCGCCGCTGTCGACGCAAAGACTACTTTTCCCAGCGCCGAGGTCAAGGCTACCATCCTCAACGGTCTCAAGTGGCTCGGACTCTTCTCCGACAAGCCTATAATGCCCAAGGGCAACGCGCTCGACACGTTCGGTGCCACGCTCGAAGAGCTGATGCAGTACGGCCCCGGCGAGCGCGACATGGTCATGCTGCAGCACAAGTTTGGCATCGAGTGGGCCGATGGTACGACCGAGACGCGAACCTCGGCTTTGGTCGACTACGGTGATCCTAACGGATACTCGGCTATGGCCAAGCTTGTCGGCACGCCATGCGCGATCGCCGCCGGGCTTATCTTGGAAGGATACTTCAAACCGACTGGAATTCTGGCGCCGTATAGCCCTGAAATCTGCGACCCGCTCAGAAAGATTTTGAAGGAGAAATATGGCATTTTCATGGTTGAGAAGACGCTCGTTTAGATGATGTTTACTGTAGCTATGTACCTATTGATCATGCATTTTTATTGTCCATAAATCAACTTCAACCAATGCGTCATCCTGGAACTCCAAATTCAGAAAAAACAATGTACATGTAGACTCACAATATTAATGGTGATGAATATTTTAATTATCATGATAATATCTTTTATAGAAATACTTTAAAAATAAAAAGAAGGAAGATATAAATGAACCAATAAAATTAGATATAGAAATAGTAAAGAATCCTAACTCTATAGCTTTAGATTCAGATATTAAAGATATTAAAGATATTAAAGAGTTTGTGTATGGTTTGAGATATTAAAGATATTAAAGATATTACATCAGAGAAAGTAAAAGATGAAAAAGAAGAACCTTCTACTTGAACTTCAACTGTCAAGAAGTTTTTGTGTGTTGAACTAGTACTTCCTTCTCCTTTACAATTATACTTGGTACTTCTACTTGAGCTGTTAATCTGTGGTTTGGCTTCTACTTGAGCTGTTAAACTGTTGTTTCAAATTCCACTTCTAGTCTCACTTCTGCTTCTACTTGTAGTTTTCTCACTTCTGCTTCTACTTGTAGTTTTCTCACTTCTGCTTCTACTTGTAGTTTTAACTTGTCCTAGTTTTAACTTGTTTTTTTTGCTTTTAACTTGTGCTTTTAACTCGTGCTTTTAACCTGTACTTTGTGCTTTTACTTGTGCTCTTAGCTTGTATTTAAACCTATACTTTGTACGTTTAACTTGTGCTTCTATCTTGTACTTTTAACTTGTTTTTTGTGCTTTTAACTTGCACTTGTACTTTAAACTTGTACTTTAAACTTGTACTTTTAACTTGTTCTTTGTACTTTTAACCTTTTTTTTTTACACAGTATCAGAGCATGCCGGAATGCCGGAAAATCCCGTATTCCCACTTGCTTTCTATGGGACTCGCGCTTAAGGTTTGCGCCGCTTGCCTTCGATTCCCACATGGCGCAAGTGGGAATCCGGGGATTTCCACTTTCCAGCCCTTTCTGCAGATTTTTAGACTGCCTAGCGGTATTATCGACCTCTTATTATTTGCAGATTATTTTAGTTTTTGAATTAGAGTCGATTTGCGATCATTTTGGGCCGCTTGAACGTAGAGCGCTGTTTTGGATGGGCTGCCTCTACGAGCCCCCGGGTTTGGCTTTGGCCTTGTAAGCGCCTCTACGAGCCCCCGGGTTTGGCATGTAAGCGCCTCTACGAGCCCCCGGGTTTGGCATGTAAGCGGACACACAGTATCAGAGCATGTCGGAATGCCGGAAACTCCGGTATTCCCACTTGGTGTCTATGGGACTCGCGGTTAAGACATTGCGCCGCTTGCCTTCGAT